TGATTAATTATTCCCCCCTTCAAAGAAAGGAGGGCATATTGCTTTGCTGCTGTCTGTCGGTCGGCCCATTTAGTTTCCGTTCATTTTCTTCACAACCGTTGCACATACTGAAATGAAATCTGGTATACAGGTTCATCAGATGAATATCTAGGTCAAGTTCTTTTTTGGTACAATAGCACCATTTTTGACAGATTTATGCCCCTTGGACTTAGAAAAATTCCAATTTGTGGGGTGGGGGGCATAAGTGTTTTATAAGTGTTTTACAAACATATCTTGTTTACCTTAGAGTTCGTTCTTTAGTATTCATCAATTCTGTATTGAGTCTTGATCGCAATGGACTAATTTGACCCTGGCCTAGGATGTTAATAGCTGTGTTCACATCAGTCAACTGAATTTCATGAAGGGGTAGGGCTTCCTCTTCCTGACTCCAATTAGAACCTTGACTACAAACTGCACTGCTCTGACTATCACTCTGTTACAAAATTAAACATATATATCATATAATTATTCCTTACTACAATAACAAAATATATGTATATGAACAAATGATGCAGGTATGGGTCCAGGACTTTTTAGCATATCAAACTTGTGGGATGGAGAGAAACCCCCAATCCCTGTTATAGATCTGTGCATGTTATCCATGTATTTTGAAGACAAAGTTTTAGTTTTGTGATATTTGTTAGACGTGAGCTACAGAGCTCATTTGAGTGTGTATGTAGCAATTATGGATTCATATCATGAATACCAAACCTGACCTCTTCAAATGGTTCTCTTTTGTAGGGAGAAGGCTGGGTTTTAATGACATGATATTTATAGTTTTAAAAGATGCCTCTACCTCTTTCAAACATAAATGTATAGTTTCATATTCAAATTCTACTTTTATGTTTAGAGCACTGTTTCAAAGAAGAAAATTTAACTTTCAAGATACATTGTATTTTCCACTACAAAGATTGTAAACTAAAACTTGATACCCCTATGCATTATGGTAGCTTAATCCTACATGGCAGTGTATCACTCAATAATTCCATTTGTAATTTTTTTTCTCTGTGATAACAGGAACTTAATTATATCCCCCGCAAACGAAGTTTGGGGGGTATATAGGAATCACCTTGTCCGTCTGTCTGTCTGTCCGTCTATCTGTACAAATGTGTCCAGTCCATATCTTTCTTGCGGAGGGACATTAGAAACTACTACTCCACACAAAGATTGCCCATGACCTAAGGGTGTATCATGACCTTGACCCAAGGTCATTTGGGGAAGTTCAAGGTCACTGGAAGAAAAAGTTTATAATTCGTTTCCGGTCCATATCTTTCTTATGGATAAACTTGGTAGGTTCTCATTTCACACAAAGATTGCCCATGACCCAAGGGTGTGTCATGACCTTGACCCAAGGTCATTTAGGGAAGTTCAAGGTCACTGGAATAAAAATTTCATTATTCATGTGTGATACAAGTCTTTATTATGGAAAAACTTACTTCTGAAAAAAACCCAGCGGGGGGTATTTTGTCCCATTTGGACAGTTCTAGTTAATGATTAAACTAGTCAAAAAATACCACTGATAAGTTTGTAAGATCTCAATTCACTGTCAGAAAATTTTTAATTTTGTTGTATTGTTGCAGGATGAGGAGTCATTGAACAACAAACTCTGTACTTTCACCATAACCCAGAAAGAATTTATGAACCAGCACTGGTAAGAATTTCTATTAAGTTTTTGAAACAGTCATGTATTTAAAAGTTTTTGCTTATTTTGTACAAAATTCTTGTAAATGATGAAGAAATGAAGCTTAACAATTATCCATTACATTTGACTAGGTACCACTGTCACACGTGTAAGATGGTGGATGGTGTAGGTGTGTGTACTGTGTGTGCCAAAGTCTGCCACAAAGATCATGACCTGACCTACGCCAAGTTTGGCTCCTTTTTCTGTGATTGTGGCGCAAAAGAGGATGGAAGTTGTAAGGTAGTTCATACATTTCCTTTGACAGCCTCATTTTGAAGAATGCCAAATAATGCATGGGGTTCAAATTTCATTCATTGTTGAAATGACAGCTTTTCATGTATTGAACACTTGGATACTGTTTAAAAGGCAGTTTATATCATCATATTTTTGGGTGCTTTTTGATTCAGGTAAATTGAGAAAAATTTCAAAAAAATGATATTATACAGATTTGAATACAATCTTGAATGATTCAATTACAAATATGTGAACATTAAATATAAAGCCACATATTGCAATAATACTGTAAGTAACTTGATTTCTTTTATGGGTAAGTCATAAGACATGTATTGTTTTATGTAGGCATTAGTTAAGAGAGTCCCACAGAGTGCTATGGATTGTAATGACAGTATAGCTGGACAGTCCCCTTTCTCTATGGACACCATGTTACAGAGCAGTCTCAGGAGAAGACTGTCCTCTCCCTGTCCCACAGAAAACACCAAGGCGGACAACAAAGCCATAGAACTGGCCAACAAGACCAGGGAACTCCTGGGAAAACAGCTAGAGGGATGCAGAGATCTTCTCATTGGATATCTGGTAGGATGATTAAATTTCAAAGGGAAAATATTCCTGTGTCATGTGTCTCTCAAGATTTTGCTTTCTGCCAAAGTTCAATGTAACTGACTTAAAAACATTTTTTTCCCAACATTACAGTCCTTTAAGTTTTAAAAATATTTGTGATGTACATTAAAAAATAATTTCAGTTCAGATTCTTAACATTTACAGTGAAGTAATTTGCATGTTTTATTGTAGGACTCCAGTGAGACTGTAGGGGTGGTCCTTGATATGTTGAAGACAATACTACCATCCCTGACGGAGAATTATTTGAAGGTGTCCCCCATGGGGAGCACACAGAGGGCCCAGAAAGCTCTGTATAGCCTCCACAACACCCCCAAACTCACACAGCACACCGACGAACTGATGGTAAGTGTTACACAATATTTCCTCTCATAAGGATAAGTAAAAGGCATTTGAATAACCCAGGAGTAGATAAACATGTATTATAAGATTTCACTTGAATTTAATGCGTGCATGAACTTGCAATTTTAAAATAAACCATTTCTCAAAGAAAAGTTGAACAACTTATCTGTGCAAAAAGAAATGTGGAGCCTAAAGTTCTGTTGGCTCTGAAAAAGTTTGTTTTATTACTATTACTACATTGCATATAGCTCAGATCTATATTATAGATAAAATGGCAGTTGAATGAATTTCATATAATGGTGCAGTGAAAACTGACATTTCAGTGCAGATGAAATGATCCACATTGTATGCAATTGTAGACTGTGACCCTTGGCTCTCAAGAGGGAGCGTTTGAGAATGTGAGGATGAACTACAGTGGGGACCAAGGACAGCAGATAAGACAGCTGATCAATTCTCACTATCTGAGAAGGGTGGCCATGTGTGTGTTAGCTTCTCCCCACGGCAAGAGACAACACCTGGCTGTCAGTCACGAGAAAGGGAAGATCACAATCCTACAGCTGTCAGCCCTGCTTAAACAGGCCGACTCCAGCAAAAAGAAACTCACATTGACGGTAAATTATACAATACACTGATCAATGAGAAATTCTTAATTCTATGACAATTCAATGAATAATATACTTGTACTCAGAAAATATAGTTCTTTTGAAAAATGGAAGTACATGTATCTCTGCAGCAATGATGTCAAATTGAAAGCAAAAGTTATTTTTTTTATTTTGGGAAAGGGAAGTCTAAGAGATTTTGAGTTGGTCTACTTGTCTTTCAGAGACTGGCATCAGCTCCTATCCCATTCACTGTGTTGTCTATCATGGGAAATCCTTGTAATGAAGATTACCTAGCAGTTACTGGATTGAAGGTAATACTAAAGATAAAGAAATGGTAATAATAAAGTAGAAGAAAGGTATTTTTTCAAAGATCTGTATTAAGTACATTTACTTTGTTTTAATAGAAGCAGTGATTATTAAGGTACAGTGATGTGCCATAAGTGTTCGTCCAAATTCAAAATGGCCGCTGTAGTACATGTAACGAAACGCTTCGGAAAAATAAAACACAGAAATAAAATTATAAAATATTTTTTCTTACCTTAATACTTTGTTATATAGCCTTTTGACCTCAGAACTTTCTGTATTCGTCTTGGGATCGACCTGTATAAGCCCTGAACATAATAAATTGGGATGTTTATCCAGATACGTCGAATGGCTGCCTCCAGCTGATTTTTACACAAGAATATTTCGTTGCCGTTTTTCAGTTCTCTTTTCAGTCTCAACCAGATATTTTCAATAATGTTCAAATCAGGACTCTGAGCGGGCCAAACCATTGAATGAATATTATTCTGTAATTTATATTCTTGAACTACTCGGGCTCTGTGAATAGGGGCGTTGTCATCTTGAAATATATAGTTATTTCGAGGAAAATGGCGTGCTATGACTGGCCAAAGTTGATCTTCAATTATATCAATGTATTTTCTAGCATTAATGTTACCATCTACAACAGTCACAGTCCCTACACTGTTGAAAGTGATGCAGCCCCATATCATTAAACTAAACTTCGGTGTTGGAGGTTGTGAGAGACAACATGGCATCCACTCTTCGCCCACCTTTCTCCATATAAAAACACGGTTATCAGTCCCAACGTCCACTTTGCACTCATCACTAAAGATGACCCTGTTCCAATAATTATCTATAGTTTTGTATCTGTTTCCTCTACACCAGGAGAGCCGTGCTTTTCTGTTCACTTCGCGAATTCTTATGCGCTTTCGAACAACTCTTCTAAAATACCCCTGTTTGTACAAATTTCGCTGAACTGTCCGTTTAGATATAGCAGAGTCTCTATTTTCATTGAATAAGGCTGTTATGTCTGATAATTTTCTCTTTCTGTTTTCTTTCACCAACCTTAAAATGCTGCGACTGTCTCTGTCACTTAGCTTTGCCTGCTTCCCTTTCCTCGGTATGTTTTCTACACTTCCTCGCTTGCGATACCGGTCAACTACAGAAGTTATTGTAGACCGGGGAATTTGTAATCTCCTTGCTATTTCTGAATGTTTTAATCCAGACAGGTAAAGAGAAACGATGACTTCTTTAACATCAGTACTCAATTCTTTACGCACGGTAGCCATTTTGTTTACAGGGGAAATACACAGCAGACGAAAATAATTTTGCTACGTAATTGTGACACGTGACAGTCACGTGGATATGCTATAAATATATACTTATTTATTCAACATTGACGCCATGGTTAAAAGATACAGCGTCGACGAAGTTATGTGAAAATGTAAAGTGACGTAATGAAAATTGAATTTGGACGAACACTTATGGCACATCACTGTAAAAGAAAATTAACTTTTCGGTAGAGAATTGCATTCAGTCAGAAACATTGTTTTTGTAGGACTGTCATGTTTTGACATTCACCAGCTCTGGACAAGTGTCAGATCACCTTGTCCTCCACCCAACTCTGACTTCAGGAAACTTTATCATCAAACCTATATGGCTGCCAGGCACCCAGACTGAGCTAGCCATTGTTACAGCAGATTTTGTCAAGGTAATATACAGCAAGAGTTGGACTTGAAACATTCTCTTTTAATATTTTAACTATGTTAAGAATTTTATTAGATCTTTACTTTAATCTGTTTTACAGATTTATAACCTAAGTGTGGATGCACTCAGCCCCCAGTACTACTTTTTGCTGCCAAGTGGTAAGATTCGTGATGCCACATTTATATGCACAGAAGAAGGCCGCTACATGGTGTTGATGGCATCTAGTGGATATATATACACACAGATCATGGATGAAAGTAGCAGTGCCAAGAATGGACCGTTCTATATTACCAATGTCATGGATGTTGAACATTCAGATTTAAAGGTATAACAGATGTTAACAACATTATTCCTGTAAAAAAACAAATGTTGAAAACCATTGTGAGCATGGTTAGATTGTTCATTGATTAAATACATGTATGATAATAATGAGCGAGGAATTTACAATGTAACTGATATTAAAGTTTGAATTACACTGTATCACCATGGACCTGTTTTTATGAAGATTTCAACCTTGCATTTCATTTACTTTTTAACAGGAAGTGAACAATTTGGTGGCAGGAGGGGGTGTGTCTGTTTACTACTCACATGCTCTCCAGTTGATCTTCTTCAGCTATACTCAAGGTAATGGGACTGTATACTTTTAACAAGGCCGAGTCTAATTATTTCTACCCCAGGGTTTGCGATAATTTTTTGTTGATTAATTTTTACTGTTATATTTATTGTTTTAAGATTAAAAAAACAAATGCTTACCACCCCGATTTCTTTTGGGGTCATCTCATAAGTTGTCAAATTTTACTATTGGACCCTATGGGAATTTGTGGGGAAAGTGCCAATTTATCACATCTTTTCCAAATTTTTTGTATTTCTGTCCTAGAGATTTCTTCCTCAGTCAAGTAGATGAAAGTTATTTTAAAAAAGTCACCAAATTGTGAAATTTCAAAAAAGTTGACCATATAGATTGGTCTGGGTCTTAATTATAAAGTTTATTTTTTCGATGTCAAATACCTCTAAAATTGCCATATTGTGGTATAAATACATACTGGTGCACATGAATTATCAGGACAGATATTTTCTGGTGTAAAAAAAATTGCAATATTTAGATTGCTGCTATGTTTCTTCTGATGGTCTTTCATCAGGTTTTAGTAAAATATCCATGGACGTCTACGAACATGTAAGCAAGTTGTTACCATTCTTCAGCTTCATGCATTGCTTACGAAATCGGAAAACAGTGACGTCGTTAGAGCCATTTCAGCTTTTTTTCCCAATTATTGTAGTAAAATCACATTTTTAGACCAGTGGATGTTTCAGATAATGTCAATTTTAAATTTAAATCACAATATTTTGGAAAGGTGTACTGTCGCACTTATGACTGCGTGAAATTAAAAAGGTGCGCAAAAGTCATGCGCACTCGAATTAGACTTGACCTCATTAAGATTTGAAATATAGAAAAGAAGTTATATATATATGAAACTACATACTAAAATCTTCAACTTTTTTCCTGATCAGGAAAGAGTTTTGCTGCAACAGTTTCCAAGGATTTGTCTAAGACTCCAATGCTATTTCCAATTACTCTCAAAGCGTAAGTTTTTTGATATTTTCAGAAAAATTAAAATGATATAAGATGAGCATTTGATTTATGTTGAGGTTTTCATTTACAACATTATATTTGACTTTCAGAAATGGGACCTCAAAGGGGAGTACTTCTGTCCAGCCCTTGGTCCAGTGGTCCGAGGTCCCAGGTCATACGGGTCTGATGTACAGCATGACCCAGACCTCCAACAACCCTGTGGTTCTCATGATACAGCTGGACAGCATCATGGTTCAGGAAATCAAAGTTGTCCCCGCCAAAGCAAAGGTATTGTGTAATACAACTTCATTCCTTCTTCAAATATTTCAAATGCATTGATTAATTAAGATAAAGCATTTCTTGCTAACAAACAAAGTTAATAATAATTAAAAAAAAAAGCAGACTTGGAATAAATGCAATACATGTAATTCAAAATTTTTTATTTCAGATTCAAGATGTTGTTGCTATAAGACATACTGCTTCCAATTCAGATCAGGTATGATTATTGCATATGTGTACAGATGACTTTTGGGATTTTGTTTCTGTGAAATGTTAATGTGTCCAGATAATCAATTTGATTATAGAAAAGAAGAATCAGAGAGGCATTTTATTTGCAGAATGAATATTCTGTAAGCCTTTAGTTATTTGAAAATTCTGTTACTTTTAGCAACACAGAACCACTATGATTTTGCTCTGTGAAGATGGAAGCCTAAGAATATACATGGCCAATGTCAACACCACAAATTTCTGGCTGTCCCCCTATCTACAGCCCCAGAGTCCCATTTCTGTCCTCAAACCAATCAAGAAAAAGAGATCTACCAAGTCAGGTAATGTGTGGTATCTTAAAAGTACTGTTAATTTTTAATACAACTGAAACAGAATTGATTGAATTTTGAAGTAAGGTTTTGACTATGTAATGTGTTTTATTTGATAATAGGTAGACCCACTGGATCAGTTTCCTTTCCCATTGATTTCTTTGAGCACTGTCAGCAGAGTAATGATATAGAGGTAGATTGGGCTAATTTGTTAATTAATAAAAAAGAAAGTTTGTAACACAAATTCATCTACATATATGGAAGATTGATTTGATATGCTTATTTATGCTCTGATTTATCTTGATAGTTTGGTGGAAATGATTTGCTACAGATTTACAATGCTCAACAGATAAAACATAGGCTTAACACTATTGGGATGTATGTTGCAAGCACAAAGGTATGAAAGAAATGAAATTCACACTGATTATTTTTACAATCAATATGTGAACAAATTTAAGAACATGTGGAACATGTATCTGATACTACAAATCAGTAAATTGGTAAATGTGCTGAGTATTTTGAATTTATTTTCAGCCATTTGGGTTTACCGTGGAGATCAGTAACACAAACTCTGCCAATGTGATGGTGGGATGTCGCGTGTTGGTGGGGACCCAGAGTACTGAGAGAGCCCCATCTTATATAGAGGTCTTTGGAAGAACCACGCAGGTATGCTTATTGATTTAATTTTATGAATGAGCAAAGACGTGAATATTGAGAGGAAAGGTCAGATGATTAATGATCCAATTTGATGATTCCTTCCAGGTGAAAGTTACCAGGGCTAGATGGTTTGACTTGCCCTTCACAAGAGAAGAATCTCTAACTGCTGACAAAAAAATCACGCTCCATTGTAAGTAATTTTCTGTATGTATTTTTCAAACGTATGTAAGTCTGAAACTAATTTGATGTAGTCTTGATGTACATTTCTACTGATAGTAAGAAAATGACTAGGAATGAGAATTTTAAATAAATCTTTGGATGTAAGACTTTGCAGCATACATGTACTTGTAATTAGATTTTAAAGCAATTTTAACAGTCATATCAAAAAAATTTTATGACAGAATAAGAGAATTTTACTATATAACCAATACTATTCTTGTTTCCAGTTGGAGCCAGTGTGGATCCTGGTGGAGTGACAATGGTGGACTTTATCAAAGTTTTTGTCAAGACAAAGGAATCCTTTGGCTGGCCAGAGGAACCTGACGAGTTCCTGGAGTCCCAGACTCAGAAGGCGCTGTCCTCCTCGGGGGGTATGACTTCAGGGGAGAGTGAGGTGGTCCCCTCAGCGGCCCCCCTCCCACTCACCTCAGCTGACAGACTGTTAGGAAGTGCCCTGGAGGTGTTAGACGGAGCCTTTGCTGCATGCCCTTTGGAAGATAAGGTACTGTACATGTACATGTATATGCACAATCCTTTATTGAATCTTCAGCGAAATTTGATTGGTGATGTTATTCTTATTTTTATGTACATGCATTTGATAAACATATATAAATATACCAAGTCGAATGACAGTTTCAGTAAAGTTTGTTTTTATGCGCCCGGATCGATAGATCTGAGGCGTATATTGTTTTTGTCCTGTCTGTTTGTCTGTTTATCTGTTTGTCTGTTTGTCTGTTTGTCTGTCTGTCTGTTGTCAACTTTAACCTTCGCCATAATTTTTGAACTATCGAAGATAGAGACTTCATATTTGGTATGCATACTCCACCAGTAAAGTTCTTTCGAATGACACCAAGGTCAATGACCTTTTGACCTTGACTATGACCTATTTGCTAAAAATAGTTTTTTTTTTTATTTTTGCCATATCTTTTGAACCATGAGAGATAGAGACTACATATTTGATATCCTTACTCCACCAATGATGTTCTTTCAAATGACACCAAAGTCAATGACCTTGTGACCTTGACTGTAACCTATATGCTAAAAATAGATTTTACACAATTTTCGCCATAACTTTTGAACCGTGAGAAATAGAGACTTCATATTTGGTGTGCATACTCCACTAATGAAGTTCTTCAAATGACACCAAGGTCAATGACCTTGTGACCTTGACTTTCACTTATCTGCTGAAAATAGTTTTTTTAAACTTTGTTGCCGCCGGGCGCATAGTGTTTCACAAACACATTTTGTTTTATTACAGTTTGATTTCAAATTAATCTTTCTGTAACTTATTAGCATTTTCTTGGCTCTTAGGAAATGTAAAAAAAATGATTTTTCTGTTGACAGGGTATAACTGAGATGAGAACTGACACACTAGATATTGCTACCAGTCTCCTAAATCTACCAATGCCAGACAGTGTACAGTCCCATACCAAGTCATTACTGGCCTCTCTCTTCCCAACCTCACAGGCTTACTACAACCACAAGGTAATTACTGGTTTATACTCACTCCATGGTCTTACTACGTCTACATTGTAAGTACAATTTGTATACAACAGTTGTCTCTCTCACTTATCCTCAAAGCATACTACGAACACAAAATTCATATTACACTGAATACACATGATGTTATCATAATTATTTATTAAACTCTGCTACAACTTGAGGCTGCTTTATAGAAGTCAGTCTCTTGCTTTCTCATTTTAATGTAAAAAGGTGAGCATTTCCAAGCTACAGATTTCAAATATATACCTATGGGCAGCGGAAAGGGCAAAAATTACCATAATGAGAAAACAAACAATTATTTTAATTTCAATGACCATAAAAACTTAACAAATGATATACAATGCATAATCAACAGACATTTTCGCAGAACAAATATACATTAAAGCAAAACCAACGACCACGTACGTAACAAACATATATAAATGCAAAACCAACGATCATCTTTGCAGTACAAACGTACATAAAACACGACAAACGAAAAAACTTAACAAACGTGCAAGCGGTAAATCTAGTCTTCCAGACTCCCGACGGTCCCAGAATTTTTTTTTTATTTTGGTGATTTCTTTTTTGTCGGCTCACAGAAACTCTTCACACTTCTCAGGCACATTTCTAGGTTTAAATAAATTCATTAATATATAAAAACTTAAACAAATTTATGTATTTATAACTGAATCAGCAGTATCACCAAAAAGCGGTAAATCTAGTACTCAGCTATAAATGCGAAAACCACTGAAAAAAAGGATAATGATGTTTTCGTAGAATCGCGATTAAAACAACAAACTGAGGTATATTTTTTTAATAAATGAAAACCCTCATTTACATGCCAGAAAATTTGTATGATCAAAAATTCCCCACACATTTTTTTTTCGTATAGAACTCTTTGCCATAACATGTTTATGTTCCTAGGCTCTACTGCATAGATGTGGTCTACCTCGGATCCTCCTTTAATTTTTTCCTTTTTTTAATTTTAATTTATCTTAAAAATTTCAATTGAAAGAAAGTAATTTACATAAAACAAAAAAAAAATCTCATTCTCCTGAAGGCCGTTTCGTCATTATTTATTTATTTATTTATTTTTTCTTGGTTGTTGTTGTTATTACATAAATTGGTTTTCCCCAGTTCTTTAAATATTACAAGAATCTATTATGATACATGTAACTTTACATTACAGTGAAATATCATATGACAGGCACGTAGCAACATTTCCCAATTTTAAGAGTAAGGTAAAAAAAAGGGTTATGTAGTACATGTATATTAAGAAAAAAAATTGGTACTGAAAGAAGTTTTTAAAATCTTTTTTCAGCTGGATTGAAATTTTTTCTCTGGTTACCCCCTCCTTTCAAAAACGATGCTACATCAATGTATAACAATGCAATACTTTCATTTTGCATGGTTTTACTAAAGTACAATGTTAGATTTAGCTATTTTTATGAAATGTTTGATAAAAATCTCTTTTGAAATCAAATCATTTTGATGTTATGAATTTTTATAGAATTTAAATGTTCATTTTTTTTATTAACACCACCAATTTTTACTGAAATACTAATTCCATCTTCAGATTTGAAGTTAATTTTATTTCATCTTAAAGTTATTGAAACAAGATTGCCACTTTTCCTAAATATTAGAATAAAATTAAAATTTGTGAGAATGCAAGGATGTGTCAATCAAACCCGTCTAAAATTTTGAAGGTTTTAATAACTTTTAGATGAAATGAGAATTTAATATATTTTTGTGTGAAATGCTATTAAAATATATAAGTCGTAATTTTATACAGAAAATATTAACTTCAAATCTGTGTCCATGCACCTTTACCATCTACGACACCTAACGTCTCTCTGTATCGATGTCCGTTTTTGGTTTTCATATTAATAACGGAGTACTACATTTACCGCTTTTTGGAAGATGATACGGCTGATTCAGTAATAAATACGCAAATTTGTTTAAGTTTTTATATATTATTGAATTCATTTAAAAAGAAAATGTGCCTGAGAAGTTTGAAGAGTTTCTGTGCGCCGACAAAAAAAAAATAATCCGGGACCGTCGGAGTCGGGAAGACTAGATTTACCGCTTGTACGTTTGTTAAGTTTTTTTCATTTGTCATGTTTTTATGTACATTTGTACTGCAAAGATGATCGTTGGTTTTTGCATTCATATACGTTTGTTACGTACGTGGTTGTTGGTTTTGCTTTAATGTATATTTGTTCTGCGAAAATGTCTGTTGATTATGCATTGTATATCATTTGTTAAGTTTTTATGGTCATTGAAATTAAAATAATTGTTTGTTTTCTCATTATGGTAATTTTTGCCCTTTCCGCTGCCCATATATATCACATTAATGAAGAATGGTAAGAAGAAGGCATATGTGAATTTTGTCACTTTTTTCTGTTATTCGTATCATAAATAGTTATCTTTGTATGAATTATAGGACCAGGCTGAGCTGAAGCATGTGATGGCCAGTCTGAACAAGGACAAAGCTTTAGATGTGGAGGCTTACCAGAGACTTCTGGTGACGGCCAGATCTGTAGCTGTATCCAGGTCTAACAACCTCATCAAGTTTGCTGAGAAAGGAAACAAAGATGAAGAAGGTAACAGCTCAGACAGTAACCATATTCAACATATCACTTAAGTGTCTTATTTATTGTAAACTGCCCCTAAAAATGACAGTATCAGCATTAAAATGTCACATTGTATATTAGTGGAAATGTCATCTTACGTCTTTTTCTCATATATATAGTTTTAGAAGTCACAGATTTAGAAGATGAAAAAGATGAGAAACCAGCACCATCTATTGCCAGTCTCTCTGACCTTGACCCCAAAGAGAAGACCCATTTTGTGACCCAGTTAATGGAAGCTTTCTGGGCCTTACACAGTGCTAAGCCTGCCAACCCCATGCTGGCCCCCGTGTGTCTCCCTGGCCTGGCCCACGTGGATGCCACAGTAGGGGCTCTGGTGGAGATTATCCATGCCTTTGCTATCAGTGACTTTGACCATGTGTCCCTGGCCACTAAGCTGTATGTGAAGATGTTACTATGTCCTGACCAGCTGGTCAGTTTCTCCTGTAAGCAGGCTCTGATTCGCTGTCTGAGGCCCCGACACAGACGTAGGAGGGTGTTTATACCATCTCCTCCTAGGTGTAATTCACCAGGTAATCTGAGTACAAACTGTAATTATTAATATAATTTTTCGTAAATTATTTTTTTTTAGATACTCGATACAGTGCAGTGATTTTTGGCTTAATTTTATGTAAACTATAGTTGTAGCAGTAGGCTGAGACTTGTACAAATTAGATTGGTTCTGATATATACATGAAAAAATTGGATGTAAGATCATGGAGATTCATTATGAACATTGAGTTAATGGAAAAAATTTATCAAACTTGTAGGTGGTGGAGCTGATGATGATGATGATGACGATGAAGATGATGATGACAATGACAAGGGAGATAAACCAGTACAGAACGTGGTGGAGCCTGTGGTTCCTCCTCACTCGGTAGAGATAGAGGAACACAATGATGTAGACGATGCTGATGAACAATTTGAAGTTGTGGTATGTATTACATGTATGTGCAATATAATTCAAATAAGTAATAGAAATAGAATAAAATTGAACATGAAAAAACTGCTCTCCCTGACTATTGTTGACAGTTTGCAGCATATAAATTAACATGTATGAAAATATGTAATGTTAATACTTGAAAAAATATGTGCATAAATTGCTACATGTACCTGTAATTGTAGGAGCATGATGAGCCCATGGTACTTGAGCCAGGTGACCCTGAACCAGAGGAAGGTAACCGGTTACCATTAGAGGCCCTGCTAGCCAGTCGTAACTTTCCTATGGTGGATATCCCACCTGATGCTGATGATGAAACAATGGTAGAACTGGCCATAGCACTCAGCCTCCAAGACCAGGTATTAATCTTCACAGTGGACTGCTGTAATTTAAATATGAAAAACTAGTACAAAATTTTTATGAAATGATTTACCTGCATATATACCTAGAGAAAATATAAGCTGAAAAAGAAATTTTATAAGAGTACTATCTGTTGGAAATTCATTGTACTTTTTGAATTTCAATTCAGAATTATAGAAATTATTCATCTTCATTTGTAGCCAGGAAATAGTAACTCTCTTGGTTTGCAAGGACTTGGACTTAACAACGTACAGGTAAATTTGAATCTTCGCCTTTTAATAGAAAAATGCATAGACTTTTATCAAGCTTGATTAAAACATCATTAACTTTTTTTTAATTACAACATCATAAATTTTTTTGACAGTCTGCACTGCAGAATGCCATATCTATTGAGGAGGGCCCAATGTCAGACACGACAGCCTCAGCTCCTGGCAGTGATGATGAAATGGGGAGTAATGCCGCCACTGATGGATCTACCCTCCGTACTTCTCCTGCAGAGCATGCTGGGAGTGCAGGATCAGAGAGTGGAGGAAGTGCCATAGAATCTATAGGTAAAAGCTGTGAGATTTGTATATAAATATGAAATATATATTTATTTTAAATTAATTATTGGTGGAATATATTTTATTAATGTTTTGAAAATTTTGATTATAGTGAGTGGCAGAAGCAGTGCTTATGGAGACAGAGACAGGGAGAGTAACACATTTGGACCCAGGAGTGAAACTAGCAGTGTGGGTATACCAAGTGGCTCCCTACAACAGGAAGTAGACGGCACAGATGTCGACGCTGACTATGATGCTTCAGTCAGGTAAACACAGGATACACGTAACATGAAGCATTTGTATTGTTCAGTTAAATAAATGGATGTACATATGAATTATCTTTTTTTGCAGGCTGCATAATTTGCGCTTGATGATAATGGAGAGACTTTTACAATATCTGCCAGAGATGAGGAATGTAGGAGGTGTTAGAGTGATACCTTACATGCAGGTAGGTGGTCTAATCTGACAAGTTTGATTCTGTCATATAAACTGGTTCAGGAATGTTAATACAGAAATGTGTACCTGTTGCCAGGTCTTACTAATGCTGACATCAGATCTGGACAGTGAGGAAGAAAAAGACAAAGGAGCTCTGGATGCTCTGTTAACAGCCATTGTCAAGGAACTGGACCTCACTGGAAAAGTAAGACTAATGTTCAAACTTAGCTTATTTTTTCATAAAATCATTAAAATGTCATTGTTCATTTGAATGAAAAGATTTGAGACATATTTCATGTATGTGCTTGCTTCTTTGCATTTCTTAGCACTTTCTTTTTTTAACAGGATTTGGAGCAGATTGCCATCAGAAATCAATGCTATGAAGTCAAACTTGTCCTTCTGAGACTGCTTAGTGTTCTACTGTCAAGAACAAAAACAGGAAATAAACCTGCTGGGGAGGTAATCAATATCAAACATTCAATCAGTTTATACTTTTGATCTCTGTTTTACCATTTTACTAACATGGTGTTGTATTTTGTTTTCAGTCTTCCTCCTCCTTCATCAGCAATGCTTCAGCAGCGGCCCTCATATCAAGTGGAGCCATTCCTTACTGCCTCACTATTCTACAAAACCTGCTGCCATTCTGGAAACAGTACTCAGCTACAGAAGTGAGTAATACTAAGTCTTGATATACAGATGTACATGTATTTGAGAGGCACACAGCTCTGTGCACTTGTAATAGTTTTTAAATCTACTGTTAAATAAAGATATTTACTTATGTGCTTTATACATTGTTTAGTCTTCTACATTACTTTCTGTGTTACCTGTTTTATTATGAAATTTCATTTTCTTTCAGGAGGAGGGTAGTGCAGTTACAGGACAATTATTGAAGCCTCACCCCACATCCCCACCCCCAGACATGTCGCCTTTCTTCCTGCGTCAGTATGTTAAGGGACATGCTAATGATGTCTTCGAGGATTACCCTCAGATGCTGACTGAGATGGTGCTTAGACTGCCATATCAGGTAGGCTAAGATTTTTACCATGGTTTGAAATAAGAGGAATTGTTTATCTTTATAAAACAAATTATTACCTTCATCCTATTGATTTTTCTTGTAGCTGAAGAAGATTTCTGAGAGTGTTTCAAGTGTTCCATCTGCAACTTTTGAAAAGCAATGGAACACAATTTTGTCAGAGGTATTTGAAAAATTGACACATGTGTATAAATTTACTTTGTCATATCGAAGTGGATTGAAAAAAGTTCTTAGATCATTTAATCAACATAGACAAAGATTTATAAAGTGCAAACCCTTTTACTTTCAGTACATGATGACTCAGCAGACACCTTACTTCAAACGACAAGTCAGAAAGGTTAGTTATGCATTTCTATAAGTTATGCATACAAGTCTAAATGTGAATTATCACAGTCTTGAAGTCATTATACATAAAACGTATAAGAGGAATCATTCAACAAAGCAATTGAAATAATACTTGACCATGCTGTCTGTTATAGCTGCTGCTGTTTATAAGTGGAACCAAAGAGAAGTACAGACAGCTGAGGGACCTACATGCTGTAGAGTCCCACCTTCAAACTGTGACAGAACTGTGTAAGGAGGGAGGGTTAGACATCAATGAGGACGAGGTCACGCCTGCCCCTGTAGTCCTCAACTACGATACACTCCTTAATATTGTAAGTGTTCAGAGTACAGTAATGCTCTTCTTGAAATTGAACTATAACTGCACATCAGAAATACAAGCAATTTGAACATACAAGTGATAAAATAAAACACATTAATGAATTGCTTTTGAAAGTTGAATACAATATTCTTTGCAGATAAGTTCATATTAACTCAATTATGCAGAATAGCTATGTTATTTAAAAAAGATCAACAATTGCTTGAAACATATTTCATAATTGATAATATATTGACTCCAGTTTCCTTTTTGAACGCATTTTCATATTTTACTTCTCTTTGTAGATTGAGCATTTGAAGTTCTGCAGTGACACTGCTAGCAGTAGGCCTGTCAACTGGCAGTTGTACTGTCGAGACAACCAAAGTAAGTGTGACCTCAAAACAATAATAAGCATCATCACTCTTCTGATATAAAATCAGATAAAATCATCAGGTTCTGAAATAAAATTACACAGCGGTACCTGTATGTTTCAGATGTGATGATATTTTTGGTGAGGGCCAGTATCCTCCTGAATGAGGGGGTAGCCCCCACCCTCCTACAGCTGTTACAGAGTGCCCTGTGTGGAAATAAATCAGAGGAGGGAAAAGATGGAGGGAAATCTAGTGTAACAGGGTCCCCTGGAAAACCCAAGAAAGATAAGGACAAGGATAAAAATGACCAGGGTATTGCTTTATGAAATGTACTGTTTCAAACAAATTGTACATATACAAAAGAATGAAGTAATGCTCAAAGATGGACTGGTAAATGATAAAAAGTTGTTGCAAGGAATGAAAGTTATAATAATGAACTCTGCTATTTCCCCAAAAAAATCTTTCAAATCTTTGTACTGTATAGGGGATTAATTTCACGGGTTGTAATTTTCACGTTTTTCTCTCATCTGACACAATCACGTTTCTTGAATTCGCGGAATTTGTATGTATGATAAAGGTTACCTCCCTTGTCTATATCCGTTTTATCCATACCATAGCTACATGTAAACGACATTAATCAGCGTTGTGTCTTTAACTCACGAACAACAGGGTAGATTAATATAAAATAGTTAGATTTAATAAATAATTGACAATTAACTATAACAAGTGCAGTTATCAAAAGTCCTTGACTAATAAACGTCAAATTGCTTTCCTATATGCTATATACACCCCAAGTTCTTCAATACAACGCAGCGAAAAACCACTGGACGGTAATGTGTTAATGTGGGTCGACAAAATAATATCCTTTCACATCTTCAGTAAGTTCCATAGTTAGTTTGAATGATTTTTTAAAACCAAAATGTCGATAAAAAAAACTAATATGCTCGATAATGCAGGTAACAAATACACGTGGTAACACTAGTTACGCACGGGTAATCAAAACCCATGACACACGTGTTTTGATTGAAGAAACATGTAGCGTTGGCAACTAAAAAAGGTTTTTAACAAATACAGGTTATTATCTGCCGATTAATTTGAATTAAAGAACAAAATACGGTATTAGCAATAATTCGCCGCAAATAATACGATATTTTAAACATCATGGTATCATTGTTTGATGTTATGCATTGAAGTAAGGAAGATGCGAAGTAAATTCTACAAGTACAACAATGACGTAATTTTTAACTATGACGTCACTGATACGCGCTAAACATCGAATGGTGGTGCAAAATCGTTAAATTATGCTGAAAAATGAGTAATCTTTGCTGAAATTAGACCCTTTCACATGCAACAACCACTTTTATACTCCGCATATAAGTTCATCATTACATATCTCAGACACATCATTAAAATAGTGTTGGTTGTCACCTGTGATCAATATGAATTTTGCAAAAGTTCTACACAGAAAAAGATCATGTACAGACGCAATTTTCCTGATATCGATGTTAATGACGCTTAATTTACACAGTAAGAGATTTTTTTAATTCAAGTCGCATCACTGGACAAAGTAAACTATAAATACCCCTAAATATAAATAAAATATTTTGAAAACAAAGTATAAATTGTAATTAAAGATACCGCTTATGCTGTTTGTACATCGTATGCACTTGCATACTACTAGTATAGTGTCCGTGGCTGTACATGTAGCATTGAATAACAGCACAAAAATATCATTCACAAAAGTAGCACGATATTTTTTATTCTAATTATTACAAGAGTAATTAAAAAATCTGTGATACATGTACCTCAGTATAATTATATTTTCCTTTACGAGCCTTCCTCAATGTGTATGTAGTCTTTAATACTAGTTATAAATAGTGTGACTTCCGAACAATCATGACAGCCATTAAAAATACATTAAAATAATTATACATACATTGAATAACCTTTACGAGAACATTTAAATGTAGCATTAAAGTATGGTTCAACATTTAATTTGTTAGATCAAGTATTGCTTTATATATAGCCTTTAATTGTGAAATATAAATATTATATACATGTACATGCTGTAAATCTTGACAGTGTGTAGTTGATAGCAGACCCCCCCCCCCTCAAATAAGACACAACCAATCCAAAAAATAAGTTCCCGAATACTAGATAGTATGCACATTAATAGTACAAAATAGCGCATATAAATGCAAATGTTCATTTATTATTTTTTTGCAAATATTTCCTGCAGAATTTTGTTTGAAAGATAGATTGAGTATCAATAGACATTGAACATTACTGCGTAGGTTTTTAGCCCCCCCCCCCCCCACACACACACACACACACTTTCCACGGACACTTTACTGTACAAGTTTTAAATTGGGAAAGTGGTGCTGTTTGGAAAAAAATCTTGGTACTGAAGTTTGAATCTATAACCCCCCCCCCCCCGCCCAAACAAAAAAGTTTTGTGGTGTTTGGGAAAGTGAAAAAAATATTAAGATTTGGTTGGGTTTGTTTTTTTTTTTTGGGGGGGGGGGGGGCTAAATTTTTTTTCTTACACTTAGCCCCCGCCCCCCACTTTTAATTTGCTTCCGACGCCGATGCAGAGTCATAAATTACATGTTTACAGAAATATATATATTTAGAAGCCAGTGGTTATTTGCTTAAAAAAGACTTACAATGTTGCGCATGTTAGTGGCATTTCAAAAAATCTGACATTGGTCAGCGACATTCAGCAGCTTCTGACTTGTGATCAAGCTAAGGACTCCCCTACACCCTTCATCCTTGGATTTTAAGATTTTTTAGAGATTTTACGAAGGAAAGCAGATCGTCTTCGAAAGTTGTCAGCAAAGAAATAAATGTTTGGACACGTTTTGTTTTGTTTCTCCCTGTGAAAAAAATCTGAGTGTGCTGTAAATAAGCTCGTAAACACTAAACAGTACGTCTTTTATATACACAGATACTTGTAAATATGTCTCACACCTAAATCCAGGTAAATCCGTAATTCCCGATTGCATAGACAATCACAATTGCATTTTTTAATTTGTGATCATGAACTTCATGTAGAAAAACTCGCATCTATTTTTAATGTTTGCACTATCTTTAGTTACCACATATTAATACAGGTTTATGTATGATAAAATTCCACCACTTCATATCATTATTCATTTTGTACTACAGAAACGGTATGGGGTATATTGGGACATACAAGGAATTACATGTAGAATTAGAAAAGCCAATTTACCACTGCTAAAGAAGCTAACGACTCAATTTTTTCTGTCAAAAAAATTCAACATACTTGTAGGTACGTAGCAACATGGGAGGGGTGGATTTTTTCCAAACATAAATTTTACTAATTGAAATGTTCTTTGATAGGCCGGTTGCCCCCCCCCCCCCCCCCCCCCCCCCCCCGACTAGATCTGATAGAAATTTTTCTCAATTTATTTTAGAGAAATAGCTAAAAAAAATTATTTAGAGCGTACTAATCACTGCAATAAAATGAAAGCAAATGTCAAAAAGAAAATATATAGTTTATTTCTTTTTCTCCATGTTCCTCTGTTAGACTTTTTTAGTACTTCTCATCAACTAAAGCGGAGACAGCATCGTGGATGTTTACAATGTAGGTAAATAATAATGCCAATAAATAAATAATAAAAAAAAAACAGCAATGACGTATTAATAAATCAACAATTTAATTTCTTAAATTTGTATTTAAAATAACTGTGTCCTAGAGAGTAAGTAAGGATTTTCAGATTACGCTTACTACACGTCAAACGTACGACGTCGCGTCAAAATTCTTCATAAAATCTCGACGTTCTGCTATAGAAGGTACTGTATTCAGCGTTATTTTTCCAATGCATACATTTAAGTCAGATATATAAATTATATATCATTTGATTCTAAAAATTCTAAGCTTTTTAAAATGTTTTGAACGGAGCATGTCTGACATCCGGCATTTTTTAGCCAATACCGTACTTTGTTCTTAAAGCGTGATAATTAAAATAATTATATGACAGTACGGTACTACTCGTAATTACTGAAATGACCGAGATGTACTACACGTACATGTATATAAACCTATCGTAGTCTATTCTCAAATTTCCAAATAAAACATGGAAATTATTGAAAAATTATTCACTGTTTCTTGAATTCACGGATTTATTAACACCGTGAATATAGCGAATATTAACACCGCAAGTTATTTTCCCCCTATACAGTATTTCCTGTGTTAAACAGATTCAGATGATGGACAGAAGCACGATGAGGCCCTTTGTCTGAGCCTGGTCCAGCTGTTGATGAAGATCCTGGACAGAGATCTCCTGGTGAAGTTTGTACGCACCTTCCTCCTGGAGTCTAACTCCACCAGTATCCGCTGGCAGGCCCACAGTCTGTTACACAGTATCTATAAAAACTCCAGTCTGTCGGAACAGGAGAGGCTGCTGGAACTGTTGTGGGATCTCTGGAAAGAGCTGCCACAGCATGGACGAAAGGCTTCTCAGTTTGTGGATCTGCTCGGCTACTTCCTGCTGAAAACTCCACAGACTTCTGAGAAAAAAGTAAGTTGAGCAAGATAAGTTTGAAAAATAAGTGAAATAATTTAACATGCTAAATACTGTAGACTGAAACGTGTATTCCTCCAGAATTAATATGTCAGATTTTCTTAAATGTAGGTAACAGAGAATTTTATTAAATCTCTAAAAATTTCCAGTTTGACTTAATAAATTTCACACCTATAATATACATGTAAATGTATGATATTGACTGAGACTGTTCTACTGATTGCAGACAAAAGAATATCTGGACAAAGCTGTAGCTGTGTTGAGACAGGAAAATCAAGTTTTAACAAACCATCCTAATGCCCAGATATACAAGTAAGAAACATAAAAATATCTCAGTATATTCTGAGATATGATTAAATGAAACTTTGGTTTATATTCAAATTGTGCATATTTTATACTTGTAAACATGATTTACAGCATGTTGCAAGGTCTAGTGGACTTTGATGGATATTATCTGGAAAGTGACCCTTGCCTTGTTTGTAACAATCCAGAAGTTCCATATGCTGTGAGTATAGTGTTTTACCTAAAGATTTCCCATTCTCATATTAATAACCATTCATAATATGCATCCTTTTCCTCACAGAATCTGAAGCTGTCATCAATCAAGGTGGACTCTAAGTTTACCACCACCACACAGATTGTGAAGCTAGTGGGAAGTCACACCATCTCTAAGATCACTCTGAGGATCAGTGACCTGAAGAGAACCAAAATGGTCCGAGTTCTCAACATTTATTACAACAACAGAACTGTACAGGCTGTGGTGGAACTCAAAAACAAGTATGTACAATATACTGTATATGACCCTATACATTATTCAGCAACTCTTAATTCTAACATCAAGCTACCCTTTTCATCATTAAGATTTCTGCTACACAATTTTAAATCAAAGTATTATTTTACTAGCAAAATTAATAGTTGAAGATATTAGAATGTTGCAATGTGCCATATTGCCTTTTTGGGGTATATTCTTTCCATATGGTTCTTGAACATACAGATTAGTACCATGTATTAGTACAGTTCTAAGTCATGAAACATGTACATATAAATATTTTATTTTAGACCTGGACTTTGGCATAAAGCGAGAAAGATGACCTTGACCACAGGTCAGACAGATGTCAAGGTTGAATTCCCCATCCCTATTGTGGCCTGTAATCTGATGATAGAGTATGCTGATTTCTATGATAATCTCCAGGCCACGGCTGAGACACTTCAATGCCCCCGCTGTAGTGCCTCAGTACCTGCTAACCCAGGAGTGTGTGGGAACTGTGGGGAGAATGTGTTCCAGTGTCACAAGTGCAGGTAATGGCTGAATTTCTTATCTTTTATAATACTTGATTTTCTTTTAATCCTAGGCTCTGTAAGAAAATGTAAATGAAGTAAGTTGTAATGTTTTTCACTAGCAAATAATTGAGAAAAGACGAGCAAGATATAATGGTCCATGTAGAAGTTTTACAATGTAGCAACAATCAAAACTTAAACAGACTTATTTTAAAGTTATTCATTTTATTGCCTTATTTGATTATTATATCTTTACTGTTTATAGAGCCATTAACTATGATGAGAAGGATCCCTTCCTCTGCAATGCTTGTGGATTCTGTAAATATGCCAAGTTTGACTTCACTCTGACTGCCAAACCCTGCTGTGCTGTTGATCCCATTGAAAATGAGGAGGACAGAAAGAAGGTATTTGATCAAAGAATTTTGTTTTGAAATGTTTTCAATATTCTTAAATAAAAAATTAATAATTTGCATATAAAATGAGGTCAAATTAACATTATCATTGTTTTTCAGGCTATTGGAACCATCAACACCCTACTGGAGAAAGCTGACAGAATATACAGAAATTTACAGCAACACAGACCACAACTGGAAAAGCTGCTGATTCAAGTCAAAGAACATGGATCTGAAAGGGTAGGAAAATTTATTTTGTTTCTTTTGTCTTGTACTGATAAGTGACCAAATGCTGACCATACATTAAATACCTGACTTTGTTTTATAGGAGGAGGGGGTTAGTGCCAGTGGTGCCAGCAGTGGGAGTGTCCCAGGCAGTAGTGTCAACAAGTCCATACAACAACTGGCCCTCAAGTACTGCAACGAGTGTAAATCATCATTTGATGAACTCAGCAAGATCATTCAGGTACACACAAAATCCACTTACATGTACTTTTGTACATACAAAAATTATAATTTGCTTACAGAATTCTTAAATAGCACTTACCTGAAGGTTAGAAATTGAGTATACCAATGTATGCATTGATGCCTCTTTAGATTATTAAAATGTGGAATTTTTCCTGTTTTAACAGAAGGTAATGGCTTCCCGTAAGGAGTTGGTGGAGTATGACTGTCAGCAGCAGGAAGCTGTGGCCGCTGCCAGCCGAGTCTCTCCTGTCACAAGTCCCAGAGACATCACAGAATCACCTCTCAAGGCTCGCAAAGTTCCCAGCTGTAGTAAACCACAAGGCAAGGGGAGGTAAGTGTACTTCTTTGTTTTGATGATTATGTTGTAGATGATTTTGAATTATTGTAGTAAGTACTTTGTTGGTATGAGTTATAGTGAATTTATAGATTAAAGGATCATTAAATGTTTTGACAGTGCCCGAACCAGTAACTGCTTTGGATGTGCCAGTGCTGCAGTGGAACATTGTATTACATTACTGAGAGCTCTGGTCACCAACACCAACCTCAGACAGATGCTGTGTAGCCAGGTAAAATTATAGAGCTTGATAGACTGAATCTTAACGTATAAGCAGAATTTTTAGCGAGGATTTAATTTTGGCATTATTAGCAAGGGTGCTGAGATCGCTAAAATCGAATATCGCTAAGAATTAATTGTTTTTTAGTTGTAATAGTTTCTTAAGTGAGCATGTCAAAACCATTAATATTACTTCTATATATTAAACATAAAATTCCCAATTTTAAGGACAAATCGCTAAATTTGCATCTCACAAAAATTTCCACTTATACGGTAACTTGCTTTGCATAAATGATAGAAAAGTTGAAAAATCTTAGGAGATATGCAAAATGGTTTTGTTCAGTGAATATTTTTGTTTGTAATTGATTTATAAAATGCTTTATGATGAATTCTTGTAGGGCATGATCAAGGAGCTTATTGATTACAACTTGAGACATGGTACTTTGCAAGTCAGAATAGCTGTGTTGTCCCTGCTGTGTATGTTGACCAAAGACAACCGTAAAGGAACAGAGGAAATGAACAATCTGATAATGAACAGGATAGCTGGGGCACTTAAAGGCCATTTGTCCAACCCAGATCTGGTAAGGGGGTTGTCAGACAGAGATTCCTAATGTACATTGTACTGACTCTATCTGGAATTGGTGTTTTAGAATTGATTTTTGATTTGTAATTTGTCTGATTTGTTAAGGGTTCTTCTGTGAGACATGAGATCATGCTGCTTGCCACATCTCTAGAGCAGGAGGACAGTTGTTGGGAACAAAGAGTCAGATGTGGTATGTGTCACACAATTAGCCTTTGATTGTATATGAAGATTTGGATCTCTCAAAATCATGCAAATGTTGATATTTCGTTTGATTTTCAATGTAACATTTAATGAGTATTTTATTTCCCAGTGATGAGATTGTTCCTGATGGGGATGCAGATGAAGCAGCCAGTGATAATGGACACTATAACATTACCTTGTCTGAGGATTCTTCAACAACTGGTCAAACCTGATGGAGGTGCTGGAAAGAAGGTAAGCAGGCTCAGTTTATTATAACACAATAAAGATATTAAAAAGGCTATGAATCAATATAAGAATTTCAGTATTTAGATTGTCAACTATGACCTCTTTTTATCCCAGGAGAAGCAGAGCCAAGAGATTTCAGTCCCCTTGAAGTATGTGTCAGCTGACTTACATGTAAACAGTAAGGCTTGGCTATCAGGGGACATCAAGCACTCATTTCAGGCCTGGCAGAAGAGGCTCCCTAGAAGAGGTATAGACGGGTGCTTTAATCATTTGCTTATGCCTTAATGTTTAAAAATTGAGATGCAAATTTAAAAAGAACTGCTAAATACTAAATACTATACTTCCAGGGAACATATTATCAAAGGGTTCTGAAAATGCATAATGTGTCAGTTAAAGTTATTTTCTTACAGCAAAAAGAATGATTTTGACTTGTTATTATTAATTTTGGCTTCTTGTTGAATAGGAGTTGCTGAATCTGCTGAAAAATCTGAGAAAAAGGAAGGCAAGAAAGAAGCCAGAGCTTTGTATTTGATGGAGAAGTATGGGAACAGATGGAGAGAGAAGATGTGGAAGACTCCACCCATCCACCTAAAGCTGACCCAGACAACGTGGCTACAACAGGCCATGTTTACACCCTCCTCCCGGTCTGCCCGACAGACAGCCTGTAGTATCATAGAGTCTATCTCCCAGATACCATCGCGTAAAAAGGAGATTATTGACATGCTTACCAAGTAAGAGTTATTACTCTGAGTAGATTTTTAATTTGACAATTTTTAAAATTTTGATATTGCTTTTTCTCAGTGATAAAAAAAATGGAAATGGAAAACAAGAGTAGTGGATGTACACGTATATAATTTATTTTTTCATTGAAGATGCTTGGATGAAATTTGTAAAAGTGGAGAGTGTGCCACAGAATTCCTTGCTCTCTTCAAACGGATGATCAGTCAGCCTCACTGGAAGTGTTACCTGTCTATCAGAGGAGTGCTGCTGCACTTAGGGGATCTTATCTCCAAGGTTTGTAAAAGTAACAATGTGACTTAAGCCATGTTGAATTATAAATTTTAAAAAGTGTCTCTTACCAGTATTGTTTGTATTGGTTGCAGGAGGTAGAACAGCTTCAGTATTTGGAAGAAACCACCCTCAGCTCGGATTTAGCTCAAGGATTTGCTCTGAAAGCCCTTACAGGTAAAATAGATTAATAACTTACCTGATAATTCTGAGATAAAATTTCATATATTGTTCTTTGTTAAGCTACAAAGGCAAAACATTATGTAAAAAATGTGTTTCAGAACTGGTATCCCTGTTTGTGGAACAAGATGTGATCAAGCATTACTACAAGAACAAGTTGGTAGGTTATGTGTTGAATGGCTACTTGTCCCTGAGGAAGCTGGTGGTGCAGAGGACCAAGCTGATAGACGACACACAAGACAAACTCCTGGAACTGCTGGAAGAGCTCACCACAGGTAATATACTGAGAGGGACTAGAAAATGTGTCAGGATTTTGTAAATCTGTTATAAGAGATTTCTGTGAAATCAATTACATCTTTACTGTTTGCATTAGTTTTTGCAAGTAAATATGTATGTTTTTAGGCACTGAGTCAGAAACAAAGGAGTTCATGCAAGTGTGTGTGAAGACAGTAAAGAAATATCCAGATGATGACTACAGATCCCCAGTTTTCATCTTTGAGAGGCTTTGCAGCATTATTTTCCCTGTATGTATGAATTTAGTTCTGATTTGTCAACTGCTGTGATAGTTAGAGGAAACATTAGTTAAGAAACAGAACAATAACCTAAATTTTTTGTTTCTTTTATTAAACAGGAGGAGAATGATGTTGGGGAGTTTTTAATGATTCTTGAGAAGGACCCTCAACAAGAAGACTTCCTGCAGGGGAGGATGCTGGGTAATCCATATAGCTCCAATGAACCAGGACTGGGACCTCTGATGAGAGATGTCAAAAACAAGATTTGTCAAGGTAAAATATTCAGGAAACTCATTTGTAAATACAATGTACTCTTTATGTTTGTATACATAAACAATTACTTTCTTTATGAGAATTATTAAAATAGGCATTTGTATATTGATTTTACATCCTCTCGAGAAGAGAGAAATTATTCCAGGTATTGAGCAGATTTGATCTGAAATACACGTATCATAAGGTCAAACTAAATTTACAAAATCTTTTCCTTGCCTGTTGTTTTCAGAGTTGATTATAAATTTCATTCACAGATTGTGAGTTGGTAGCATTACTGGAAGATGATACAGGAATGGAGGTAATGATTTGCAGATTGACTTAATGAAAACTATTTTTAAAAAAAGACTAGATATAAAATGCATGAATATGATTCATGAAATGATTTTATGCGCCTGTAGTTACTGGTGAACAAGAAGATTATCAGCCTGGACTTACCTGTAAGTGAGGTCTACAAGAAGATCTGGGCCCCGGAGCATGGTGAGGGGGAACCTATGCCTATCATCTACAGAATGAGGGGATTACTGGGGGATGCCACTGAGGACATGGTCAACTCTCTGGACTCCAGCTCAGGTACACCAAAATATAAACGTATATAAATGAAAATTAAATTATTCAAGCACAATTTCAGCAGTAGTAATTTGATTTTTTAACTAAACGTGTTTTGCCTTTTGAGTAATTTTGTATGAGAATTATATCAATTCTCTGTGCAGAGGAAGACGTGGACAAAGAAGAGGTGTATAAAATGGCTGCTGTGTTAGCTGAAGGAGATGGTCTCAAAGTTATGCTCAACAGGTACACAGTATTATGTTCTCCTATAAAATGATATTTTTTATGTAAGAAAAAATTTTGTTTATACATAACCTTGAAGTTTTTCATGTGTACCTAATTTTTCCCCTATACATTTTGTTAGTTATTGAACTACTAATTTAACATTCATTGGGTAAATCCATGTAGAAAGAATTGCAGTGTAATTTTGGTTAAAGTGTTGTAAATCTAATTGAATTTGTAAAAACAATCATTGTTTGACACTTAGACAAAGAAGCTATTTTTAGAGAGATTATCGGTCTTAGGAACCAGTATTTCATGTCCATATTAGGTAATGCATAGTGCGAGGGACAGGAAGATCCCGGGGGGTCCGTAGCCACGTGACCCCCCCAAACTAATCCGCATCAAATTTCATGTAACATCATCATTCCTTTGTTCTAACTTCAGCTTGATGTACATGCTCTGTGTTTTTTGTTATCCCACCCACCTTCCCCATACTGCACCTTTTGTAATATTATGTGTCAAAAATGTTTGAAAATGTTTTAATTGTACATGTATATACCATCATTGGGGCTCTCACAATTTCTATGTATTCATGTTCAACTGCCTGTTTTTCCCCCATTCAGATAAAATTTTGCCTGTTTTCCCCCATTTCAGATAAATTTTTTCTGCATTATATAATTAATTATAGCTACCCGATGGTGTCAACCCGGGTCCTTTCATGTAAACCTGATGGTGTCAACCCAGGTATCTCAAAATTATCCCAAGTATCTCAAAATTTAACCTGACGGTGTCAACCCAGGTTCCATTCATTAGAACCCGATGGTGTCAACCCGGATACCCTCATACACAACCTGATGGTGTCAACCCAGGTTTCTATGGTTACAGTTTTAGCTATAAATTTCCTGACGGTATCAACCCAGGAAGTTCTTTTATTTTTTCTATATGTGAGTATAAATAAGTATTCATTTGAGTTTAAGGAGAATCTACTCAAGTGTTAATATTGTTTTATTTACATTGTCTATAGTGTAATTCTTGCTTTCTTTTACAGACTGGCCACTATAAAGGACCTTGTCCTAGGTCGACAGCTGATGACAGTGTTACTGAAGTTGTTTGGCTTTGTGGTAAATGTGAAGGCCTGCAGACAGGAGCTGATTAAGCCAGAGATGAACACCATTAACATCATGCTGGGGGCCCTGAACTTAGCTCTGTGGGCGGAGCATGAGAGTGGCACCAGTACTAAGGGACAGACCATAACAGAACAGATCCTACAGATAATGGAGGTCATACTGCTAGAGGCTAGCAGTCAGGACCCAGAGATCTACACTGTAAGGGAATTGTATTGGGGTGGGGGATGGGAGGGTGATGGATATGAAGTGGGATGTTGGTTGGGTTGGCAAAAAACTTTAAAGTTTAAGTTTAAAGTTAAAGCTTCAAGTATAAGTTAAAACAGAACACACCTGCGCAGAGACCATTATTTATGTGTATAATAGTATTTTTTTGTATATTAAAATTGATTGTACTGTGTTTTAGGATTGTCAACTTAAATTTTAACTTGCAGAATTTTTCCAAGCTGTGCGGCAATAAGGATCAGCTGTTAATGTTACTGGACAGAATCAACAGTCTGTTTGTGAGATCTAATCCCAGTGTTCTCCAGGGAATGATGAGACTGATTGCCTTCCTGGCCTTTGGAGAGGAGGACAAAATGCTGGTTCTCCTCAATCACTTCAAACCATACCTAGACTTCACCAAGTAGGTTTTGAGAACAAATATCCCTCTCAAGTTTTTAACCTGTAGTTCTTGTTTAGTTCATATATCTTTTGAAAGATTTTAATATCTTGTGTACATATTAATTTGTGTGAAAATTAAGGAGGGTTTTAATTGCATTTTAGATTTGATTTGGAACATTCTCAAGATGAGACTGTACATTTAGATTGTTTCTGTGAGGTGGCTTGTGGAATTGAGGTAAACATTAGAGGAAAAGTAATAATCAATCCTCATATAACCTGTATAATGAGAAAAATTGTAAGACATATAATAAACTATCATTGCCTAAGTTGTTGTAATCTTCAGTGAGTTGCAACATATTTCATGAATTTCTTGAAGCTCATCTCCTTTGCCTTTGAAAATCTTTTTTGCTCTATTTCAGAGCAATGCTAATGGAATAAGACTAAAGAACATGATAGCAGATCATGGCATCACCAAAATGGCAGTAGACTATATTCTACAGAATTCACCCAAAGTCAAAACTCTTTTACCGTAAGTGGTACAGATGTTGTACCAGTATATCTTGTATTCCTAAGTAACATACATGTAGCTCTATTTGATAATGCTAACATAATTTTTTTTTTAAACTGGTAATGCATTACAAAATATTTTTTTAGCTCTACTGGTCATAGACCAGAAGAGCTTATGCGATAGTAATGCGTCCGGCGTCCGTCCGTCTGTCTGTCTGTCTGTCTGTCCGTCTGTCTGTAAACAATTTTTCAAAACGCTACTCCTCCTACAATTTTAGTCTGATTTCAATATTACTTGGCACACAAGTAGAATGCACTAAGATACATAGAATAGTGCATTGGTTTTTGATTTCGATGAATGGTGTTGCCATGGTTACTAAAAATAGAATTTTCTGTGAAATTCCTTAAAAACGCTACTCCTTCTAAAGTTTTGGTCTGATTTCAATATAACTTGGCACACAAGTAGACTACACTAAGATACATAGAATAGTGCATCGATTTTTGATTTCGATGAACGGTGTTGCCATGGTTACTAAAAATAGAATTTTCTGTGAAATTCCTTTAAAACGCTACTCCTTCTACAGTTTTGGTCTGATTTCAATATAACTTGGCACACAAGTAGACTACACTAAGATACATAGAATAGTGCATCGGTTTTTGATTTCGATGAACGGTGTTGCCATGGTTACTAAAAATAGAATTTTCTGTGAAATTCCTTAAAAACGCTACTCCTTCTACAGTTTTGGTCTGATTTCAATATAACTTGGCACACAAGTAGACTACACTAAGATACATAGAATAGTGCATCGGTTTTTGATTTCGATGAACGGTGTTGCCATGGTTACTTAAAATAGAATTTTCTGTGAAATTCCTTAAAAACGCTACTCCTTCTACAGTTTTTGTCTGATTTCAATATAACTTGGCACAAAAGTAGACTACACTAAGATACATAGAATAGTGCATCGGTTTTTGATTTCGCTGAACGGTGTTGCCATGGTTATTAAAAATAGAATTTTCTGTGAAATTCCTTTAAAACACTACTCCTTCTACAGTTTTGGTCTGATTTCAATATAACTTGGCACACAAGTAGACTACACTAAGATACGTAGAATAGTGCATCGGTTTTTGATTTCAATGAACGGTGTTGCCATGGTTACTAAAAATAGAATTTTCTGTGAAATTCCTTAAAAACGCTACTCCTTCTACAGTTTTTGTCTGATTTCAGTATAACTTGGTACACAAGTAGACTACACTAAGATACATAGAGTAGTGCATCGGTTTTTGATTTCGCTGAACGGTGTTGCCATGGTTACAAAAAATAGAATTTTCTGTGAAATTCCTTTAAAACACTACTCCTTCTACAGTTTTTGTCTGATTTCAATATAACTTGGCACACAAGTAGACTACACTAAGACACATAGAATAGTGCATCGGTTTTTGATTTCGCTGAACGGTGTTGCCATGGTTACTAAAAATAGAATTCTCTGTGAAATTCCTTTAAAACACTACTCCTTCTACAGTTTTGGTCTGATTTCAAAATAAGTTGGCACCCAAGTAGACTACACAAAGATACATAAAATAGTGCAATGGTTTTTGATAAGTACAAACCAGTAGAGCTACAGTCTCGACAGAGACTTCTGGTTTTATGTCCTTTTGGTAATGTATTTGACAAATTCAGCTGAAAGTCATTACCAACAACACAGGTACAGAGCACAAGTTTCTGGGATCAAAAATTTTCTCTGTATAATTTCAGAACTGACACAGAGAACTGGAAGGACTTTATACAGAAGCCTGCATTGAGTTATGTACTGCGACTCCTGACGGGTCTCAGTCAGGGCCACCCTCCCACACAGCTTCTGATCGGGGCCGAATGTATCCCTATCCTCCACAAGCTGGAGCAGGCCTCCTCCGACCAGCACATAGGGACAATGGCCGAGAATTTACTGGAGGCTCTCAGACATAATGAGGAAGTGGCTGCAAAGGTTAGATGTTACTCCGCAGTCAATTAGCATAAGCCAATGGAGAGTGACTTAAGGATCATTACTTCATTTTAATAAAATAATGTGCATTGCACATCTTTGTGAGATGAAAAGAATTATTGCATTAAAACGTGCATGTGTATTACTGTATACATTATGATTTATGAAATTGCTGGTCTTGATAGATTGAGGATTTCAGACAACAAACCAAAGCTGAAAAGAAAAGACTGGCCATGGCCAAGAGAAAGAAACAACTTGGAGCTTTAGGAATGAAGGTATTTAAACTGCTTTTTTTTAACAGCTCTTTATTCATGAGGTATTCTGTGTACTTTCAGAAGAATGTGTCTACCTTGATGCATATACTCTGTCATTCTTGTTACAGACTAATGAGAAGGGGCAGGTAACGGTGGAGAGTTCCGTCCTGAAGCAGATAGAAGACCTGAAAGAAGAGACGGGTTTAACCTGTTGTATCTGTAGAGAAGGATATCGCTACCAACCCCAAAAGGTGAGGAACAGACTCGCATTATTGTATACAGAGGGAATGTTTTATAAAGATAATAGTGCCATTATCTCAGTGTATTCTTTGTTGATTTTCAGGTTTTGGCTATTTACACATTTTCTAAGAGAGTGTACCTGGATGACTTTGAGAACAAACCAAGGAAGTCTGTCGGTTATACTACAGTGTCTCACTTCAATGTTATTCATGTGGACTGTCACACAGCCGCTGTCAGACATGCTAGGGGAAGAGAAGAATGGGAGAGTGCAGCTCTACAGAATGCCAACACTAAGTGTAATGGATTGTTACCCCTCTGGGGACCTCATGTCCAAGAGTCGGCATTTGCTACTTGTCTGGCAAGGTAAATTTCCTTCAGATATGATTACAGTCAGATTTCTACAGAATTCACCATGTTGCAGTTATTCAAGATTCATTTTTTACGACTTTCACAAGTACATACATGTATATTGTCCATCCCTTGTAGACACAACACCTACCTTCAGGAGTGTACTGGAGTCCGAGACCCGAGCTATCTGTACAATGTACATGACCTGAAGCTGCTGATAATAAAGTTTGCTCAGGAGAAATCCTTCAGTGAGGAGAGTGGAGGGGGAGGGAGACAAAGTAACATGCATCTACTCCCCTACATCATGCATATGGCTCTATATGTCATCAACACGTTAGTATAGCTATTTTTCAATTAAAATTTGAAAAAATTGGAGCTCTTAACTTCTTGTGTTTTTATTCAAATTTGCATTTTCTTGCTTATAGGACAAGGTCTGTCACTAGAGAAGAAAAGAACTTGGGAAATTTCCTTGATGCTGCCAAAGACAAATGGATTGAAAGTTGTTATGAGGTACATGTACATTAACTTTCTCTGCTGTAAATCAGAGTTTCTTGTATTTCATCGCAGGTTTATGAACCCTATGGAAAAATTCACTTTGATGGTAGGGAAAATTCACAAGAAAGTTTTTAGAAGTCTTGATAAGCAGTTTATTTTCGTAGCTATACTAGAATAAATCACTTGTATTACTGTTTGCAGACTGAGGGCCCTCTGTACTGGACCACCATGGCTCTCCACATTTTATCACAAGCCAAGTGGAAGGAGAAGAGGGTTCAGTTGCTGGACCGCCTCATGGTTCTGAGTCAGACTCGACACGTGACCCCAGGGGGAGCAAAGACGTAAGAAAATTACGTATTATATATCTCAGTATTAGGTTCTTGGAGTAATCTTTTGCCTGCATTCTCATCAATGTACAGATTATAGACTGAAAGAAACTTAAAAAATACAATTGAAAAATATAATTTCTCCTTCGTAAAATATTGTTTATTTGACTTGATGTGTAGGTTGGCAGATAAAGCAGTTAAAGAGTACAGTGTGTACAAACCCTGCCTGGTGTTCTTTGGAATCATCAATGCTGTTTATGAGAAAGTATTCAAGGCAAGTAGATTATAGAAAGTACATTACAGAGGTTTTTTGTCCAATATAACATCAAGAAATAAACTTTGAACTGCTTTTATGTTCAAGTAATGTAGAGTAGTGGTCAAAGTGTAATTTTAGTATGTAGAAAACTTTTTTTTTTTTTGTGGGCAAGGTGAAAATTGCACTATTTTGGTTATGAAAGTTCAACATTTTCTACTTGCATGTACATGCATTTAGGGTACTCAATTACATGTAGCTAAACAAACTTAATTCCTGATTGATATGGGTTAATCATACTGTGTTTGCTTTGACAGAAGGTAACCTTGAGTGGAGACAATACCTGGAGCTCTGCTGTGGCGGACTACATCAGAAATAATGACAAAGTCGTCATAGAGGCCTGTGACAAGGTGCTGGCCACTTACCAGGACGAGATACTGCCCTGTGAATCTTTCTCAGAGTTTTGCGATGTTGTTGGTAAGCTTCACTATATTTTGTGCAATACTAACTGTGTAGTCAGATAATTTTGTTGTTAATTAAAAGATGAACATAACTCTTGGGGTTATTTAAGCAATATTAGGTACATTTTTTCGCAAGGGGTGTTACATGAAAGCGAAAAATTATTTATTTAGCATAAAATTCCATTCTGCCATTAAGTTGCTAAAATATACAACACAGCTTGAATAGGAAATTCTGTCTTTTTTTTCCCTAGTTTATGTTATGTTTTGAGTTTGGAATAAAAGTAATATGATAAAATCTTTTTCAGGGCTTCTGGAGGAAATACCTGACCCAGATTCCTACTTAAACAACCTTTTTGCGTCTTTGCCCTAGTAAGGTGTACCATTCAAATGATGTAGACTTGCTTTTGTGTGTGCTTTTTCTGTGAATTCTTTGGGACAATTTATCAGTCAGTGTAGATTCTTTGTGACGCAGTATTATATCATCATACTAAATTCATGTAGAACACTTGTTTAAATCTGCGATTGGAAGAAGTTTCAAACTAGCTTTTTGAAAATTTTTAAACTTGGCTTAATGGAGATGTCAAATTATGTATACAATTTCAGTTATATTGTTTTGCTTTTTAGTGAGCTTGTTAATTTTTCAGGGCAAATTGATACCCATTTCTAGCTTTGTTTAAAGATATTATACTGTATATCAATATTTTTTTTTTCATAGATAAGAAATATTTCTGTGTTTATATTTGTAGTACAAAAAATATGAAAATGTAATGTTCTCTCATGGTCTTTTTGATTTACCAAAAAATTGTGTACTCTAGATTTTGAACTTGCCTGTACTGGTATATGTGTTTTTCCATGCACTTGGTATTTTACATCACAGGGATTTGGAGATTTGCTTTTGATATTTCGATTTTGGCTAATTATGATAAAAAAAAAAATAGGCTTCTTTAGAAATGTACAATGTAAATCATAATTGAGAAATTTCTGTTGAAGTGGGGAAGGGAAAGGATCATTTACAATTTTTTTTTTGCAAGATCAAAATGAAAGCAGTGGGGAAGGGGGATTTAGAACATTTTTGAAAATTTACATAGTACATGTACTATATTAATGTGGAAAGTTAATTATGTTTAAGAATGTTTTAAAGATATAGACAGATATATTTCTAGGAATGTTTATGCTTTTCGCAACAAAATGCACAGGAAATATGCTTCATGTGTGCTGTATTCAAAGAATAAATATTGTACTGATGTGATATCAAGTTGTTTTTGTTCTTTTGAAAAATTTGGAAAGGTAGAGTTTGACCTTTCATTTAAACCTAAGATTTGTTGTGCCATATGCTATGTGAAATTGGTTCGTTACTTTTGGAGAGGTGAAAATTTTTAAAAATTGAACAATTTAGTAAAGGGGTTGTTTCCTTGCTGTCATATTTTTTGCTTGCTTAATGTTCAGGGAAAAAAAATTTGAAAGGTGCATGAATAGCAAATTTTATAAAGACTTATCCTTGCTACCCAAGGGTTTATGATTCCCTCCATTTGAAGTGGATTGTAAACCATTGGCTAGTGAAGATGATGCACAGTCTCAGGCCATAGGTGCATGTACTTTTTCTACAGTAGATGGCTAACTGCTCCTATTAATAAGTTGCTTGAAGGAAGTCCCCAAGGAAAGAGGAGAGATTTGGGGGGATACTTTATTCAGGTTATGTGGCCTCACTGGCCTGAAATTCAATTTCTCCCCTTCTTCATGTAGAATCCATATATCAGATTTGTTAAATGATTTATCCATTTCTAAGAAACTGAAAATCCTCCCAAGTTGTTGGACGGGATGTGGACTGAGGTATGAATGGGAATAAGTCAAATTTTTCAATGACTTGGACAACTTGTCGAAAAATAAAATTTATGCAGATATACATGTATATGTAAAGAGTTTATTAACTTTTTCACACCACATATCATGTGGATGCGTTTAATTTATAAAACATAAATTTTAAAAGAAAAATCAACACAAACAAGACAAAATGAACATAAAAAAACTTTTTGTTAATCTCCAGTTAATTCAATCTGACTCTTGAATTAAAAACGTGTGTAAAATTCCTATCAAGATGTGATAATTAAAAAAAAAAACAAAACATGAACAACCTAGAACTTAATACAAGGACTAATTCATTAAAACTTATTTTTTAAATACCGGGTTCTTGTATACATAATAAAAAATGGCCAAGATAAGCATTTTGACCAATTTTGGAGGGATAGGTACTGTAGATGGAAAGTTCGATGGAATTAATGAAAAGTTGATCATTTTTATTTGACTAGACTTCGTAAAAAGGTTTATGGTTGTTAACTACTAGGTAATGAGTCTTTATGATTTGATAAATTAAACAAGGCTGATTGAAAAAATGAGTATTGCATGAAAAAATACTTGCATATGTAAAAAAACAACAGCTAGAAAGTAAATGGGATTGTTGTAAAAATAATTTTATGAGGTTGAAGTAAATTACTCTAAAACTTTTGGGGAAAAAACATGTAGGACTGGTTTGCCCATTTTACAATTTCAAATACTTTCATCAATGTCTCATCAAATTGGATACAACTGTCTTTTTGGAATTGGAATATTTTAGAAACATGTTAAATATTAAATAAAAGATTAAACTGTAATTATCTAGGGAATCCAATATATTATCTAAACAATTAAAAAGATTTACCCAGGTAATATAAATTGACTAAAAAATTCTGACAAGAACTTGGCAATTCTTTACATGTGTGTGACAAAACCAAAATGTACAGTAGGCTTATTACATGTCTTACAAAATATAATAAATGAACTTTCTTGAACATTAATATCTGGAATACCAGACATTTGTCAAAATAAGTTGGAGGTCCCAAGTACTTACTTGTTACATATTTTATACTTGAATCCTCTGATATTGATATTGAGCTATCTTAGTCCAATCAAATAATGTTTTAAGAAAATTTCATCAAAATTTTGTTCAATAACTAAATGATTATTGTAATATGACCAAGATGAATACAGTTATGAAATACATGTACAAATATGGCACTAGATTATCATTCATACTCGCCATATACATGTACCTTTACGTTTGATGTATACGGTCCACATGTACTTGGTAATTCTGCCTCAACATCTTTGCAAGGAAATATAAAAAAAGCTTAAACGCAAGTAAAAAAATTAATAATACCTGTAATATTTTGACTATATAATATTATTTGCTGATATAAAAATCTCTGACATCATCCAAAATAATCAGTAAAATCTCACTATTCAAGTTAAGAATACTTTTTGCAGGTTAAAACATTTAAAATTATGCTCAGTAAAATCAGTTTGTATATACATGTACTAAAGTTTTTCTCATAAAATCAAAATTGGAGAAAGGGGGGAAAAACTCAATTCACACAAACATTCATCTTGGAATAAAATTCAAACATGTCACAGTCAAGCTTTTGATGCAAAAATTACAAAACACATGATCAATAAATAAGAATGGTGAATGAAAAACATCTCTTACTCATATGAAAATTCACATACAAATCACTATTTAAACACTATCTGTTCACTCATTTGAAAACTTCTAACTTCTACTACGGTGTATCTATTCCTCCTCAAAAGACTCGAGGTAGCTCTTCATACTCAGTGAGTTTTGTCTTGACACAGGTAACTTTTTGAGGTCTCCGAGTTTAATCGGACACTTGATGTCGTTATAATGCTTCTGTCGTCTCTGAATACAACACTTGATTTTCTCTACAATGAGGTCCCTGAACAATAGGGTGTTGTATTCTGTTAATTTAGTTAATCTGTCAAAGGATTTTCTGGGGTATTTGAAATTAAATGTGGAGTATGGCTGCTGAGGATCATCGAAAATGTCAAAATCGGCGAATTCCTTCTCCTCATCTGTAGTTCTGGGAACACCTGAAGAGAGAGATCGAAATGTAAATATTCAAAATATTATATTGATGATTTCTGACACACCTAGCACAGATAATTCTCGATTCTTCAAGCATTAATAAAAAGATGATTTTTTAGAGTAAAATGCTTCAAAGTTAATAATTTAAAGTAAAATTTGACCATGCTTATACCATATTAAACACTGTGACAGATATTGCAACTAATAGCGTTATACTTTTTTCAAATCAAATTACCTGGCTTAATCTCCTCTCTGAATTTGATGTTGGCCAACACGAAGTGTAGGACCACGGGACACTTGGGATCTTTGGGGTCCTCAAACACATAACATTCCTTCCTCCCCTCCACGTCCACAATCTTAGGATCTATCTTGGGAAATGGCACTTTGTTCAGATTGGCCCACTGCTGAGCTAACATGATTTCCTGAAATTTGTTAAGGTTGAAATGTATAAGAATTGACACACTGATTTACAAAGACATTTTCTCAGGACAGGAACAGATATGCAAAGTACTTGTGGATTAACTTGGCTAGACTGTATATACATACTCAAATCATACAGAAACAAGCAGCTACCACCAGTGATTATTTTTTTTATAATCTTATATCAATATTGGTAATTTTCAACTGTAAAATTAAGATAAGTGAAATATCATGAAATTTATAATGTAGATGTAAAATTTATTTAATAATGATACCTTAAATGGCAGAGCTGTGTCACTAGGCCTGGCACTGAAATCGAATGATAGAATCAAGTCAACCTCCCTCTGGGGTCTCAGGACCAGGGAGTAGGGGGAGTTAAAGGTCAAACCCCCATCAACAACGTACAGCTTCTTTATTGTGGTGGGGCACAACTCAAAGATCTTGGAAAATGGATCTGAAATAGAGGTTTATAAACTTGCTGCTCACTCATATATTATGATTTTATAAAACCAGAAGTCTCTGTTGAGACTGTAGCTCTACTGGTTTATACTTAAAACAAAGGAAGAGAAAAGTAGCAGTTGTGACTTGAGACTTCAAAACAGGAATCAATGGAAAAATGATCCTTGACACTCAACAAAATAAAAACTGATGCACATAATTATGTATCTTAGTGTAGTCTACTTGTGTGCCAAGTTATATTAAAATCGGACCAAAACTAAAGGAGGAGTAGCATTTGAAAGAATTTCACAGAAATTTCTATTTTTAGCAACCATGGCAACACTGTTCATCAAAATCAAAAACCGCTGCACAGAATTATGTATCTTAGTGTAGTCTACTTGTGTGCCACATTATATTGAAATCAGAACAAAACTGGTGGACGAGTAGTATTTAAAATAAAATTTCACAGAAATTTCTATTTTTAGTAACCATGGTAACACTGTTCATCGAAATCAAAAACCATTGCATAGAATTATGTACCTTAGTGTAGTCTACTTGTGTGCCAAGTTATACTGAAATCGGACCAAAACTGTAAGAGGAGTAGCATTTTGAAAGAAGTTCACAGAAATTTCTATTTTTAGTAACCATGGCAACACCATACATCGAAATCAAAAACCGATGCACAGAATTATGTACCTTAGTGTAGTCTACTTGTGTGCCAAGTTATATTGAAATCGGACCAAAATTGTAAGAGGAGTAGCATTTTGAAAGAAGTTCACAGAAATTTCTATTTTTAGTAACCATGGCAACACAGTTCATCGAAATCAAAAACCGATGCACAGAATTATGTATCTTAGTGTAGTCTACTTGTGTGCCAAGTTATATTGAAATCGGACCAAAACTCTAATAGGAGTAGCATTTTGAAGAATTGTTTACAGACAGACAGACAGACAGACAGACAGACAGACGGACGGACGGACGGACGGACGGACGGACGGACAGACAGACGGACGGACGACGGACGCATTACTATCGCATAAGCTCTTCTGGTCTCTGACCAGTAGAGCTAAAAATTATTCAATAGGGAGAATAAAAACAAATTTATCATAGGTTTCTTGGCAAAATTGAATTAAAAAGACATTGCAACTTACCAATTCAATAATGAAAAAAATACATGTAGACATAGATTCATCTTTAAGAGTTATCTCTCTTAGCAAACACTTGAGCCACAATGGGGAAAAATGAGAAGTACAGAAAACCAATGAAAAATACTTACTTGCACCACTAAATGATGCATCAAGTTCATCAAACGAAGGACTGCTGGTGGGCTCTGCAAACGGTGAGAAAGGGTAGCAAGTGGACATAGACAACCCCCTCATAAAGCTGTGGACCTTGGCTGCTCGGCCCTCGATGGATTTCAGCAGGCGGCTGCTCTGGTACAGGTTTTTAAACATGTCCTTCCAGAAGGAGGGTGTAGTGGTGGTCTTCTTTTTGCTGATTTTCAGGGCTTTCTTTGGTTTGGTTTTGTGGTTTTTCTGAGATTCTGGATCCTCGCTGTCCGATTCACTCGAGTCACTGTCCTCATCGGACTGTGTGGACAGGTCCTGCAGCAACTCTTTTTCTGAATTAAAGAGGAAAAAAGTTTTTAGTTTGACTTTTTAAAAACAAACTTAAAAACACATTGAATATTACACACTTAACATTTTTTTGGTATATCCCTCACATCAAAGTTGTTTGGGGGTATAACCATTAAGACAGAATGTCAGCAAGTCTGTCTCTCCTAAACATTGTATCTTAAAGACAGACAGACAGTTGATTCCTGTGTTTGATACAAACAACATTTTGAAACATTATTATTTGCTTAATAAGAAATCTTGGATCCACCTACCCATTTCCTTCCTCTCCTGCTCTGTGTCCTCTGATATGTCTTGTTCACACGTTACTTTTTTGTCGTCCCTCAACAACCTGGAGATCTGTATACAAAAGGCACTCCCCCACACACCTGCACAGAAAAAAACAAGAGGGTCAAGGGCCTTAACAGTCACCTGATTATTACCTAGCAAGAGTTCCATTTACCTTGTCCAGTAGTCCAGTAACTTTTTTCATGAAAATTTTATGTGTTCCAATTTAAAGGGAAAGGACTAAACAGTTTTACTCTGCACAGCTATAAGCTAGGTTAATAATTTTTTAAACTGATACATATTCTTGAAAAGTTGATTGATAAAAATTTTATTCTATCAATATTTTTATGTATTTTCTTTACTTAGATGCACTTAGTTTAGTTACCCATGAGGAAATGTAGTGGAGGCTCCTCGTACTGTTTGACTAACTGCCCCATAAAGAACTTGCTCCCAAACAGCTGACTCTTCATAAAGGTTCCATACTTAGGCAGGCCAATCTCATAGGGAGTAAACTCCATCCACTCTACAGGACAAAATCATGTACAATTATTGTAGATTGTTACTGGTATTGATATAGTTTCAGTTTAAGCTGTTCCATTTATTGATACTGAATGGTATATTCTTTACACAGAGGGTGAAATTACTGAAAAATCACATATTTCCTTGGGGTCAAATTTTTGTGATTTGAAGAAAAAATATGGGTTTGTGGGGAATCGATTTTCTAGATGAAGAATTAATGAGGAGCAATACTTGTGAAAATTTTATTACATGTAGTGATGTACATAAATTCGTAGGACTCTTTATACCTTGAAAACAATGTTAATAACTCCCCAGGAAAATTAGTGATTTTACATTATGATAGCCATATAACAATAACTGAGAAATAGAATACCATGAAAGACTTCGGCTGACACATTCTTTTTAACATGAAGGCAGGTATACAATGGTAGAGGTACATCTGCTTTCTTTAAGATGTCCTGCTGATCTGTCAACTTAGAATCCAGTCTCTGTCAAATAATAAAACAAAAATTACTGCTTTTGTTTTAATGATTATTAAAGAATTGCAATATAGTATTAGGAAATTTTCAACTTAGAAGCCCCCTACACAAACTATTACTCAATCAGATATATCCTTTTCAATTACATGGTATACAGAATGAGATATGAATACAGTGTGTAATCCAAAAAAAGGCTCTATTTGTCTGAATTTCTCAAGCAGAGGGGTACCATTCTGCAGCTAGGATCGAGCAATTCTAGCCATGTTATTCATCAGACATGTACAGGTAAACTGTAAGGCTTACAATGTAAGCCAACTTTTTATTGCATTAACATTTACATGTATTTGCATTTTGATTTACAATTTTTTTTTGAGGAGACATTCTACAAACATACATGTACACAATAAAATAATTGTTCTGTGGTCATAAATATTTGTGAGTCACTGGGGGGTTGCAAAACTTGCGGACATTTCTTGCACATGAGTATAAAAGTTACAGTGTATCTCGGGTTAAGTGCAAATATTGACCCAGAATCTTCTCATTCTGTCACAATGATCGATTCAAAGAGGGGCAGAAAGAAGGAAAGACTGAGGCCATCTTTAAAAAAATTGTTCGTTTGCCCTCTCCTGACCGACTGCCTATAATGGCCAGACTCAAAACTTACTATAAGCTCCAGGAAACATTTTTTATTAAAGTCTCATCCTGTCAAAATGTATATTGAAATTTTCTAAGAAAAAAATATTTCTACCTACATGTACCTAATTAAAACCAAATTATTTTATCCTGAGTTGGGAGAGGCCAAACAAACATTATTTTAAAGATGGCCTGATGGGAAAATATGGCTAACTTTATATACACACACTCCCTCTATTCATCCTTTAAATAAGGGGGGTATAACATTCTTGTTCCACGATTAATATATCTAATAGGTGTTAACAGAAATAAAGATCCCCTTCTGACACTTCACTCTATCTGTATAACAATCTAATTCACCACTACAAAATTAATGATTCAACTCCTATATCTGAAACTGCCTGATTAAAGTTTTGAAGTTAGGGACTTTAACCTTAAATTTGAAAGCAGACACTGTAACCAAAGAGTTTAAAAATACATGCATTACAAAAAATTTTCAGCAAACCATAAGGTATATACCGGTATATCTTTTACTAAATACACTAATCCAGTGTTCTCGTGTGACAGACAATAATTATCATAAGTAAAGTAAAATGTATAAAACTGTTTTTTTTAAAGATGAGGAAGCAACAGTTAGACTGCTTGATAAAAAATTCTGCATATGAAGTATTTGTAAATGCATGAAATTATAAGCAAATTATGACAATTTTTTGTTCTTTAGATGCAACAGATGTGTATAGGTATCAAATTGCCTTAATCAATCATTATGATAACAACTTTTAAAATACTTCATGATTGTCAGTGTATAATCAACTGAGGAATACACTGAATCCTTGACTGGTGATTCCAAATAACCAAAAAATGAACGTAGCTTCTAATTACTTTAAAGTGCTCCATCATGAAAGGTGATCCAGAATCCAGGAAGAGTTTAAATTAGGACTATAAGGGTCAGGTATCAGTTTTCTAACACATTAAGATAAAAGCAACCATTACATTTAACAAATGTGTAAAACCTTACGTTTTTGAGTATTGTGTCGCCCACTAAGCATCCGAAGAAGTCGGTAAAACTGACTGGTTGACCCTGTCGTCGTTTCTGTACGATTCTGGAGACGTAGGTATACAGACTCTGGGGTTTTAGCAGCCAGAAAGGGCTGTGTTCTATGTTCCTCCCTAACTCCTCCTGGAGCTCCCCCGGGGTCTTCTTGGGCCAGTCTGGGTGAGAGTATAACTGGGACAGATACCTGGAATAAACAGTTTACAGTAAGTACTTAGTTTATACAAACTATTTATCAATTGGGTACAAAGAACTATAAATATTTGTAATCTAGACACCATTGGATCTATAGAAATTGGCTGGATTACACAATATTCCAGATTAGACAATAACTTTAGCAATTGAGTTTGCTGAAAGTGATTTATAGTGAACATCTGATTAAGCAAAATTTCAGAATACACAACATATGGATTAGACAAGTTTTACTGTACTATTATCCAAACTAAAAAAAATCAATTGTTTATAGCGGCTTATAAATTGAAAATTTATCAAATATAGTCTGAATTACAGTGTTGAGCTATTTTTTAAATATGATTACCATGCTGATCCCGATAGTCCCCCTGCGTAGGTACACATGTCCAGTATGTGGCTGTCCACCAGGGCCGTAAACACCCCACTGTAGGCCGTCATGGCCCGGAACCCCCCACCAGACCCTATCACACCTATGTTAGGAACCTACAAAGAATCAGGGGCGAAGGTCATATATATTCTGTAAAAGTACAAGTATATCCTACATGCTCTGTTTATATGTCCAGAAGATTATTTCTATATGCTTATTTTTTTCTGTAAAGGTTGACGAGACAAAAAAGTACTTTGTTTTTATTCCAGCATTCATAACTTTTTCATAAGTAGTTAATACAAAGGTGATGAGTCATTTCATAATGAACCTTTAACTATGAATCAAATAAAATTTGAACATTATTTTAAGGGCCAATTTTCATTTTTTCTAAAGTTAAATATGATTGTGTCTGCCTCTTACATCTTTTTCTGTTGTTGGTGCATCATCACCCAAGATTTTCTTCATTGCTTCAAAAACTTTCTTTCTCCTCCTTTCTACAAATGCCCTTTCTTCACTGCACAGTGTTAAACTAAATCTAAGCTGGGGCTCACATCTAATCGAAAATAAAAGTGCACGTGCAAATTATTTTTATTGTACATTCTTAGTATTCAAATTACAGGATTAATAAAGATGACAATAAAATACTAATAAATGATCCTTGTCCAAAAAATTAATTTTCAAAAAGGTACAGTATTAAAACTATTCCTTTATATCATTATGAGAATTACTGATTAAAAAACTTGATACAAATCTCTTGCAAGTTTGACAAGACATTTGCAGATAAATCAATAGATCATCGAATTCAATCTGATTTAGACACATTGTACTGTCAAGCTGACAAGATCACTGGCAGATAAAAATTTAAATCTCTATCTGAGGGAAGAAAAAAACTGTGAGGGTCATGGAAAGATTAATTAGTTTGCAGCAATACAAAGAAGCCTTTTATTTGTATAGCCTATTAATATGTTATATTTGCTTAAGAAGAATGACAAAGTTTAATTTTTATCAAAAGTTTCCCTTCCAAGTTTGAATAGAACAAGGTATGACTGCTGTTGGTTCTAATGGTTCAATATGGAGAATTTTCAAAAAGCATTCCCAAGGAAAAGTAAATAATATTTTGCCCAACAGAATTTCTATTACTTGTATTCACTTGACTTAAACATTGCAAATTTAAAAGTTGGTTATGAAGTATCCCAAACTATTATCCCCACCCCAACCCCCATATTTTTTTCGTGATTTTCCAAAACAATTTTTATATTGCACGTGTCTCCAAAAAAAAAATATTCAAACATTTTTTTTGTTTTAGTTTGAATATAACTCCATATCATTCCATGTTCTCTCTACAAATTTCTTTCATGTATATATGTAAACACAATGAATAAATTTTTGTTAATTATACAGAAAAAAGCCTCAGATTCATGCATGGAGCAAAGAATTCAAAAAATAGGGGTGTGGGTGTGGAGGAAGGTTAATCATGCATTTTTTTAAATTTCATATCTGATCAAGTGAAGGGATTTTTGCTGCATCTGTACAAAATAACAATAGGGTAGTCTATTATAACCTAGATATTAAACTAGAACTGTCCAAACGGGACAAAATACCCCCCGTCTGGTTTTTCAGAAGTAAATTTTTCCATAATAAAGATATGTATCAAACACGAGTTATGAAATTTTTCTTCCAGTGACCTTGAACTTCACCAAATGACCTTGGGTCAAGGTCATGACAAACCCTCGGGTCATGGGCAATCTTTGTGTGAAATGAGAACCTACCAAGTTTATCCATTAGAAAGATATGGACCAGACACGAATTATGAAATTTTTCTTCCAGTGACCTTGAACTTCCCCAAATGACCTTGGGTCAAGGTCATGACATACCCTCTGGTCACGGGCAATCTTTGTGTGAAATGAGAACCTACCAAGTTTATCCATTAGAAAGATATGGACCGGACACGAATTATGAAATTTTTCTTCCAGTGACCTTGAACTTCCCCAAATGACCTTGGGTCAAGGTCATGACACACCCTTAGGTTACGGGCAATCTTTGTGTGAAATGAGAACCTACCAAGTTTATCCATAAGAAAGATATGGACCGGACACGAATTATGAAATTTTTCTTCCAGTGACCTTGAACTTCCCAAATGACCTTGGGCCAAGGTCATGACACACCCTTAGGTCATGGGCAATCTTTGTGTGGAGTAGTAGATTCTAATGTTCCTCTGTAAGAAAGATATGGACCGGGCATGATTGCATAGACAGACGGACAGACAGCTAGACGGACGGACAGACAGACGGACAAGGTGATTCCTATACACCCCCCCAAACTTCGTTTGCGGGGGGTATAACTAACTGATCTTAAATGACTCATATGCACAGTATTATTGTGCAATGTTTCAACACGACAAAATTGTAGCGAGATGGGAATTACAGACGTAATAATATTAGTATTCCCCTCAGACTTTGTTTGCCAATAGATAAATATTTAAATGAGGATTAAGAAATAAAACATCATGTGATCTAGAAAGAAAATATCAAGTTTATTTTTAAATTAGGTTTAAGAAATAAAACATTGTGCAATTTAAAAAGAAATTACATGTATCAATGAAGTCTATTTTTACTAGTGCCAAAGATTTGATTTAATGTAAACCAACTTTTATTCTTCGCAATGACTTTACTTTGTGATTAACCCAGGGTAAAACTATTTCGCAATTATTATTTTCACGATCAAGCCTTTTTGGATACGTTGTTTATAGATACACAGACTGTAAGGACCATTTCATGGCAAAAAATATTCGCGATGTCGAGGCTCTCGCAAACCTCGCGAAAATTTCTCACACCCAAATAAAAGTTGGTTTACAGTATTTTGCAATGAAAAAAGATATATAAACACCTACCCATGGTGTGTCCACATTTCAATTATAACTTCTGAGCTCTGAAAAAAATGTATTCTGGCTAGTAAATATTGCTGAATCACTTCAATCATTTTACAGCACTGAATTTACAGGTACATATGTATATCCATTTACATGCCTATTAGTGACCTCACCTCATTAAATTTAAGAGTGTGTGTTTCTGTAGAATACGGTAGAACATCTAGTTTGATCTTTTGTGGCTGTCCTAGCATTTCATCATAGGTATAGTTAGCGTCCATCAATGTTACCTCTAAAAGGAACAAGAAAATGGAGAATACTTGAATGAGAGCACTAAAGAACTGCTTCAGATAAGATGAAAATAAAACCTTATGGAAAATCACCTGACTTAATATGTTGAGGATGATATAAGGATGACATGTAAAATTGGAGAGTCCTTTGTTTATTATATGCAAAATTCACTCCAGGTAGAAATTTGATTGACAATTTATAATTTTCATAAACATGGCTCAGACATGATCTATCTATGAAATTCAGAATGGCCTTGTGATATGATCTTAACATCTAAAAGTGAATTGAAAAAGCAAAACTTTCCCCCTCTCACCTCTGTTTCAATGGGCTGGATTAAGTACCATCAAAGAATTCTAACTTCGACAAACAGAAAACATGCGGAACCGTCCTACTTATTCACTGTTCGTAATAGCATTTTATGCATCAAAAAATATTATGACACCAAGTGGTGAGAGTATCTAATGTCTTCAGCTAGATTTTCTTTCCTGTTTCAAATGTTAACTACTTAATTTTGAATTCACTGTGCAATTCTTTAATAAAGAAAAGTCATTTACAATTATCACTTATAGCGATATCAGCATCTTTACGAAGCCATTTCATTCTTAATATCTGACCACATTTCTTCATTATCTCGCGACAACAATCCCATATATAGGAGATTTAGGCGAGGGTAATCACCTCTCGAGTCAATATTGCTTTTACCAACCAGGAAGCTAATATAACGCAAGGAAAAACAACTTCACATTGTGTTCCTCATCTTCTTTTTAAAACTAAATCTTACCCAATTCATAAAATATTTATATATTTGAAAAATTTTTCAAAAGAATTGAAAACCTGTTCTTAAACAACTAAGTTAGCTGAACTATCCATAGCATACCATTGATCTTCAAGAATAAAACTGATCTTTGTTAAGACGCATATAAGTTGCCTTTTTTCACAAATCTCTTGGGACTGATTGAAGTCTGTCACACACATCAACTGCTGAAGTAATTTACTGAGATGTAAGGATTATAAATGAGATCCAGAATATGAGTGGTTATCGGTAATTGATTTTTTTAACATTGAAGAAGAATATTTTCATCTTTTTTTATCTAGAAAAAAAAACTTGTGAAACCTTGTATATTGTTTCAGTTGGCTAAAATACCTTGAAGATTTTGTGCCTAAATTTATATTGCCTCTGAAACATAGTATAATCCCTTTATTAACCCCCTCTTAATAAGCCAGGGGTCATTATCTGAACAGTACCATTAATTTGAGGACAGTAGGATGTTCGTAAGTTTAACACTTTGGGAAAACCCTCTAAGATCACTCATCCCTTTATACTCTTCACAATTAATTCATTATCATCAGCAATTAAGGGATAGACCATGGTATATTGAACTAATACCAAAGGATATATACTTTTCTGAAAGTGAAACTGGTTAAAATGAAGAAGAGAACAAGAGACATCAAAGAGAAAGATGAGTGTAGACAACATACTTAGATGACAAGCTCACTCGAGACTTTAAATGACAATCCACAGGACTCAAGGCCATCCTAAACTTCACTATTCACTACATTATTGGGGTCAAATACTTAGCAAATGTACAAGTACCACACATATACATATACTTGATTACTTACCAACTTCTGTGGGTATTTTAGGGTTTAAATAAAACTTAAATGTTTCATTCCACTCCGGGCTGATATTGTTGTCTAGTGTACATGTTCTTTGGTAACAGTTTGGGGCACCTTGCACCATGAGCACCACATAAGGATCAGGGGTATCCACTGAAATTAACAGAAAGGAGTTTGAATCAGATGAGAAAGCTGTAATCATTTGGCTCCAAAATAAGCCCTTTTTATATCTAAAACATAATTTTAACATTACTCCAGAGATCTCAATTGGTTTGATTTGTTTTTTTTTAAAGCATCAGTATTAAAAATTTGATTCTCATAAATCTAAAACAATAATTCCAAGACCACTTTCCCATTGTAAAACACTTGTATATGGTGCCCTTTATTCAAGTATAGGATGCAAATTAATCTGGAGCAAAGGGTGTCTCAAAAAGAGTGTTTAAAATTTCTATCTACATACATGTATATATGCATTAAAATTGTGCACAGCATGGGTTAAAATCAGTCAAGTGATAAACAATTTGAACATTAATTCTTAGTCAGTTGTCAAAGCCCACTAGGAAAAATTTCACCAGAGAAAAAGTAAAAAATAAAACTGTCAATTTTAACTATTAAATTGGTTCAAACTGAGAAATAAAAATCCTTAAGTGTTTGTTAATTTTGAATTTATGAATGTTTAAATTTCGTTTTTATATGGTCAACAAGACAACAGTAGATGTAGCCTAAATTTTAAAATGTATGCTGTTATGTAAATACTTTAAATTTCATCACACTTTTTGAGCTGACAGGAGTGACAATTTCTTTTCAAACTGTATGCTTGAACTACATATATAAATGGGTCATGTTTTAAAACATGTAGCAAGTGAATAAATAAAGTAATAAATTCTACCATTTAAAATACATAAATCAGGATAATAGATTGTGCTGATGTCAATTCTTAAGAAAATATAATCAGACCACTTTGTAAAATTCCGGAAATAAGTATATGAATGATATGTAGAGGTTGGGAGATACATTTAAATAAAGCCAATCCTCCAATGTGTCAGTCCATTCATTGAAGGTCGTTAATTTTAGCCTTTTCATTCAAGAATGTGATATATTATTTTGCAATGATTACTTGGATTGACTTACACATATCCCCAATGTACCCCTTTGTGATATTGTTTCCACATTTTACACAGACATAAAGTACGGCACATGGATCGTGAGTCACCTAAAAAATAAAACATATATGTCCTAGAAAAAAATCCCAGGGTACTTAAATAGTACTAGATATTGCATGTCTAACTAAAAAAAAGTGAATGAAATGTCTAGTCTTATAAACTTATAATGACATGAAAAATGGTTAGAATGGGTCTTTGCTCCAAAAATAAATTTCTGTACTATATGTACAAGCTGCAGACTATTTCTGAGATGAAAAGAGAGTTCTCTTAAAAAATAAAGGGAAAATGTTTTCTGAGTTTCTATTCAAGGTATGTTTTCAGAGAAGGTTTTATTGAGCTAGAGATCGAGCTGCTTATACCCGGTACATGTATTAATTTAATTGCACAATGTATTCATCACTGGATAAATGCAGTTAGTCACATGACCACAAATTCATTGTGAGATCATACAGGATTTGATACAATTTCAAAGTGATTTCTAAAATGCATGTTACATTTTGACAAATTTTAATTCGTGCCACTAATTTTTAAAAGAAAATAAACTTGATCTTAAAAAAAATTGAAACAAATATTTGTTACAAGTAAGTCTCAAAAATACTAAGAAGCAATAAGGTATAGTGTTTAAATGTGGACACATCTTATAATGGCATTTCATCATGTGACCAAACTGACTGCTGAAAGAATTCAGGTTAAACCTAGCTTGTAAATGATACATACATGTACGTGATTTCTTAGAGATATTTGAAAGAACAATAAAATTATTATTAGATAGAACAATGGAGGTAAATAGTAAAACTTGAAGCAGTGCTCACCTCAAATATCTGGAATGGGTCAAATCTGCAGAGAATAAAAAGACATATCATCAGTGATAGAAAAATTAAAATGCAGTGCACAAATCAGGAAAGCAAATTGATGCTTTCCTTTTATTGCTGATGTCTGACATTGTTTTTAAAACTGTATTCTGTATAAATCTAACAAATGTCAAAAAAAGGTCCTATGATCAAATTTGGATCCAGGATAAAACAATATTTACCGGTATATAACTTAATTTTCCCCAAATTTCTTGACATTCATTAATATTTCATCAAATAACAATTAAAAACGTATTTATATATAAACAATAAATGTTTACTGAGATTTGTAAAATACATAATTCATGTTAAGATTGGTAATAAGAAGGCATAATTATCATGATTAATAGATATAGATCACTTTTGTTTACAAACTACAGAAAATTTATACAAAATAAATATTAGGACACCTTTTAATAGAGTGAGTTAATTCTTGAGGCAATGAGTTCCAAAGAATGGTTTCTGAAGAAAGATAGATGATGTGGCTTATTGCTGAGGTGGCATACATTACATTTACCCCAGCTTCCTTATCGATAATACATGTCCTACATATAAAATTTCCCAAATGCTCCCTTTTAATTTCCAGGAAGTTTTATACAATTATCAACATGCACATCCAGTAGTTAAAAATGTCACATAGTTAAAATGTAAGAGTTCTTTCTAGGAAGAAATTTGATAGATGTAGTATACTTACGTATTGTTGTTCATCTTGAAGTCTGAGGACATATTTGCTTTGAAGGTCGATCTTTTTATCTACAAAGTCATAAAACCATTGAACTGAACTGTGTCACTCAATTTTAAAACTGTCCATTTCATCATTTATTGTTATACAGTTTGACCAACAATGTAGGACTTGTTTGCATAACAACAAATTACCAACTCCTTAAACAAACTTCACTTGCTTGAGATTTTATCTCATTAGTGATAAATATTTTCGTCTGTATTTAAACAAGGTGTCATTTCATTCATGATATACTGTAGTTTTGTTTCTGCCAGAGTAGGCTTAAACAATGGATAGAATAGATTTTTTTCGCATTAAGTTCGATCTCTTTTTTTCTTGAAGGTGGTCATAAAGTACATTTTATGAAATGTTATGGAGATTTCCTTTGCTTTTTTTCAATAACCTTTCAGAAATTATAGCTAGCTATACTATAAAAATTTAAACTAAAAAAACACCTATTTATAACCAATGCATATAAACAATCTAGTGATATTGGAAAAAGATATTTGAAAATCTTTTTAAATTATGAAAGCATTTATATTTATCTTACCTGTCTGAAAATTGTTCCAAGGCCTTTAAAAGTGGAGTGTCTTTGTAGAGTTCTGAATATAAAATTGTTCCAATGCCTTCAAAAGAGTAACGTCTACACTAGAATTCCCAGTCTAATATAAAATCTTTAATTGGTTTGCTTGATCTACAAGAAATACGTAGTCACACATTCAATGACATTAACATTTTCCCCCCATAAACGTTATATCAGATACTCCCACAAAATTCTAAATATTCCCTGGGGATAAATGCTGGAATTTCCAGCCAACGTACGTCCTATATTAATGTGACGTTACTATATATTCACTGTAGCAACAAACACACTATGCATGAAGTAAACAGGCCTACTTAACAAGGACAATCAATTATTAAGAAGACTAACTTAATTAGTAGTCCTTTGTTGAAGAATCTTTAACGTCAATGTTTTCTTGGAATTAATTCCCTTCATGCATCAAATGTCTCTGAATTAATCAGTCAAATTTACACTGAAGAATTAAGTAGCATCATATTACTCTATCTGCTGTCCTGTATATATACTCATGGAAAGAAGATACATGTATATATACTGCTGGATAAGGTCCAGAGAACAGTTTAAAAAATTCTCAGAAATCTCTATTTAAAAAAAAAGGATGGAATTATATACTTAGTATGTATTAATATAATATAATCCGCATTTCAAGTTAAAAAGTCAGACCTACCTCAGCATCTGATGTTTTTAAGCTGAATTATCTAGCTTAAATAGTGAGTAAAATTAACACTTACTATAATTAGAATTAGCAGAATTTACATGATGATCAGATAAAAAATATGATCCTCCAATACGAAATAAAAATCACGTCTGTGACAATATCAACTTGACACCGTTAAGCTGATAAATAAGGAAAAAATTCTATTAATGCCTTCATCTTTTTACAAACAGGAAAGAACCCTCTACGCATCCGTACTATATCCAGACACAGTATGTGGGGAGTCACATACACCAAGTCACGTTAAAATTCACAAATTTTTCTGAATGGATCGCTTTTATAGGGACCTAAACTGCTCCAAAGCCACCCAATAACATTGAAATACCTGCTTGCACAGTTAATTTTAGAAGATGCATGTGCATGTATCCTTCAGGCAAAGGATGTACATGTAAAACATATACCAGTAAATAAATTTGGAGATGACTGTTACTTTTAAACACTTGAATCTGATAAGATGAATACATTATCTTTCAGGGTTGGGTGGTGAATTGAAATTCAAATGACACAGTCATCATTAAGAATGGATGGCCCGAATGATAGATATTCCCAAAGCATTCAGAGTATTTAATAAGGAAAATCCTGAAACCCGCTTAATGTCTAATTTGGTCCAATGGATTCTTTGAAATGGATAGAGACTAAAAACCATGCAATGCCATATTTATGGTTGAAGAAAATGGTCCAAAGTTTGACACAGGGAACTTTTCTTCTGTTTTTTAATTAATGTGGAATTTTTTTTAGTCATGGCGTCCAGGGATGCTTAATTTAAAGTTGTACTTGATTTTGTCCAATCAATAAACAAGTCCTTTGAACGTAATGTTTGAAATTAAAAATTTAAAGAATTCTCAACACTCAGAGTTCAAAAGAATTTCTGGAGTAGAAACACCTAAGGAAATGGTAAATAAAGATCTTCAATATGTCTGTTTAAATCAGCTGGAAGATTGATCAGGACCAGTTCTTTTATTTGAAGCATGACTACACCCTTAATGAAGGAGTGTCTATAACTGGACTTCCCCAAAAACCCACCCTATTATGGAGTTCATTTTGGGCAGTCACATATCCTCATTCTGCCCATTTAGTTTTTAATCTACTGTAACAATAGCAATATAAGCTGCAACTTTGATGTTGGAATTTTTTGTTGCAAAGTTGCAAAAAATAACTATTTCAATGAGAGAAAAAAATAAGATTCTGTTGTTCATATTTGCAATGGAAGAACTATTTATAAGCTTTGATTTCATTAATTGTCATCCTAATAATGATTTCTTAAATAATTGTATGTATAAGTCTTTCTTCTGCTTTATTTAAGTCTATTTGATCATAAAGGTTTAATTTACATACAAATTTATCACAATAACACATTTTAAAATTTCAAAAATGCAGCTCATATTGCTTTAACATTTTAATTCCATTCAAGCATAAAAAGTACAACTTCAGTGAAGGAGGCCAACTTGACTTCCCCAGAAGTCAATGGTATGTGTATTTATATGGGATTAAAATCGGTCAGTCACAGCCTCATTTGTATTAAACCTTCCATTTCATGAGCATTTTTAGCCTGAAGTGGACAAATAAACACTGAATTAACATGATACATCAATCTGCCTCATCTCCTACCAAGACGAATATCATACTTAGATCACTGAGGAAATATGGTAATAAAAGATTGAATATCGGGCCTCAATCAGGTCTGTTCCATACCCTGTGGACAATATTTATATAAAGGGACTTACATTTATATACATTATTAATTTCACTTTACAATATGGGGTGGCCATGGTAAACATTAAGCTTTATTGGAATATTTAACGACTACTTCTGATGATCCTAGAGAATCCCAATAAGGACCCTCAATTGCAAGTAAATATATTTATCTAGTTATTTATTTAAAGCATAAAACGATACTGGTCATATACATTAATTTAAAGAACATTTTTGTTGCAGATTAAATTATATGAAAACATTTTTGTAACAAATTTCTGATTTTCTAGATAAAAATGAATAAGCCGGTCTGTACACTAAAAATGGCTCTTTGAAGAAATAATTCTTTACTCTTTGGTGATAGTTTAAAATCCTTGACTTAGGGATACAAAAAAATTCATTAAAAGAATTCAAAAGATGTGCGGTCAATTCTTACCTTAGCTATTGGTCAGGCAGTACTAATTCAAAGAAAAAAATTTAAATGTTTCTTTCAAACATATGCTTACAATGACTATTTATTTAGTATTTAATCTACTGTAACAATAGCAGCTAGGTTGTAACGTGTTTTGGATAATCCAATTGACGGCTTTTATGAGTCCACACCTGGATTTGTAAACAGTCCATCTGGTGATTTTCTAATTCAATTACAAAACTGATCTCCAAAAAACCCAAACTCACTGGGTACTTACACACAGATTTCTACTACTAAACCAAAGCAAGGTAGGGACTTATATCACATGTTTATAACTATACTATATATTCTTTTAGCCAAGATATTATCTATTTTTTGTGCAAAAAGATCAGTATCTTTATATTGCTGGAATAATCATTCAATGGAGATTAGATATTTAATTATTAATCTAATTTACACCCTTTTTATCTAGAACAAATGGAATAGTGTGCAGGTATACCAGTAATTTAAGTTACCTGTAAAAGATCTCTTAGGATTTTTTTAAAATTTAGAATTAAAATGCTTTTCTTTTAATCTTTTTATGCAGTGATCTTTTCGGTAATATAATGATAATCAAGAATCATCAACATTAAATGTTGATTAAACTGGTTATATTTTGCAATTAAATGAATATAATTAAATTGCAACTTTTTGGAAGTGTTGGAAAAAATTATACTCACATTCTTTAGAGAAAAAAGTATTTTCAAAATATGTGCATTTGTCAATGTATCAAGCATATTGAAACATATGGTTATAATTTCACTAATTAATAGGTTTTCCAATGTAAGCAATTGAATTTAAATTCCAATTCAGGAAAGGCAACTCATTTGCCATACCATCTGTTGTAAACTGATGAAGAGTTGTTACCCTTAAATGTTTCAAACTGTTTGTCAATCATAAAAAAAAACCAATTGATTGGTGAAGGATAAAAAGAAAACTAATAAAAACCAAAAAAGGGAAAACTCAACAAAAATTGTGATTACCTTCAAAATCTTAGACAGAACCCAACCACTGGCAATAACATGTATGAAACAAGATCTTATGGGAGTCTACCATTATTTCCAATGTCTGTACAATTAATTTCGATGTCTATTTTTTCTAATATCTGGTCAATCTTAAGCAATACAAAAGTCAGGGCCTTAATCAAAGGAGGCAACAAAAAGAAGAATTTTAATTACGGCTGCAATTTTCTCGGGAATCGTAGACAGGAATGCTGATATTTTGTTTTCAAGGTTAAATGGTAAACTTCCCCCAGGGTCATTTACCCAAAGTATAGAAGTCCACTTAATTGTCTCCCACAAATCTCCCAGACATTTTTTTTTGTTTGTCAGTGGTTTTTTGTGGGCTTAATTTGAAACAATTTCTTTGTTTTGCAAAATCCACAATAGCTATAATACTTAAATTGGTACATCTGTAAACTTTCAGTAAATTCTATAGAATTAAAATCTCTTTGGGCTTAATTAACACATCTTTGTTATAACTTCACCCCAAAGGGCATTTTAGAATGTAACTGTAAAGTAGATTGTTAGATAAGGCATTTTTTATTTGGATGGGTTTAAAAAGTACCTATTTATAAATGAGAATTACAATTAAATGTTTATAAAATGCACACAATAAACATTTTTAAGTACCTTTGTACCTGAATAAAGAACCTGTGTTTATTAAACCCAAAGGAATCCTTCAGTTACAACCATACTGATCCTCTATGCTTTTGATATAAAAATAGGGGTACATGAGCTAGCTAGGATTCAGAATTCCAGGTAAGACTGTGCAAGAAAATTAATTCTTTTTAAGTAAAAAAATGCCAAACAAAAATTAAGATTACGGGTAAAATTTTCTATGTGCAGCATTCAATTTATCACGTATGCACCATGATTGAAAATTGATTTTCGGGGTCTTATCAGTTGCTTTGGTTAACTTAAACATAGAATATCACCTATGTTGGGTTTTTAAGATAGACAAAAAAAAAACATCCTGGGTGCAATAAAAAACTCTATAAAAGTAACATAATTCTTTAAGAAAGAGGCCTTAAAGCCTTGAAGGTCATCTGAATAACAGCATTTTTTTTCTCCAAGTTTTGTCCAACCTTGTCTTATCTAAGAATGATATGCTTAATGCAAGTGACATGAATTTTTATATATTTGTTGAGGACACAATGTCCATTGATGCTTATCTCCAAAAATTCAGCTGCTCAACAGAAAAGAAAATATTAAAAGATATAATGAATCTTAAATAAGATATATGATTAACTTAGACCCATCCTGGGGTTGGGTCTGGGAACAAAATTTGTTAACATTATATGTCATTATGCATACTGTCCAGAAATAAGGACGATTTTCAATTGTACACAGAATACACAATTTATTGTAATGAGAGCTATATACAGGAGAAAATGCTATGGATCAGACTGAGATTCAAACCTTGGCCCCTGAATCTTCAGTCAGGTGCTCTATCAACTGAGCTATCCGGCCACTGGCAATTAAACCAATCAGACCACCATGCACATTCCCCCCTCCTTCAAGATCCTTGGCCCCAAAGACACCAACCCACACCCTTCCATGGCAGGTCTTTAACTTTTCACTTCCAGGGCATGACATGACAACAAATGTAAAGGGAGAGGAGAAAAATGCAAAACTTCAGTCTGGGATTCGAAACTGGGCCCCCTGAATCTCCAGTCAGGTGCCCTACCAACAGAGCTAATTGACCAATGGCGAATGAACATGTCCGAGAGCCATGTTATATAGTCCTCCCCGAAGGCTTTACATAGTGCCATTGTGCACCTCCTATTTTACTTTTTGATCCAACATATTTTGGGTTTCCCAGAGCAAAATCAAAGGACACGGCCATTATTTCTTTAATATCAAAGGGTACCCATCTCTTATTAGCAACTCCTCCTATACCTCTGAATAATATTTAATGATACTTTCATACATTCTTTATAACATAATGCCATTGTGCACCTTCTATTTTACTTTTTGATCTGACACTTATTTTGGGTCTCCCAGATCAAAAATATAGACTTTGTCATTATAATCATATGGGAGGCAGGGGTATCATTTAGTGAACTCATTGCTCACAGTACCTCTACTTTTTATATTTTTGTTTTTTAATCTTTTTTTAAACGCAGCATCATTCCTTTTTTTAAAATACATATATTCAATTTGAGCATAAATATTGTATCAATGACACAAAGAATTCATCAATGGACCAATTTAAAAAACAAACATCATGCAACAGATGATGTATTTCATATTTCTCATGTTTCTTAACCGGTTGTTCACAGTTGGACTGTCTTACGTACTGGGTGTAGCATACGTGACAATTGTCTTGTTACCTCCCTTTGAATCATCGGGCAATTATATCCCCCCAAGAATGTGAACAACAAGGCTGTCAAATACCAATCATAACTTAAGAGGGGAAGTCAAAGGAAGATAAGAAATACACAACAAATAGATTTGATGATTTCCGATTTTTAAACATTATACATTCAACAAACAACAATAATCTCCTTTGCAAACAAAAAAAGTTGACTCAGTTTCTTAAAATTAACGATAAACCTACTTCTGTGGAGTGGTCAGATTGACAGAACTTTACATATTTTTGAGTGTTTAGAAATCACCTAAACATGTTATTTTGTTCTGATTTGATATTATCAGGAAGTGCTTGACAATATGCAACTCTATATTCCGGATGATCAGTCTGATTTCCGCAGACTGGTAACTAAAAGAGGAAAATTTATAGACACCAAAGCCGCATATTGACATAATTTTTTTTGGACAAACGAGGAACAGTATGTGCTTGAAAACTGCAACTCTTTTTGGGGTTGTTTTGGAAATTGACTTTAATCACCAAATTTGGTTATCTGTTAATACAAAAGGAAATTAAGGTTCATTCACACTAAGTCTCACAGATTAGATTCTTCACAAATTACAAGAATTACACTTTAATTTTTGTATAAACATATCAAAATTGTATCTATAGCAAGCATACCTTGGTCACTAACATAAGATGACAACACAGTTACTTCATTTTACAGTCCCCTTATCTGTGCATTCCCTGACCCCCGTCAATAGATGGTTCCTATATTATCAAAATGGGCCAGTAATTAACTCAGTAAAGCTGTGATGTACGCTGGACTACAGATAGGTGTCTCTATATTTTAGCTCATTTGTGGGCCACTATATGATAAAATGTGTTGACTAAGACAAGAACCATTAGGTCAAGGGGGATGGACAGTCCGACCCACTCAAAAGCTTAATTATCGGAAGTCCAGTGTTTGCTTATGCAATAAATACTCCAAATCTAAGATAACTTAAAGAATTGAAAGATTTTCTTGTAGCATTTGGAAGTATATAGGACTTATCCCTTAAGAGCAGTTGAAATTCTTCATTCATACTTCATCAAAATGTATGTACCAATTTCATTTGGCAAACAGTGAGTCTCTGATATCTTAAAGTAACATTTATATTGCATGAAATTTAATTTGTCTACAGGAATGGTATGTGGAAATTTAAAAATAAATTTTTGATTTCTTTTCAATATGCACCCAATTGCTTAAAAAATTAGAAATATGAGCAAAAATTGACTTGAAATACTACATGTAAAAGAACCAGGCTTACTTGTGCCACCACCCTATTTGTTAAGAATTGCAATATTTCATAAAACCAAGAAACAAATAAGTTGATATAAAGCAGCTAAATCAACTGTTTTTCACAATTGTTTTCACCAAAAATAAAGTAATGGAGAAATCCAAGAACATTTACAATAGAGCAAATGGTTTAGGTGTGACTGTTTGATGGGGGATGCTTACTTCTCTATGGCACCTGATCCCACCTCAGATGACTGTAGAGGTCTGTGTTTGCATTGCTCCTGATTTCTATTGTTTCAGTGTTTTTTATCTTCATATTTCATTCAACTACTATTCTATGATAATAATTATTTTTATCTATAAATAAAGCAGCTAGTACAATCAGTACAAAAAATGCAATTGCATGCCATTAATGTTTCCTTATTTTCTGGGGCTTCTCTTGCTGACGTGGTTGGCATTACAACAGAACAGTAAGTTAAATTTTTATCATCATCCTCTGAAAGAATGGTTCATGTTTACTCATGCATCTTTTCCATGCATGCATGCATGCATGAGCAAAATACAATATAAACCATATTCTTCCATAATCACCATTCAGCAAAACCCCAAAAACTCCCAAGAATGTTTTTAGTAAATAACAAAAGACCTATTTAACACAAGGTGAACTCCACTCATAAGCAGATTTTAGCATTCAAAGTCTTTCACTGTGGAGGGTAACACCTGTATAAGATATTGTGCTGACACAAACTGCAGAAGGGCTATATCTCAGGTAAAATGACAATTGGGAGTTCATCTGTGTTCTAGGTGATCCAAGTGTAAGTACTGATTTTAATCGTGACTGGGAGAGGTTCCTAAATGTTGACGATTCTGGAGTAAATCTTGTGTTACTTGAAACATTTTGTGTGGGATGAATCAAAATCTTAGTTCCGTTTATTGGAGAATATAAAGCATTCTCATGACGGGACAATTTTGTTTTATTTTGACTGGAGAGTAATCGGAAGATTTTTAAAGTGCCTTCATTGCATAGGTAAGAATGCACTCAGGTGAATCAGACAATATCTGTAATAAATTGACAGTAAACACAATGGAAAAGTAAAAACTATATACTTATAGGCATTCCGACTTAGATAAGATAAAAATCGTAAAAAATCAGTGCCATGAAAAGGTTACAGGATTTAAAGTTTAATACTGTTTTTCTCCCCCTTTTCTGAGGGTGTGAAAAGGATCTATTTACACATGATTATGGTAACATTTCAGAAATGATATCATGAATTAAATACATTCCAAATGACTGTATGTTAATTCCTCCATAAGTGTTACAAAACTTTCTATAAAAATGACCTGATCTTATCGATAATAGCATTTGCAATTATCATTTTTGATTTGACATCAAAATATAACCTCAAATTATTCCCTATCCCTAATCTCCTTCAAAAACAACATAAAGGAACCCCCTCCCTAACTTAAGTCCATTCACGATGGCATTTTTGGGTCTGAGCACTGTGATCCTACAAAACTTAGTATTGAGCTTGGCACCAAAGTCAGATTAGGCTACAATGAGTTATTGAGGCTGATCGTGAAACAGTGTGTTAAAAAAGTTGCAAAATTTTCTTTGCAGTTCTAGAATCTAGCTATTTTTTTTTTAATTCTTAGTTATCTCCCTTTTGAAAAGAACAAATAAACCAGAAGTCTCTGTCGAGACTGTAGCTCTACTGGTTTATACTTAAAACAAAGGAAGAGAAAAGTAGCAGTTGGGACTTGAGACTTTAAATCAGCAATAAATAGAAAAATGATCCTTGCCACTCATCAAAATAAAAACCAATGCACAGAATTATGTATCTTAGTATAGTCTACTTGTGTGCCAAGTTATACTGAAATCAGACCAAAACTGCAGGAGGAGTAGCATTTTGAAAGAATTTCAAAGAAATTTCTATTTTTAGTAACCAAGGCAACACCGTTCATGGAAATCAAAAACCGATGCACAGAATTATGTATCTTAGTGTAGTCTACTTGTGTGCCAAGTTATATCAAAATCAGACCAAAACTGTAGGAGGAGTAGCATTTTGAAAGAATTTCACAGAAATTTCTATTTTTAGTAACCAAGGCAACACCGTTTATTGAAATCAAAAACCGATGCACAGAATTATGTATCTTAGTGTAGTCTACTTGTGTGCCAAGTTATACTGAAATTGGACCAAATCTGTAGGAGGAGTAGCATTTTGAAAGAATTTCAAAGAAATTTCTATTTTTAGTAACCACGGCAACACCGTTCACCGAAATCAAAAACCGATGCACAGAATTATGTATTTTAGTGTAGTCTACTTGTGTGCCAAGTTATATTGAAATTGGACCAAAACTGTAGGAGGAGTAGCATTTTGAAAGAATTTCAAAGAAATTTCTATTTTTAGTAACCACGGCAACACCGTTCATCGAAATCAAAAACCGATGCACAGAATTATGTATCTTAGTGTAGTCTACTTTTGTGCCAAATTATATTGAAATCAGACCAAAACTGTAGGAGGAGTAGCATTTTGAAAAATTGTTTACAGACAGACAGACAGACGGACGGACGACGGACGCATTACTATCGCATAAGCTCTTCTGGTCTCTGACCAGTAGAGCTAAAAAGAGTGCATTAAAGCAGGTTTAGTTCATTTGTTTTGGAGAAGTGAAAATGTGGAAAGTTTATGGACAATGCATACATACAAATGTACATGTTGTTAATCACTCTTAGATGTCCTTAAAGAAGATATAGCACAAATTTTCTCTCTTATACATGTATTAAGGTACTCCAATCCTCAGCGAGGTAGCATAACTCTAAAATTACTCAACTGCTATTTGATTAAGGAATGTTTTTAACTTTTGTGTGAGTTATTGGTGTGTGAATCACACAGACTTGTCACGCAGGCATATTTCATGAAGCCCGCTATCGCTTCATGAAAAATATGCCTACGTGCAATTTTTGTGTGATTCACACACCAATAATTCAGACTTAACTGAGAAAAAAAATATCCCTTATATTAATTTTACATGCTCGGAAGCAACTAAAATATGCTAAATATTTAAAATTTTTCGCTGCCCTATATCGTTGCATTTTTACTAACGTCGCTGCAGCCTCATTGTGACGTTACGTTAACGCACGTTTCTCCGTGTATATTTCTACGCATGAGTATACACGAAAATGGTTTTCAAATCAATTTCACAGTTGGCTTAGTAGAAAAACACAGCAAATGTAAATATAATAAAATGGACTTCTATGAACATTTCAAAAGAATTTTCAATTTTTACTGGGTATTTTAAACTTTTCCCCCAAAAGAGAAAAAAATAATTGAAACCCATTGCGAATAAAAACTCTTGAATTTTATTTGTGTTCACACTATCTCTATGATATGTACTTTTTAAAAACTGTACAATTTTCAAAACTTACAAATCATGTTACAAGCCATTAATATATATTTCTTTAAATTGATTGCAGCTCTGATTATGTAATGTGCAGAAATTTCAAGATCAACTGTGACTTTTTTATAAACCCGTTTTGTATACCCTAAACAGTTTACAATAAAGAAAATTTACATATCTGCATCATAAACCGAGGACCTAACCTGAATAATTTTGGAATATGGGCAATTCTAAAGCTAAGAGACATTATCGTTCAAAAGTTTCACTCCTTATCAATTTTTTTTTGCCTGCCCCTTTAATATCACTTTATAGAAAACTTGTCATCACTGGAGTTGGTATTTTGCGAATTTAAATTTATTAGCATAATTCATGGGGATGGTTAGACACTACATTGTACATCTCTCACAGATCTTAAGAGATAATTAAACTAAAAAAAATTTTTAAAAAAAATGACAGCAATGGAGATTAACCTTAAGATACACCACCTCAGAAAAAGTGAAAATATAGAACAAATTTTCAACAGGTTTAGCTTGAAATAGGAACTGTCTGCATTGACCTTACAGTTTACAGTTACCACTAATACTGGCAAAGGTTGGGTTATGGGTAGGGCTGGGTATTGGCCAAGAGATTTCATATTGCAATATAATGCAGCATGTAGTATTTGATAAAGAAATGTATTGCAATATGAACTGCAAAGTCTTAAATAAATATCAAATTGGTACATGTATTTCATTTACTTTCATTTTCATGAGGAATGTACATCAATCAACCATCAAGCAAGGATTTTGAAAGCATATGTACCGTAATTAGCATGAAGTAATTATCTTACAGAATGTCCACATATAGTCAAGAATCTGACCCTTTTCATATTGAAAAAATAAACACAACAAATTATTCCAATGGTAATTTAATTCCCTAACAAACAAATTTTCCCAGAAGTGAATTATCCACTAAATGGTCAAAAAATTAAACAAATATGGGAGAGTATAAAAAAAAATACTACTTGGAGAATTTCGCATTTCACAACTATTCCTTTTTTTTTTATCATTTTGTGCAGTGATACTAGTAGTCCCCCATGAATGAGTAGATAACAATGTGTGATTTTAATCAGATTGAAAATTAATATTTGCCTGCTTGTACTATTGGACCATTAATACAACTTATATGGTTAAAAATATCAATTTAATTCATAAACAAGCTTAAACTTTTAATCTCTTAACATAAAGAGGAAAATATAATATCATTAACCTTTGTATAAATGACTTAAACTTCTTGTGAAATCATGCGATGATTCTATTTGTGATTGTAAACCCGGTATATATAAAAAATAAAAATGGCTTTTTCATGACTTTGTAACAAAATAATTAAATCAGATATGCTTCACGCTTCATCGACTTTAAATGAAGAAGATCAGTAAGGACACACATAAATAACAAGTCCTGGGTTTTTAAACTTCATCGTATAGGACACAATTACCCTCAGCCGGACATCAAAGAAATTAACATGTTCTTACTGTTCATATCTACTCCTCTACATTGAAACTTACAAGGAACACCCAACATAATTTGATAAACATATGCTCCACAGTCAGAATATTTTATACAGCATTCATATTTTTGTCCCCGCTTGAAAAGTGGGGGATATTAATCTGGGTCTATCAGTCCGTCTTTCTGTCTGTCTGTAATGCTTTCGTTTCCTCACGATATCTCGAGAACCCTTTAAGCTTCCGCTATAAAATTTTGCAAAGCAACTCCCTATGGACTAAAGAAGAACCCTACTGATTTTGAGGTCAAAAGGCCTAAGGTCAAGGTCATAAATTCGCAAATGCTGTCTGTTATAACACTTTCGTTTCCGCGCGATATCTCGAGAACCCTTTGAGCTTTTGCAATGAAATTTTACATAACAACTCCCTGTGGTCTAAGGAAGACCCCTATTGATTTTGAGATCAAAAGGTCAAAGTTCAAGGCGTAAATTTACACATTCTGTCTTTGTGTAACACGATCATTTCCGAGCGATATTTCAAGAAGATTTTAAGCTTTTGCTATGTAATTTTATACCAAAACTCCATTTGACCTCTCTCACCCCTCTCAAAGTGTCCCGCCCAGTTTGTTTTATTAGTATTTATTGTATTACATGTCACTCTTTTTAGCACAGGGGCACGAGGAGAGTTATAACATATAAAACAGGTTCTCCGCGGACTTTATATTCTTATTACATCTATTTGAACTGTTTAATAAAGGCTAAATTAGACACCATGCATTGTGTAAAATTGTGACAATATCGAACATGAATATACACAGGTATGTGACTTTATCTTCGCAAATAATTTGTATGAAATTAAAGCGGTTCCGTGGTCTAGTGGTATGTCTCTCGCTTCTTGTGTGAGAGGTACCGGGTTCGATTCTCAGATGTTCCTTTTTCTTTTTTTCCCAAAATACTTTTTTTTTAACTAAATGATAGTACTCAGCATGTGAAATGAAAAATTTATGAGGTCTGGCTTGTACAAACTCATAAAATCATCATTACAGTGTGATAGATATTCCCTATAAAAAGAATCTTCTAAACACATAATAAAGAATAAGCAATCAAATCTTTATTTAGTATACATTTAATAATTCTACAAATTCAGTCAGAGGGATCCGATCCCCCCCCCCCCCCCCCTTCCACCGAACTGTGCATGGTTTACTTTTTCCCTAAGCAGGGGACACAAATTCTCTGAATTAACTTGTTTTACATAATATTATAATATAGCAGTTCAGCTTCTGAGAAAAGAGAAAGGAGTTTCAAATGATGTTTGAACCTGCATCTGTTTTTAAAAAATCTGGTTTATTACTTTACAGCACTGGTGCCATCAAAAGCAGGGTTGTCCCTCAGACCCAGGGGGAGGGTGGGGGTAGGAGGATGGGGGCCAAGGAATTTCCCTGCCTATAATGATATCATCCTTTGGTTACTCTGGTATTTTACCTCATACTCTTATTAAGGGGGGAATCCTTCTACAAAATTAACACCTCTGTTATTTTAATTCTTAGGGACAACCTTAGAAAGGGTGTGGATAGCTGTAGAATTTAAAAAAAAATCTTGTGGTTTTAAATCCTTGCATTGACAATTTTTTTTAAATTTACACCTTATTCATATAACATATTCCAGCAGAAATATATTGCTGTCATCTACATCCTATTCACTGTTTCTCCTATATCTTAATCTCTTAATCTTCTGACAGTCTTTTTTCATTTCATTATTAAATGTAGTACATTGACATTATTCACCTGTTTTTGTATTTTTCAGATATGGGGATGGGCACACTATGGAAATTAACATTCCTTTGTTGTATCACAGCTTCTGTTTTAGGTATGCAAACACAAGACATCTATTTTTTGTTTATTAAATAAGCTAAATTTAAAAAAATCTCAGTGGAACACAATGGTTTTATTTAAAAAATGTCCACAGATATGAATTTTGCAACTCTATGTAAAATTAAGATTCAAAAATCCCATGTACTTCAATACAGTTGTATTAAAAAGCAATTTTAGGTAACATTTTAACCTAACAACTTGTATTTTATCATAATTTCAGGAGGACATAATCCATGCTGTTCATATCCATGTGAAAACAATGGAATATGTATGACAAGGGGAGATAACTATTACTGTGACTGTACAAGTTTAGAGTTCTATGGCAAACACTGTGAAATCCGTAAGTATATTTTTCATATCTGCGTCTCCAAAAGAATTTTTCTATGGGGATTGATGAAATTTGATCCCAGGTGGATTATTTTTTAAGGTACCATAAATCATTTATGACATCTTGTTATCTCAAGTCCCTGGTGTTTCCTTGTAATGATAGGGAGTTAGTGAATCTTAATTCAAGCCAGTCTTACGTACTTATAATTTCAATAAGTGATGATGCAAGAGTAAGTGGTTCTGCTCAACATCAATTTTATTTTCTATTTGTTGGTCAAATTCATTTTTTCTTTTGTTTTATGTGTGTGTGTGTTTTTATTTTGCTTTTTTTTTGCACTATACTGGTCAGATACCAAAAGAGCTTATGCAATAGTTAGGTGTCCATTGCCCATCTAACTAACTAATTGTTTGTCTGTCTGTCAAAATGTTTTCTAATAATACTACCCCTCTTACAGTTTTCAACAAAATTTGGCAAAGAAGTAGACTACACTAAGATACATAATTTTGTATATCACCTTTTTGGATTTCAATAAACAATGCTGCCATGGTTACTAGAAATATAAATTTCTATGAAATACATTCAAAATTCTAATGCAAGAATTCTGATATCTGGGTTTTCTGACAAATAACATAAACATATATCGAAAAGAAAACATTCCACGGTCCTATTTTAACATTCATCCAAGTCTTCCATTTATTTCAGCCACATTTATGAAGAAGATTAAACTGTTTCTAAAGCCTGACCCAGAAACAATACACAATCTTTTGACTGGTAACAAATGGTTATGGGATATCGTCAATAGTGTTCAGTTTTTGTCAAATGCAGTCATGAAGAAGGTTTACACAAGTAAGTACAGGCAATAAATTTGTCTATTCCAACACATTTTTTATCTTGTATTTACTAGTCTCCAAACCATAACAAATTGAATTCCTCAAGTAAAGTGATTTGTATACGATGAAAAACTTATGATAAATAGAATGGATCTTGTGTTTAAAAACCTTCAGGTAACTAATTTGCAATATTGATAAAAAGTGTCATTCAGGTTGTAAACTTTCCAAATGTAATGAATTATCTTATAATTTGTCATATTTCACTGTTCTGTTCTGTTTTTAGTGAGATCTGATATGGTTGACAGTCCTCCCACGTATACATCTGAACATGAATACATCACAGTGGACGCCAACTTTAATTATAGTGTCTATACCCGCACCCTGCCTCCCGTACCCAAAGAATGCCCCACTCCCATGGGTGTCTGGGGTAATTACTGTTATTATTCTCCCTACATGGTTAATTTTGGCAGAATACATGGCTCGAAAATTACCCCTTTCCTAATTGCCTAAAGCAAACACGCTTTTAAGCAGATTTTTTTGGATAACCATAACAACAAAATATTCCAGATAGACAAGCATCAGATAATTAAATATAAGTACAATAATATTACATAGATTTTAATTCAGGCCACCTTTAAAAAATGTTTGTTCACCCTCACCAGGTAAATTGATTGGTTAAAACTTAGGTAAATCAAAGATTACGAAGCTCACCTCGACGAATGTTATCAGTGTAAGTAATGCAAATCTCACATCATATTTTCTTAATATTTAGTATTTATCCCAAAAACAATATCCTTGAAAGTGTTTAACCCCTTACATGGCATAAACACATTCTACACATGTAGCGTGAAAAACATGTATAGTGTAACAAAATTCATAACTTTGAAATTAATATCAAGAACGAAATTTTATATGACTATATATTGAATAGGGATAGTTCAAAAACAACGAAATTAAATGCACACGAAATCATTTTTCATGACAAAACAACGAAATTTTATGCCCACGAAAATTTGTGCTTCTACAGTATACACATTCTACACATGTAGCGTGAAAAACATGTATAGTGTAAATAAATATTCATAACTTTGTTAATACTGTAGATATCAAGAACTTCAAGTTCATTTGGATTGATCTGTTCCAAAAACTTTAACCTGGGTCTCTTGTTTGGGAAATATAGGTCAGATCCAGCATCCAAAGCAAGTCTAGTAGTGTCCATCCCTAGATGCATCATCCATGCAAGTTTGGTTCAAGTAGGACTTATAGATACTTGGGAATGAAAATATAGGTCAGATCCAGCATCCAAAGCAAGTCTGGTAGTGTCCATACCTAGATGCATCATCCATGCAAGTTTGGTCAGGGTAGGGCTTATATTTCCTTAGGAATGGACCTGCTCCAAAAACTTTAACCTGGTCACTCATCTGGAAAATATAGGTCAGATCCAGCATCCGAAGCAAGTCTGGTAGTGTTCATCCCTTAATGCATCATTCATGCAAGTTTGGTCTGGGTAGGGCTAATAGTTACTTGGGAATGGACCTTCTCCAAAAACTTTAACCTGGTCACTCATCTGGAAAATGTAGGTCAGATCCAGCATCCAAAGCAAGTCTGGTAGTGTCCATCCCTAGATGCATCATTCATGCAAGTTTGGTCAGGGTAGGGCTTATATTTCCTTAGGAATGGACCTGTTTCAAAAACTTTAACCTGGTCACTCATCTGGAAAATGTAGGTCAGATCCAGCATCCGAAGCAAGTCTGGTAGTGTCCATCCCGAGATGCATCGGGTAGGGCTAATAGTTACTTGGGAATGGACCTGCTCCTAAAACTTTAACCGGGACGCTAACGCCGACGCCGGGGGTATAGCATAAGCTCATCTTAATTTCGTCAAAACTTTTTTTAACCCCCAGGAAGCAAGTATTTTTCATGTACGTTGGATAATTTATTTTAAAGATTACACGTTGAATTTGAAATTTCTACAAAAAAAAAATTCCTCACCTAGCTACCAGTTCATTTTTTCTGTCCTTAGTTGGGAGAGGGCAAACAAACATTGCATTATAGCTAAACTTGGCCTCATTATATTTGTTGTTTTTCATCAATCCTTATAATATGAATTCTTGACCATCAAGTGAAAAAAACCTTGATAATGTTAATATCAAATTTATCAAATAATCTATAAATTACCAGCTGGTTCATGTATCATTATATTCATTTTAAGGTAAGAAGGAACTACCACCTGCTGAAGAAATAGTAAAGACATTTTTTGTGAGAAAAGAATTCATTCCGGAGCCCATGGGGACCAGTGCACTGTTCCCTTACTTTGCTCAGCACTTCACACACATGTTCTTCAAAACAGACCTAAAGAAGGGGCCTCAATTTCAGTGGGGAGGACATGGGGTGAGCTTTCAAAAATAACCATCTTCAAATCTTAATATCACATGTACAAAATGAAAGATACAAGTACAATGGAACCATATGGACAAGCTTCATCAAAGTGCCTTTAGAATAAAAATTTAGGACATGGAAGTATAGTTTGTAATGATTAAATCTGTTAAATACTTTGACTTAATGTTCTTTTCATTAAAGAAATTGCAGGTTTTGTTATTGGTACACAAACTCATTGTTGACTGACATAATTTCAGGTAGATGTTTCACATGTCTATGGCAAGGATAGAGATTCAGAAAACAACCTAAGATCATTTAAAGATTGCCCATGAAAGGGTGTGTCATGAACAGGTCATTTGGGGAAGTTCAAGGTCACTGGAAGAAAAATTTCATAACCATACTTATGGATAAATCAGTTCCATTTCACACAAAGATTGCCCATGACCCAAGGGTGTGTCATGACCTTGACCCAAGGTCATTTGGGGAAGTTCAAGGTCACTGGGAGAAAACAAAATTGTGTTTTGACACATACATGGATAAGCTTGGTAGGTTCATTTCACACAAAGATTGCCCATGAACAGTGTTTTATTTTTTAATAAATGGTCAAACTATAGCCAAGGTCACTGGAAGAAAAATTTCATAATTGTTACCCCAAATATATCTTTGTGGAAAAGGAATTTCATATAAAGAATGACCCAAGGGTGTGTCATGACCTAGCACCAAGGTCATGTTGGGGAACTTATTGCCAAGGTAGAAAAATTTAATAATTCGTGTCCGGTCCATATCTTTCTTAAGGATAAACTTGGTAGGTTTTCATTTCATACAAAGATTACCCATGACCCAAGGGTGTGTCATGACCTTGACCCAAGGTCATGTGGGGAAGTTCAAGGTCACTGGAAGAAAAATTTAATAATTCGTGTCCGGTCCATATCTTTCTTATTGATAAACTTGGTAGGTTCTTATTTCACTCAAAGATTGCCCATGACCCAAGGGTGTGTCATGACCTTGACCCAAGGTCATTTGGGGAAGTTCAAGGCACTGGAAGAAAAATTTTATAATTCGTGTTTGATACATATCTTTATTATACAAAAACTTACTTCTGAAAAACCCAGCGGGGGGTATTTTGTCCCGATTGGACAGTTCTAGTTATATTTTTTCTTTAAAGGTTATAAATGGTGAAGAGTGGCCTCCCCTCACCTCTGATGCTAAGGTCCCTATGGGGTATCCTAAACACATAGACATAAATAAGCAGTATGCTCTAGGACATTCCTTCTTTGGTCTCTTGCCTGGACTGTTCATGTACGGTACAATCTGGTTAAGAGAACACAACAGAGTTTGTGATATCTTGAAGGCAGAGCACCCAGAATGGGACGATGAGAGATTATTTCAGACATCAAAACTAGTTATTTTAGGTAAGCCCTCAGTTCAAAGAAAATTAACCTTTTAATTATATGATATTTCAAAATTTACCACTTATGAAGTCTAATGAAAGGGAGATAATTCTAAACCTTTTGCTTTTCTTTTGGCAGGTGAAACTATCCAAATAGTAATAGTAGATTATGTGCAGCACCTAAGCAACTATCATTACCAATTACTTTTCAATCCTGAATTGCTATTTGGTGAACCGTTCCAATATCAAAATAGAATTGCCGTAGAATTTAACCATTTATATCACTGGCATCCTCTAATGCCTGATGAATTCAACATTAATGGAACTAAATATACCCTGAAAGAATTCATGTTCCATCCCGAGATTGTGGTCAAACATGGAATGAGGGAATTTGTGGATTCACTGTCCAAACAGAGAGCTGGCATGGTAGGTACCATTTCTGTAATATAAAGTAGATATGTGTATTGTAATTGCATAGTACAGGGAAATTATTTATGAAACAATATATTTTAGCTGAACAAAATTATAGTGATTTTAATGTAAAAAGATCTTTGTTGCTTGATGGGCTTTTAAAATTACATTCAAAGAGAAATTTCCATTTTATAGGGGAATTAACTCCTAAAAATATGTAAAACATTCATAAATCAGACTCAATATTTTCAGTAAAGTAAACATTCTACTGTTCCTATATAAAAGGTTTTATTATACTTCTGTTGAAATGTTTCCTATATAAAGTCCAGAAGGTAAAGTAACTATCCTTTATACCCCACGCATAGCAAAGCTATACCCCAGGGTATAGTTTTTGCTATCCACCCTCGGAAAATTTTCATGCAATTGTTGCCGCCAATTTTGATTTCCAGCGATAAATCTTTAAACTGATGATGTCATAATGACTTCAGTAGCATTGTGACGTCATCAGGTTTCAGATTATTCTTGCAGAATTATCTTACTCCAAAAAAATTCAAACCTCAGAAATTATATTATACATCAGTATAATAAAACGCTTATCCACTGGTTTTGAGTGGGATAGCTCTTTTATCAAACCCGCGACAAGGAACTATTCCTCGAGGGCTTAAGAAATATGTAAAACATTCATAAATCAGACTCAATATTTTCAGTAAAGTACACATTCTACTGTTCCTATATAAAAGGTTTTATTCATTAAATTGATTGGAATGCTGACTGCTATCATAGTTGTTGAACTGTGTTTTTATATTTTTAGTTTGGCCCTCACAATCACGGCTCTTTGACCATCCCCGTAGTAACGGAACTCATCAAACATGGCCGAACTCTGAGACTCCAGTCCTTTAACCAGTACAGGAAGAGATTCAACCTTAAACCGATTAAATCCTTTGAGGAACTGACAGGAGAAAAAAAAATGGCCAAACAGCTCGAAAATTTTTACGGTGATATCAATGCAGTGGAATTCTATGTAGGACTTATAATGGAGAAGAGACGTCATAAGGCCTTATTTGGGCCTTCCATAGTGGAGATGGGAGGACCCTACTCCGTAAAAGGATTAATGGCCAATCCAATTTGTTCTCCTAAATACTGGAAACCCTCCACATTTGGAGGGGATGTAGGATTTAATTTAGTTAAAACTGCATCTCTTAAAAAATTATTTTGTGAGAATATGAAAGGAGAATGTCCTGAGGTTACATTTAGAGTCCCGGATTATAGGGAGGGTGACGTGCTAGACTTAATCAAACAAAAAATGGAATTATAACAATAGAATGTGCTTAAATATTAATTTTTTTGTTCCATCAATGTCATGAATGCATTTCTGAACAGTTGCATTGAGTGAACATAATGTGCATGTGTTTAATTGAGATTTATAGGTATGCAGATTGATATGTACATTTTTGCTTAGAGATCTCATAATTATAGTTCGATCTTTTTTAACATTTCAAAAACTTAAACATTTCAAAACTTTTAGATTGGATTAGTAGAACTCATTACATTACGTCAATCTTTGTTTATAGAAATAAAATTATGAAAATATGCAAGGGGGATAACTAGAGTGCACACACACATTGTAATCTATATAATTACTATATTGTTAATTCCTATTTTTAAAAGCATGCATGTGCATAAGAATTACTAGCATTTAAAATTAGTTTTTTTTTTAATTAACAATTCTTATAATTCCTATAGTCTAAATTTAATCAGGGTAATTTTTTAGTCAAGCTCATATCTACACACTTTGTTTACAGTATTAGAGATCTAACGAGATCCAAAATCTATTAGTAAATAGTTAAATTGAAATTGTTTTCTCTCATCAATTCTACGGCAGCCATTGGAAGTCTGTACAAATTAATTTGTAGGAGCTAGCATACTGATAATTGTAAATTATTATGAAGCAATTTATATAAGATTTAAGCCCAAAAAATATGCCCATTTTAAGTCATTTTGATTACTGAGTATATTATTTTTAGTTTGTTAGTTTCTAAATATTAAATATTTCTTCAGTTTTTTGTTAAATGAATTGTCACATCAAAAAGATTTATTTCAAAGTGGTAAACAAGTCAGTAAAACATGCTTATAGCAAATATGCCTTTAAAATACATACATATTGTATTCTTACAGGATATGGAAATAATAGATTAGGTTAATAAATGATGAAAAATCATCCGTCCATGGCACTTCATTATACAATGTATTATCATTTCACTTTGGTACCAAAAAGTTGTTCAGTCATATTGGATTATTCATGCCTAAAAAATGCCTGTTTAAGGTTGTTTTGATTTAATATATATAGCTGAATTTATGTTTCATTAATTTGAATAGTTCAAGCTTAGAAGAAAAAATAGGTCCAATATTAACCTTGAATCTATACTTAAAATTTCTCTGTAAAACTGCATCTCTGACAATCACAATATTTCATCAAAAATGTTCATTTTCATATTCATTTATAGATATATATTGTTCTTGTTATGTCAATGTACATGTGTATATGCATCCATTTACCAGTACAAATGTTGAATTAGTCTAATTGATTGCCACCTATAATGATAATACCATTCTTTCCTTTACTTAGCTGCAAAACTGTAGCATTATGGTTTTATATTAGTCTTTGACCATAACAAAGACTAATATAAAAACCATAACACTACAGTTCTGCAGCTATTCTTTAAGGCAAAAACTTAATCCACCAACTCCTGTTTAAAATATTTCAACTGAAGTACATGTACAATGTATAGTTGTGAAGGGGGCAGTCTTACCCCAATATTACCCCCCAAAATTTTCTCACAAGTGGCTGTACTACATATATAACTGTCTGTTGAGTTTATGTGTTGTGGATATAGATTTTTACAATGTTCCTATAAAAGAGGAAACTTTAAAATTCAGCTGTACATATAATTAGTACATATCATATATATGGCTGTTTCTGGTGTAATATAATTATGTACATCAGTACTTTATTTCTATATCTACATAATATAAAGAGATTAAAGTATAATTGATTACTTAATGTAAGAGTTTACATTGAAATAAAACAATGCTAGAACTACATGTATTATTGAGTCTCTGTTCCAATATATTGGTGATGTTATACAAACACCATATCGAGATCCAGATCAAAGTTATTTAAAATCACTGTATACTCTTACATTCACTAATGACATATAAATTCTTTCTGAAAGCATATTATTTATCTCTCTTTTCCATACAAATCAAACACTTTATCTTTTTGTTGATTTTAGATGTGTAGACTGTAGATTTAACTGTCGTATATAGGAACTGTCGTATGTAAGAAATTGGGTATATTTATTCTTTACGTGTATCATAATACTCAAAATGAGTTCTTTAGTAAAATATGAACAAGCAGCCCAAGGGCCACATCGCTCACCTGAGCACATCTACTAGGAAAAAGCACATATCAGATCAAAACTGTGAGTTTACTGGGGGGGGGGCTTGAATTTTAACCCTCCTGGGTGTCATGATTTTAACAATGTAGAATCTACACTACCTGAGGATGATTCCATATAAATAGAAAAATATCACTAATCATGGCTTTGAAGTACTTGAAAAGAAGATTTTAAAAGGTTTCCCTGTATATCCTTATGTACAACTTTGGTCAGCCATTTTGGGCCCAAAACTAGCCCCAGAGGTCATGATTTGAACAAGCTTGAATCTTCACTAACTGAGGATGATTCCACATAAGTTTCTTCTCTCCTGGCCCAAAGGTTCTTGAGAAGAAGATTTTTAAAGTTTTTCCTATATATTCCTATGTAATTTTTAAAGTTTTTCCTATATATTCCTATGTAAAACTTTGGTCAGCCATTTTGGCCCCATCCTAGCCCCGGGGGTCAAAATTTAAACAAACTTGAATCTACAATATAGGATGATTCCACATGAGTTTCATCTTTTCTGGCATAGTGGTTCTTGAGAAGAAGATTTTTAAAGAATTTTTCCTATATATTCCTATGTAATACTTTGGTCATATATATGGCCCCACCCTAGCCCCAGGGGTCATGATGAACAAACTTGAATCTACACTACCTGAGGATAATTTCATTTAAGTTTCATATTTCCTTTCTCAATGATTCTTTAGAAGATTTTTAAAAGATTTTTCCTATATATTCCTATGTAAATTTTGGTTGGCCATTTTGGCCCCACCCTAGCCCCGGGGGTCATGATTTGAACAAACTTGAATCCACACTACCTGAGGATGATTCCACATGAGTTTTATCTTTCCTAGCCCAGTGGTTCTTAAGAAGAAGATTTTCAAAGATTTTTCCCATATATTCCTATGTAAAACTTTGGTCGGCCATTTTATTTATCTCTCTGATTTGAACAAACTTCAAACACTACCTAATAAAAGATTCCACATGAGTTTTATCTTTCCTGGCCCAGTGGTTATTGAGAAGAAGATTTTTTAAAAATGTTATTAATTTTTCACTAATTCATAATAATCTCCCCTTGGAAGAGGGCGTGGCCCTTCATTTGAACAATCTTGAATCCCCTTCACCCAAGGATGCTTTGTTGCAAGTTTAGTTGAAATTGGCCCAGTGGTTGTAGAAGAAGATGAAAATGTGAAAAGTTTACGACAACGACGCCAACAACGACAACGACAGACGACGGACAAATTTTGATCAGAAAAGCTCACTTGAGCCTTCGGCTCAGGTGAGCTAAAAACACTATTCATTTGAATGTTATTTATTCTGGTTAAATAAGAAATATATAAATGTTTATATATACATGTGATATTTATACAGTTAGAATTACAAGTCAAAGCAGTAGTACAATAAGTCAGTCAAAGTACTAATAAGGCCATATTACGATAAATTCAATGTCTACACAAGATGCGAACTAAACGACACTGAAACTTTTTCATCCCAGACACTGTGCCTTCTATTGTTGTGCTAAGATGAACTCTGTCGTAGTGAGATGGGTATCAGATGTCACTAAAAGTCACGAAGTATTGACCGTAGATTTTCCTGAGATATCTGTTAAGGTGTCTTCTTTTCTTGTCAAATACGCTTTTCGTTAATCCAGATGATAGAAAGTTTCCTGTTGTCATAATTTCACACACATATACATGTTCAGCTACACTCTTTGCATCATAATGGTAAACATAAAATTAAACATATTTCTCTGATTTAAGCCACTTTCTTTGCTGAATTTTATCTTAAATCTTTCTGCACTGAACCCACTGATATGTATATGTTATTATAACAGTAACTTGATCCGAAGGGTCGTATCACGTCGAGTTGACAGGCGCGGATCATCAGATCAAACAAAACGCGAAGCGTCTCGTTTGATCTGATGATCTGCGCCTGTCAACAAGACGTGATACGGCTCTTCGGATCAAGATACTGTTATAATGATAATTTAATTTATTCCCCTTAGCCGCCATCTTGTAGGGCAAAGTAGCGAATTTACCTCTTTGAGCAACCAATTTTAAATATGCATGCAAGAAATATATCTTAGAAAATATTTACAATTTTAAAATCATGAATTAACAGAAGCCTTGACAAGCGTATATTCATAGAAAAATAGTGTTATCTTTACCTCATTAACCAGCATAACAAATCGAACTTGGTTGAATAATGAAGGGATCTGGATATGTTGCCCTACAATATGGCGGCTAAGGAGAATAACTCTTAGACAAAATATGTCATAGGAAAAGGGTCTATACAATCATTATAGCCCCACCCTAACACCCTGACCCATGGGCCCTAAAATTCACAAATTGGCAAGAGATAGCCTAACTATATAAACTAACCATATACATAACTATGTATATGGTTAGTTTATTTAATGCCCAGGAGCAGAAAAGAAGATTTTCAAAAATATTTATGCAATTTCACTATATAATCTATAGAGCCCCGCCTTAACACCAGAACCCCTGATGCTGGGGCCATGAAATTCACAGCCTTATTCAACATAACTATATACTTATTTAGTTTATTCAATGCCCAGGAGCAGAGAAGAAGATTTTCAAAGAATTTATGCATTTTAACTATATAATCTATTTAGCCCCGGCCTAGCACTAGAACCCCTGACCCCAGGGCCATGAATTTCAAAAAATTTAGTAGAGGACTCAATGCTGATTACAATCATGCAAACAGTTTGACTGCTTAATGTCCAGAAGTAAAGAAGAAGATTTTTAAAGATTGCAGTAATTTTAGTGGTTTTGGCCCCACCCCTCAGGCCCCAGGGGGGGGGGGGGGCAGGGACCATGAAATTCACAATTTTTGTTCCCCTTTACCCATAGATGCTTTGTGCTAAAATTGGTTGAAATTGGTTCAGTGGTTTCAGAGAAGAAGCTGAAAATGTTCAAATGTTAACACACGACGCACGACACACGATGACGGACGAAAACGGATAGCAATAAGTCACCTGAGTTTACTCAGGTGACTTAAAAATTGAAATCTTAAAAATTGGATGCAGATGAGAAATTTTCACAAATTATAAGTGCATCAGCATACAAAGAAATTTCTCAAATGATTTCTTATAAATTATAAGTGCAAATTAAAGAAACATACAGAACAAGAGGCCCATGGGCCACATCGCTCACGTGGCTAGGAAAAGTAGAAATTGATTTATTATTGAAAAGTTTAAATCCAAAAGTAGTCCCATGACCAATCATGGCTTTGCTATTCTCAAGAAGATGATTTTTAAAGAATTTTCCTATATGTGTCTATGTAAAACTTTGATTGGCCAAAATGTGACCCCATCCTACCCCCAGGGGTCATGATTTGAACAAACTTGAATACACTACCTGAGAATGCTTCTGTATAAATATGATCAATTATGGCTTTGCTATTCTTGAGAAGAAGATTTTAAAATAATTTTGCTATACATTTCAATGTAAAACTTTGGTTAGCCATTGTGGCCCCGCCCTACCCCCGGGGGTCATGATTTGAACAAATTTGAATCTACACAACCTGAGGATGCTTCCATATAAATATGATCAATTATGGCTTTGTTATTCTTGAGATTAAAGAAGATTTTTAAAGAATTTTGCTATATATTTTTATGTAAAACTTTGCTTGGCCATTGTGGCCCCGCCCTACCCCCGGGGGGTCATGATTTGAAAAACTTGAATCTACACTTCCTGAGGATGCTTCGTTGCTTCCATATAAATATGAACATTTATTGGCTCTGCTACTCTTGAGAAGAAGATTTTTAAAGAATTTTCCTATATATTTCGATGTAAAACTTTGGTCGGCCATTGTGGCCCCCCTACCCCCGGGGGTCAAGATTTGGACAAATTTAAATCTACACTACCTGAGGATGCTTCCATATTAATATGATCAATTATGGCTTTGTTATTCTTGAGAAGAAGATTTTTAAAGAATTTTCCTATATATTTTGATGTAAAACTTTGTTTGGCCATTGTGGACCCGCCCTACCCCCAGGGGTCATGATTTGAAAAACTTGAATCTACCCTTCCTGAGGATGCTTCGTTGCTTCCATATAAATATGACAAATTATTGGCTCTGCTATTCTTGAGAAGAAGATTTTTAAAGAATTTTCCTATATATTTCGATATAAAACTTTGGTCAGCCATTGTGGCCCCACCCTACCCCCGGGGGTCATGATTTGATCAAACTTGAATCTACACTACCTGAGGATGTTTCCCCATAAGTTTCATCTTTCCTGGCACAGTGGTTCTTGAGAAGAAGATTTTTAAAACATACTACCAAATTTTCATTAATTCCCAATTATCTCCCCTTGAATGAGGGTGTGGCCCTTCATTTGAACAAACTTGAATCCCCTCCACCTAAGGATACTTTGTGGCAAGTTTGGTTGAAATTGGCCCAGCGGTTCTTGAGAAGAAGTCGAAAATGTGAAAAGTTTAAGACAACGATGACAACGACAACAACAACAACGACAACGACAGACAACAGAAAATTTTTAACAGAAAAGCTCAACTGAGCCATGCGTTATAGTCTAAATGACGGAAGTGTACACAAACAAGACCATTCCGGGATTGTTTAATTCAATCAACTTTTTAAAGGACTTTTGACTTGTGGGCACATTAAAAATATATAAATATATATAAACCAATACACAAACAATTCGAAAGTACCGATACCAATCAGAAATCAAGAGGATTTTGTTCAAAGAATTTATGTATATATTAGGGATGTCAACGAATATTCGAGTACTCGACTATCGTTCGATCATTCCGACTATCGACTAAAATTTTTTTAGTCGGTTATTCGTTAAAAATATGTTTCATCAAAGTTATATTGAATTCAAGGCAATAAACTTATATTTGCCCATTTCATTTATTTACAGGTCAATATTTTCATATGTATAAATTAAGGGTATTGTATAACTGTTCAACGGAAATTATTTGTTCGTCAGTGTATTTTCGGCAAACAGATTTTCAAAATATAATTATGTAAATTAATTGGGGTCAGTTATGAGAGTAATTAAACCGTGTTTTCTTTTTCTGATATTAACATCATGCAATCATTGATTGTTTGCACAAAATTTAATAATTAAAATTTATCCCAAGCTTTCTCTCTCTCTCTCTCTCATTGTTTTTATAGGAGACACGCTTTAATTGTTTACCTGTCAAAGATCATTGACGGACACGTAGAAATCGGCTTCAATTATGGGGTACAATTACTACCGTTATGTAAAAAAAGGACAAATACGAGCTTTTGATATCCCGCATTTAGATAAATATATTAATTTTGAAATTTAATACATTGGATACATATTGATTTACAGTTTTTAATGTGCTATATACATGTTTACAATTCAGAAATTTGTTGTATAATGGTGATAGCGTAGGCTAAATATTGTAAACTAGCTAGTCTGTAAAAGACAAACATTGAAGATGATATGGAAAAATAATTAAAATTAAACGAATATTCAACTATCGTTGGACTAAAGCATCCGATTATTCGACTAAGCTGTCCGAGTAAAATTGACATCCCTAGTATATATATATTAACACTATGTATTCAATAGATCCCCACCCTAACACCGGCTGTGAAATTCACAATTTTTGAAGAGGCACTCTTCGACATCATAACTATGTACTTAAATTAGTTCGTTTGTATAATACCCAGGAGCAGAGGAGAAGCTTTTCAAAGTATTAATGCACTTTTACTATATGATCTTTATAGCCCCGCCCTAACACCAGAACCCCTGATCCTGGAGCTGTGAAATTCACAATTTTGAAAGAGGCACTCTTGGTCATCATAACTCTGTACTTGGTTTGTTTGTTTTACACCCAGGAGCAGACGAGAAGATTTTCAAAGAAATAATAGACTTTTACTATATGATCTAAATAGCCCCTCCCTAGCACCAGAACCACTGAGCCTGGGGCCATGAATTTCAAAGCTGATTACAATCATGCCAACAGTTTGACTGCTTGATGTCCAGGAGTGAAGAAGAAGATTTTTAAAGATTGCATTCATTTTAGTAGTTTTGGCCCCACCCCTCAGGCCCCTGGGGGGCAGGGAGCATGAAATTCATAATTTTTGTTCCCCTTCACCCATAGATGCTGTATACCAAATTTGGATGTAATTGGTTCAGTGGTTTCAGAGAAGAAGATAAAAATGTTCAAAAGTTTACGAACGACGTACGATGACGAACAAAAACGGATAGCAATAGGTCACCTGAGTTTACTCCGGAGACCTAAAAATGACTAACTTCTTGTGAAATCATGCGATGATTCTATTTGTGAGGGTAAATAAAAATGGCTTTTTCATGACTTTGTAACAAAATAATTAAATTAGATATGCTTCAAGCTCAATTGACTTTAAATGAAGAAGATCAGGAAGGACGCACATAAGTAACAAGTCCTGATTCATGAACTTCATCGTATAGGACATAATTATATAAGCTCAGCAGGACACCAAAGAAATTAAAATTATCACACTATTCATATATCCTCTACATTGAAACTTTAATTATAAGGATACCCTACATGACTTGATTAAGGTATGCTCCACTGTTAGAATACTTTGTAGAACATTCAGGATTTTTTTTTTATGATATCATAATATTATAGCAGTCCCCCCTTTTGAGAGAGGAGACCAGCCATCTGTATCAAATGATGTCTGAACCTGCATGTTTTTCTTTTAAATCTCAGACAGGTATATTGCTTTACAGAACTGCCATCGAAAGCAGGGTTGTCCCTCAGACCCAGGGGTGGGTGGGGGGTAGGGGGATGGGGGCCAAAGAATTTCCCTGCCTATGATGATATCATCCTTTGGTTACTCTGGTATTTTACCTCATACTCTTATTAAGAGGGAATCCCTCTACAAAATTATCACCTCTGTTATTTCGATTCTTAGGGACAACCTTAGAAAGGATGTAGGATAGCTATAAAATTAAAAAAAAAAATCTTGTGGTTTTAAATCCTTGCATTGACAATTTTTTTTTCTTAATTTACGCCTTTTTCATATAATATATTCCAGTAGAAATATATTGCTTCACCTACATCCTATTCACTATTTCTCACTATATTTCAATCTCTTAATCTTAATTCTCACAGTCTTTTTTCATTTCATTATTAAATGTAGTACATTGACATTATTCACCTGTTTTTGTATTTTTCAGATATGGGGATGGACAAACTATGGAGAGTAACATTCCTTTGTTGTATCACAGCTTCTGTTTTAGGTATGCATACATGATATTTATTTTTGTTTATCAAATAAGCTAAATTTGAAAATTCTCAATGAAACAAAATGGTTTTAAAATATCCACAGGATAAATCTTGCAACTCTATGAAAAAATTAAGAATCAAAAACTGGCCCATGTACTTCAATACTGAATAAGCAGAAATTTTAGCAAAGATTAAATTTTGGCATTATTAGCAAGGGTGTTGAGATCGCTAAAATTGAATATTGCTAAAAATTAATGCGCTTTTTATTTGTAATAGCTTCTTTAGTGAGCATTTTAAAATCGCTAAAATTTCATCTCGCTAAAAATAGAAAACCTTTTTTTTTTTAGGACAAAGTGCTAAATCCATCTCCCTAAAATTTCCACTTATACAGTATTACAAAGCAATTTTAGGTAACATTTTTACCTAAGATTTTGTATTTTATATAATTTCAGGAGGACATAATCCATGCTGTTCATATCCATGTGAAAACAATGGAATATGTATGACAAGGGGAGATAACTATTACTGTGACTGTACAAATTTAGAGTTCTATGGCAAACACTGTGAAATCCGTAAGTATTTTTTTCATATCTGCATCTCCAAAAAAATTTTTTTTATCGGGATTGATGAAATTTGATCCCAGGTGGATTATTTTTTAAGGTACCATAAATCATTTATGACATCTTGTTATCTCAAGTCCCTGGTGTTTCCTTGTAATGATAGGGAGTTAGTGAATCTTAATTCAAGCCATTCTTACGTACTTATAATTCAAATCAGTGATGTTGCAAGTGTAAATGGTTCTGCTCAACATCAATTTTATATTCTATTTATTTGTTGTATTTATTCTTTTTTTATTTTATTTGTGTGTGTTTTTATTTTGCTTTGTGTTTTTTTTTTTTTTTTGCTCTATACTAGTCAGAGACCATAAGAGCTTATGTGTTAGTTATAAGGTTCCATTGTGCATCTAGCTAGCTGATTGTCTTTCTGTCTGTAAAAAATTTCAAAATGCTACCCCTCCCCCTGTTTCCAATAAAATTTGGCAAATTGGCAAAGAAGTAGACTACACAAGATACATGATTTTTTTGTTTTAAATTATCAGTTTGTTTTGATAACAGGGTTTTCTGACAAATGATATAGACATAATATGGAAAAGCAAACATTCCATGGTCCTATATAATCTCTGATCTTGAAACAAACTTTCAAATCTTCCATTGATTTCAGCCACATTTATGAAGAAGATCAAACTGTTTCTAAAGCCTGACCCAGAAACAATACACAGTCTCCTGTCTGGAAACAAATGGTTATGGAATATCGTCAATAATGTTCAATTTTTGTCAAATGCAGTCATGAAGAAGGTTTACACATGTAAGTACCGGGAATAAATTTTTCTATTCCAACGCAATTTTTATCTTGTATTTACTAGTGTCGACACTGTAACAAATTGAATTCTTCAAGAAAAGTGATTTATATATGATTAAAACTTTTTATAAATAGAACAAATATCTTGTTTAAAATCCTCCAGGTAACCAATAGGCAATATTGATAAGAAGTGTCATTGTAAAATGAATGCAAGCATGTCATATTTAGCTGTTTTTTTCTGTTTTTAGTGAGATCTGATATGGTTGACAGTCCTCCCACGTATACATCTGAACATGAATACATCACAGTGGACGCCAACTTTAATTATAGTGTCTATACTCGCACCCTGCCTCCGGTACCCAAAGAATGCCCCACTCCCATGGGCGTCTGGGGTAATTACTGTTATTATTCTCCCTACATGGTAAATATTGACAAATTACATGGTTTGAAAATTACCCCTTTCCAAACTGCTTAAGGGGGCCGACTATAGTTTCCATTGCGCAATATCTCGCGCATCATAGTAAAATGAAGCGTATTTACTGTTTACTGCAACTTTTTTTCGCTTAATTATTAAAATTAAACAAAATTAAGAAATTATAGGTATAAAAATGTAATTGCATTTGATATAACTGATTTTTTAACCGATTTTGCAATTGATAGGTAGGTTGACGTCGTTGCAGTGTGTTTTTGACGTTATGATAATCTGTAGCTCGTAAAGAAAGGGGTAATAAAAATATTATAAAAGAAAAAGTAATACACATACGCTCTTGAAATTTAAAACATAGTATATTTCCCCCAAACTCTGAATGTACATTAAAGTTAATGTGAATTATTTATGGTAGAAAAATGAAGAGTTTCGCCATTGTAGTTTTCACACAATAAAACTATAGTCTGCCCCCTTAAAGCAAACACACGTGTATAAATTTAAGCAGAATCTTTTGTAAATGATAATAAACTTTCAAGATAAACAAGCATCATACATATTATTAAACTTTAGTACAATATTACAGATCTTAATTCAGGCCTCCCCTCAATGATTGGCTAAAAATGTCCTGATTCAACACTTTTTTTACCTCGATCCTTTGAGCAATTTTTTTTTGTATGATGGATAATTGATTTTAAAGATTAAACGTTGAAATTGAAATTTTTGAAGAAAGAAATCTCTCACCTACCTATCAATTCATTATTTTCATTTTTCTTTTATCCTGAGTCTCGAGAGGGCAAACAAACATTATTTTAAACTTGGTCTCATCATAGTTATGTACATTTTTCTTCATCAATCTTTATAATATGAATTCATGACAATCAAGTGATAAAAAGACTTGATAATGTTAATATCTAATTTTATCAAATAATTTATAATTTACCATCTGGTAAATATATCATATTTTTATTTTAAGGTAAGAAGGAACTACCACCTGCAGAAGATATAGTGAAGACATTTTTTATAAGAAAAGAATTCATTCCAGAACCTATGGGAACCAGTGCAATGTTCGCTTACTTTGCTCAGCACTTCACACACAATTTCTTCAAAACAGACCTAAAGAAGGGGCCTCAATTCCAGTGGGGAGGGCATGGGGTGAGTTTTCAAAAATTACCATTTTTAATTTTAGTTATACCTTTACACAATGAAAGGTATAAGCACATTAAAAACATGTTCAAGCTTCCTCCAAGTGCTTTGATAGGACCATTGAGTCTTTTTTTAACAAGAAATTTGAAAAATACACATATACATGTATACATGTACATATTTTTTAAATTTAAATCTGTTAAAACCTTGACAAATTGTTCTTTCAAAGAAAAATTGCGTGTTTTGATATTTGGTAAACTAACTCACTGTTGTCTGACATAATTTCAGGTAGATGTTTCACATGTCTATGGCCAGGATAGAGATTCAGAAAACAACCTAAGATCATTTAAAGATGGAAAACTTAAACATCAGGTCAGTTCATGTATACCTCTACCCAAAATTAGCAGTACATCCATTTAGATTTATAGAAAAACACTAGAACAAGACATGGTTAGAAAAAGTTTCCCCCAAATGGTGTATAGCCAAGGGGATAGTTTTTTTTCAAAAAGGTCAACTATAGTCAAGGTCATGTCAAGTCAAGATTGGTGTTACTCAAAAAAATATCTTGTCAAAAGGAATTCATAAAAATGTTAAAGTCCTGGCACCAACTTTTCAAAAGTTATTGCCAAGGTTTAAAAAATTTGCAGACAAACAGATGGACAGGCTAAATACTATATGCCCTTGTAATCGAATATACATGTACATGCAAATAACAAGATAAGATTTTTAACTCTGAATGAGACTATCTTTAAATCCTTGATATTTTTTAAGCATTATTATTTTTTTAATATTTAAGATTATAAATGGTGAGGAGTGGCCTCCCCTTACCTCCGATGCTAAGGTTCCTATGAGATATCCTAAACACAAAGACATAGATAAGCAGTATGCTCTGGGACATTCCTTCTTTGGTTTCTTGCCTGGGCTGTTCATGTATGGTACGATCTGGTTAAGAGAACACAACAGAGTTTGTGATATCCTGAAAGCAGAGCACCCAGAATGGGACGATGAGAGATTATTTCAGACATCAAAGCTAGTTATTTTAGGTAAGCCCTCACTTCAAAGAAAATTAACCTTTTTATCATACAATATTTTTTAATATTTTATCAATTTTATGTACTGCTTATGAAGTCTAATACAAGGGAGATAACTCTAAATCTATTGCTTTTCTTTTGGCAGGTGAAACTATCCGAATAGTAATAGTAGATTATGTGCAGCACATAAGCAACTATAATTACCAATTACTTTTCAATCCTGAATTGCTATTTGGTGAACCGTTCCAATATCAAAATAGAATTGCCTTAGAATTTGACCATTTATATCACTGGCATCCTCTAATGCCTGATGAATTTAACATTAATGGAACTAAATATACTCTGAAAGAATTTGAGTACCATCCCGAGATTGTGGTAAAGCATGGAATGAGGGAGTTTGTGGATTCACTGTCGAAACAAAGAGCTGGCATGGTAGGGACCATTTCTGTAATATAAAGTAGATACAGTCAATTCTCGAATTATCGCCATTCGATTCATCGCCATTTTCGCAATACCGCCATGATTTCCCAAGAACGTTTTTCCTGCTATATAAAATTCTCTTTATAACGCCAAATTCGCATACCGCCATCCGCCACCCTGTTTTCACAACAAATGTCCATTTTTAAGTGTCAATTATCTCGATAAACCGCCACAGGTGCAAGTGGTCAGTGAAGCGCGGCTAATTGGTTGACGCTCACCCTGGTGTTAAGCATGCCAAGCCAGACAAGGTACATGCAATTAAATAATCAATTATAAATCAAATAAACAATTATTTTAACATGAACTGTTATATTAAAAAATTGTTTTCTATTTAATAAAAATCATTTAATCACGGCCATGCCTTGAAAGCTGTCGTTGTAAAAGCACGCCGATAACGATATTATTTTAATGATCTCTGCTTTAAACAATAAAAATTTGCATTAAAAATAAATATACGGTATAAATTCTGGACGTTTCATTAACAATGATGCCATTTACAATGAATTTATTCAAGAATTCATTTTACGTACTATCGGCAATATCTTACGACGATCGAGCCAGCATGGTTTTTTTTTCAATATCAGACTGCAGTTTTACATGCACACACATATTTCATAAATGCACATTTTGTTTTAGCTAAACTGTACATAAAAAATTACTTGAAGTATTATCAAATTAAGGAGTATGTATAATTTTATATACATAAACTTAATAATACGAATAGAAACGCAAACGGTATTGTTAAGAACGGTAACTCTACTTCTTGTTTCCAAAATGATGGAAAATTCAATTCATCGCCAAATTCGTTATACCGCCATGATTTCTGAAATACAAAAGGTGGCGGTTTATCGAGAATTGACTGTACATGTAATTGTAATAACAAAGTTCAGAGAAATTATTGTATGAAGCAATACCGTATAAGCAGAATGTTGAGCAAGTTTTAATTTTGGCATTATTAGTAAGGATGCCAAGATCACTAAAATTGAAGACTGCTAAAAATTGATTGCACTGTATTTGTAATAGCTTCTTTAGTGAGCTTTTTAAAATTTCTAAAATTACATCTTGCTACATGTGTATTAAGAAATAATTAAAATACCAATTTTTTATAAGGACAAATTGCTTAATTTGCGTCTTGCTAAAATTTCCACTTATACGGTATGGTATATATCCTAGCTGAACAACATTACAGGAAATTTAATGTAAGAAGATCTTCATTGCTTGATGGGCTTTTAAAATTACATTCAAAGAAAAATTTCCATTTTATAGGGGAATTAACTCTGAAAAATGTGCCCTTTTAGGTGATACACAATATTTTCAATTAATTAAATAATAACATAATGCTGTACCTTTATTAAAGGTTTCGTGCATTAAATTGATGGGAATGCTACCAGAGTATCATGTGTTTTTAGCTCACCTGAGCCGAAGGCTCAAGTGAACTTTCTGATCACATTTTGTCCATCATCCGTCCGTCTGTCCGTCCGTAAACTTTTCACATTTTTGACTTCTTCTCAAGAACCACTGGGCCAATTTTGACAAAACTTGGTACAAAGCATCCTTGGGTGAAGGGAAATTTAAATTTTTAAAATGAAGGGCCAAGTCCCTTCATAAGGGGAGATAATCAAGAAAAGACAAAAATGGAATGGGAAAATTTTCTTCTCAAGAACCACTTGGCCAGAAAAGCTGAAACTTATGTGGATGCATCCTGGGGTAGTGTTGATTCTAAATTGTACAAATCATGACCCCCGGGGGTTGGGCGGGGCCACAATGGGGAATCAAAGTTTTACATATAGGAAAAATCTTTAAAAATCTTCTTCTCAAGAATAACTGGGCAAGGAAAACTGAAACTTATGTGGATGCATCCTGGGGTAGTGTTGATTCTAATTTGTACAAATCATGACCGGGGGTTGGGCGGGGCCACAATGGGGAATCAAAGTTTTACATAGAAATATATAGGAAAAATCTTTAAAAATCTTCTTCTCAAGAATAACTGGGCAAGGAAAGCTGAAACTTATGTGGAAGCGTCCTGGGGTAGTGTAGATTCTGTAGATTCTAAATTGTTCTAATCATGACCCCAAGGGGTAGGGCAGGGCCACAATGGGGAATCAAAGTTTTACTTAGAAATATATAGGATATATCTTTGAAAATCTTCTTCTCAAGAATTACTGGGCCAGAAAAGCTGAAACTTATGCAAAAGCATCCTGGGGTAGTGTAGATTTTAAACTGTTCAAATCGTGACCCCAAGGGGGTAGGGCGGGGCCACAATGGGGAATCAAAGTATAACATAAAAATATATAGGAACAATCTTTGAAAATCTTCTTCTCAAGAACCACTGGGCCAGAAAAGCTGAAACTTATGTGGAAGCATCCTGGGATAGTGTAGATTTCAAATTGTCTAAATTATGAGCAGGTGTGTGGGGGGTCACAATTTGTATTACAAGGGGGAAATCTAGTATAGAACAGAATAGTCAAAGCTTCTCAGGTGAGCGATGTGGCCCATGGGCCTCTTGTTATAATTTTAGTTTGGCCCTCACAATCACAGCCCTTTGACAATCCCTATAGTGACAGAACTCATCAAATATGGCCGAACTCTGAGACTCCAGTCCTTTAACCAGTACAGGAAGAGATTCAACCTTAAACCAATCAAATCCTTTGAGGAACTTACAGGAGAAAAGAAAATGGCCAAACAGCTCGAAATTTTTTACGGTGATATCAATGCAGTGGAATTCTATGTAGGACTTATAATGGAGAAGAGACGCCATAAGACCTTGTTTGGACCTTCCATAGTGGAGATGGGAAGCCCATACTCCATAAAAGGATTAATAGCCAATCCAATCTGTTCTCCAAAATACTGGAAACCCTCCACATTTGGAGGGGATGTGGGATTTGATTTAGTTAAAACTGCATCTCTTAAAAAATTATTTTGTGAGAATATGAAAGGAGAATGTCCCGAGGTTACATTTAGAGTACCGGATTATAGGGAGGGTGACGTGCTAGACTTAATCAAACAAAAAATGGAGTTATAACAATAGAATGTGCTTAAATATTAAATTTTTTTGTTCCATCAATGTTATGAATGCATTTCTGAACAGATGCATTGAGTGAACGTAATGTGTGTATGTTTACTTGAGATTTGTTATAGGTATGCAGATCTATACATACATTTTTGCTTACACATTTAGAAAACTTTTAGATAAGATTAGTAGAACTCATAAAATTATGTCGATCTTTGTTTATAGATTCTGAAGTAAAATTATGAAAATATGCAAGGGGATAACTAGAATGCATGTTGCATAGCCACACACACAGTAATGTATACAATTACAGTACATGTACTAAATTGTTAATTCCTATTTGTAAAAGCATGCATGTGCATAAGAATTACTACAATTTGAAATTAGTTTTTTTTTAATTAACAATTCTTATAATTCCTATACAGCAAAACTCAGTTATAACGAAGTCACTGGGACCTATGAAATTACTTCGTTATATCCGTAATTCGTTATAACTGTATAAGAAATTCATTAAATTTATATAGCTGGGGATCCAAGATGACTTCGCTATGTCCGTAAATTCGCAATATCCGTGTTCGTACTAAACGAGTTTTGCTGTAGTCATGTTTTTTAGTCATGCTCATATCTACACGTTTTGTTTACAGTATTAGAGCTCTGACGAGATCCAAAATCTATTTATTAAATAGTTAAATTAAAATTGTTTTCTCTCATCAATTTTAAGGCAGTCATTGAAAGTCTGTACAGATTAATTTGTAGGAGTATTGATAATTGTAAATTATATATATAAGATTTAAGCCCCAAAAATATGCCCATTTTACGTCATTTTGATTATATTATTTTTTATATTTATTATATATTATTATATTATGTTTAGTTTGTTAGTTTCTAAATATTTAATAAATAATTCTTTAGTTGTTTTGTTAGATTAATTGTCACATCAAAAAGATTTATTTCAAATTGGTAAACAAGTCAGTAAATCATGCTTATAGCAAATATGCCTTTAAAATACATACATATTGTATTCTTATAGGATATGGAAATAACAGATTAGGTTAAGAAATGATGAAAAATCATCCGTCCATGGCACTTCATTATACAATGTATTATCATTTCACTTTGGTACCAAAAAGTTGTTCATTAATTCATACAAGTTTACATTTCAGTAATAATGCCTGAAAAATACCCATTTATGGTTGTTTTAATTTAATATATAGATGAATTTATATTTCATTAATTTGAATAATAGCTTAGAAGAAAGAATTCTGGTAGGTCCCACATTAACATTGCACCTATACTTAAAATTTCTCTGTAAAACTGCATCTCTGACAATCATAATATTTCATCATAAATATTCATTTTCTGCAGAGAATGTATTGTTCTTGTTATGTCAATGTTCATGTGTATATATGCATCCATTTACTTATAGGTGAGTATATACGTCAATATACAGCTGACTGCTGTACAGCTGTACATATAATTAGTACATATCATAAATATATGGTTATTTCTGGTCTAATACATATACATCAGTACTTTATTTCTATATCTACATAATATAAAGAGATAAAATTATAATTATTTACTTAATGTAAAATTTTACATTGAAATAAAACAATGTTAGAATTATTCTTGAGTCTCTGTTCCGATACTTTGGTGATATTACAAACACCATATCGAGATCCATATCAAAGTTATTTAAAATCACTGTATACTCTTACATTCACTAATGACATATAAATTCTTTCTGAAAGCATATTATTTATCTCTCTTTTCCATACAAATCAAACATAGGTAATAAAAGATTATGAAGCTCATCTCGGCCAATGTTAACAGTTTAAGTAAATTAATGCAAATCTCACATCATTATTCATATTTCCTTTATAGTTATAGCATGCATCTTGACAACTCACAACAATATTCATGCAAGTTCTTTTTAAGCAGGTCTTATGAGTCATTGGGAGTTGACATGTTCCGAAATCTTTAGCCTGTTCACTAAATAAGAAAACACTCTGTTTTCCTTCATCTAAAGCAAGTCTGCAATTGTCCATCCTTAGATGCATCAATGCACATTAAATTAAAACAGGCCATAAAATTACAGAGCAACTAAAATAACATTAACCATTGGTCACTCATCTGGAAAATGTACATGAAGGTCAGATCCAGCATCCTAATTAGCAAGTCTGGTGGTGTCCACCCTTAGATGCATCACCTATGCAAGTTAAGCCTAGTTAGGCCAAAATAAAATTATAGTTTGTTTGGAATTGCCTCCCGCCTCATTGAAATTGCCCCCTCCTGAAAAAATTTTATTGACCAAAAGTAGGAAGATTTTTTTTTTTATTTGATCAATTTTTTTGCCCATTACATGTATCACATGCACCATACAAAACACTGAAATATAGTGCCATATCTATGTAAAATTAGGTTTTTTTTGTTGATGGTAGATACTTTTTTTAAAAGTCAGAAAATGTATTTACTATTTACTGAGACTTTTATCAAAAATTGAAAAAATTTTCTTCAATTTAAAAAAATAAAATAATTTCCCTCCCTCCCTCCTGTGTCTGAAACCTTTCAGGCGGCAATTCCAAACAAACATTTTTTTAAGGATGGCCTTAGGGCTTATATGTAGTTACATGGGAATGGACCTGCTCCAAAAACTTTAACCTGTGACACTCATCTTGAAAATAAAGTCAAATCTAGCATCCCAAGCAAGTCTGATAGCGTCCATCCCAAGATGAATCATCCATGCAAGCTTGGTCCAGGTAGGGCTTATAGGCCGGGGTAGAGCATTTCTCTGTTAACATCCATGGATGTAGGCGAAATTTAAGCCTGTCCACATCTCTAAACAAGAATAGATATGGGTTACCCCATATCCAAAGATATTCGACTGTTAGATTTAATATGTTTAACAGTGTTTATAATGACGTTAATAAAAAAAACTGCACTGTCTAATTATGGAACTGTTGTAAATTTCGTGATTCCATAGCATTACGGTCACCCAGTCTCCTAACAAACAGTACACATAGGCCTACATGTACCTGTGTCCGCAAGACCAATTTTAGCCTTGGTCTACACACGTGCAATGGAGCTGTCACACGCATCCAGCGAGCTCGGAGAAACACGTTTTGTGTTGCCGAGAAGTTACGGTGTCAGACAAAACTTTTCTTTTCTTAATTAGATCATATAAATACGAATTCTGATTAATAAAAATTATACAATCCCTGTTGAACTATATATAGTTTGTTCTAACATTTTCATCTGCAACAACTTGTGTTTAAAATGGCCGGGTTGGGACAATCAGGTCCGGGTCGGAAAATTCTAAACTGAAAACATGGAAAACCTTTTTTGTTTTGAAAATAACTGAAATATACTAATGTATTTGTCGCAGAAATTACTTACATTATTCAAGTTCTATATATAATGGTATATGCTGAACTTCAACACGAACCCGAATCTCCAACCCAGTTCTCGTTTTGCCACACATACCCTACAGTTTACAAAGTGTACACACGAGCAGGCCAGGGATTGAAAATTCCGTCATTTAATAATACACATACACAGAATGATTAATTTTTTCTTTAAGAACAAATTTTATGATAATTAACGGGCTATAAACATGTACTTAATACAATTGTTGATATACATGTAGTATTATCAATTCATCGGTGAAAAGATATGAATCGAAGAATGACCTAAATATTCTCTGTTATCAAACATGTAAAAAAAAAAAAAAAAAGGCTGAGGAGCGAGCGAGCGTAGGAATATTGATATTTTTTATTTGCATTTCGGGGGGAAAGTGACTTTCTAATGATATTTTGACGTTATTTTTGATTTCTTTAACGTATGACATACACAACTAAATACTCTTATCATGAACAATAATGTTGTATCTACTTATCATGATGGAATTATTTTGGTCGGACCAATATGTGTGAGCTGCCGCTGAATACAGTTATATATCTTCCAAAGATAGTATGCATTGATCGAATATATGAAAAGAATAGGAGTACCCATGATTATAATTTACTGGATGCCCAATGACCATGAGGCAAACCAGTGAGGCTGACTGTACCTCTGTCGATTTCAATTGACAACACAAATTGGTGCATGCTAACTTTCATGTAGAAATGGGGGGTTGGGGCAAACAAACAAACCATGTGCGCCATTCCTTGTTCCGGATTTCGATTCGAATAGGATCAAGTTTTAGACCTTCTGAAAGTGAAAGTACTGAGTACCTACCTATTTTTGGAAAGGGGGAAAACCATCGTAAGCACTATTTATAGTCCTGGGTAAAGACCTATTTACTGTTTTACAATTGTTATCGATAGTGATGAGTAAAGACTGAGTTCTCACTGGTGCTACCAACGAAATGGGAATAAAAAATTCCAAGTTGAACTGTGCCAGCAAAAAGTCAAGAGAGGAGCCCTATCGTCAAGTGAAGAAGGTGGATGACAAAATAAAAGAAGAAAATGGTATGTAAGAAAAACTTGAAAATTAGTTTCAGTTTCGAAAGCCGATCTAACAGCTGTCTTAAGACAAAGAGAAGGTCCTCTGCTAGCTTTACTCAGCCTTACTCAATTCAAATATAGAGCATTAATTAGTACAAGTTAAATTGTAAAAAGGTCAAGCTCTAGTAAATATGACACCTTTATCTACATCTATTCTTGATGGTGTATGACGCGTTATAATCCCATCCTCAGGTGGATCCTCCTTCAGTGGTTGTTTTGGCATTGTCCACTACAACCTTTAGAGGCATTGGGACTAGGGTGGTCAAGACCCAGCCAGAACCATTCAGCCCTTTGCATGCCTTCACTACAGCACAGTTTGAATGTTCACTCGATCAAGAACACAAAGATTTTTCAAATTTGGGAACAATTAAGTTTTTGTTTGTTTATATTTCTTTTGGTTGGTTACAAATATATCTTTGGAAAATAAGATATGTATTCTGACATAATTTTGAACTTTACTTTCAATGAAATTAACAAAACAAACAAACACATTTTTTAAAACTGTCTTTTTCAATGAAAAATGAAGAAAGTCAAGCATAAATTTCAGAGTTTTTTTTTTCCATCTCAGAAAAAGAAAATGTATAGTACCAAATTATTATCCATTGTCTCTCAGTAAACATTTTTTGTATCTTCTTGAGTCATGACCAAGGTACTTTAAAATGATACATGTATTAAATTAAATGTATGTGTGGGCCTGTGGGGTTATACTCTTTACATAATTTCAAATTAAAATCCATAAAAAAAACTTCATTTTCTAAAGAATTCTATAATAGCCATTAAGCAAAGGAAAAATTAAGTTTAAATCAGTTATTTTGTTGTAATAAATTAATATAGCACCCAAAAAGTCTTAACTTTACAAGATATATTATTTGACCATATAAAAACCTTTTTTTTTTTGCCCTGGATTTGGTATCGGCACCCATTATCACCAATGGCACATTAATGTGGTAAATTCAGTCAAATCAAACTTCTTTGATTACAGGTGATCAAGTGAGAAATGATAAGAAAAATGGAGAAGGAAAAATAGTGCCAGAAGACAATTCTTCATCCAAAAGTCCAAGCAAAGGTTTGTGCTGTGTTTCAAAACTAAATACTATACTTTAATTGGAATACATTTCATGAAAGTGATTTGACCAAACTCCCTAGAAATTAAATGAAGAAAAAAAAATAATGTAACACAGACTTAATTATTTTGTGCTTCATACTTTTAGGTCAATCTGTTCAGGAGAGGGAAAATCAAATTCAGAATGGACAGGTAAAAGCTGCAAAAGGTGACAGAAACACAAGCACAAAAAGTTCTAAATCCACGACAGGGAAGTCGGCTGTAAAGGAAAAGAAGGCTACACAGGAGAAGGAAAGCAAGCAGATGTACAGTGATGATAAACCATTTAGTGAGTTTAATATACAAATCAAATTCACATTCTTATGAATCTTATTTTTTACATGTAAACAATATTCATTGCTAATTCACAGCCTGATAAAAACAGACTCCCTTATTGTCAGCTCTTTGCTAGCCAAGGGTTTTCTGTCAACTCTGCTCCCCATAAACTATGCGAATTATAAACTAGCAAAGATGTATTGTCTTTTACATCATGACAATGGTTAGAAAATAGAAATGGCGCAATTAAAAAAAAAATTAATTAGAATTGGCAAGAACAAAAATGTATTTTAAAGTGACAAAATGCACTTGAATATATGTATGTTTATTTTTGTTTGATAGTTGTAGTGTCAATGGAAGTTTTTTATCATTCAAGTATTATTACTGTCATTTGCATATCATTATATTATTAAATGGAAAATGAGATAAATTACACAGAAATGGTGCAAATACCTGTTTTGCAGTTTATTTTGAAATATGAGATGGTTACCTGGTATATTTTGGAATGATTTATAATTTCCATTTATCACATACTTTTCTTTTTACACAGATTTTGTTAAAGCTATAAAGACAGATTATAAAAGTGGAAGTTTCCAAACCTCAAAAGAAGGTTCAACAGAGGCCAAGAGGGACAGGACAGTTGATGCAGATGAGACAAATCCCAAGTCTATAAATAACCCAGCAGGATCTGTCGATGAAACAGAATTAAAACAGAGTTATGGCCCTTCTCCAGCTGATGGTGAAGATCCTGCCTCCATTGGACATTCCTCTTTGGAAAAAGATTGTCTCCCTTCAATGGACAGTGAAGATGGACCTGAGGGGCAGGGACAAGATTTTGCAGATGCATATACCACTGACCACAATGAACCACAGGTACCAGATTTAATATTGAAAAAATAAATTGTTAGTACTTGGGAGGTCTTCTTGAAAAATATGACTAAACTAAAAGAAAGAAATAAAGATTGTCAATGACCCTCTGCATAGGGTATGGTCATTATAATTTGAAGATGTTACAAGTTCCACTGTAACCCACCTGAACCAAACTTGCATAAATGTTGCATGTAGGTTGCGCTCTACTAATTAGATTATTTGGTGTCAGAATTTTCTTACTTAGAAATAAAAATTGTTAAGTTGAGCTTTGTAATCTTTCCTTTTTTTTTTCTTAGATTCAATTTCTGCTGAATATCCATGTGTGCATGTATTATCCTTAAAAAATAAAATTAACAAATTATTTTATCTTAATATAAAAAGGAGAAATCCAAGAAAATCATCCCCCAGTCAGAAGATGATGAAGATCCCACAGAAAGTGATGATAGTGATGATGACGGTGATGATGGTGGTGATGACAGTGGTGAAGATGATGAGGAGGGAGGAGGTGGAGGTACTTTCTTAAAATGGTGATGGGGGGGTCGGTTCCATAGCCTAGATTGTTCAAATTATTACTGATATCATTATTATTGAATTTAGAACAAACCTGTATATGTACCAGTAAAAAATGAGAAGAGAACATCAAAAAGATAATATATATATACTGTTTTGAGTGAGAGAAAAAAAAGCATTATTTCAACTTATTTTACTATGTGAGTTTATGAGATTTGTACATAATTCTTTAATACATGTACTCATAACTTAAAAATGTTTCAATTCAAGGAACCTATAATTTTGGACATGTAACGAGTATGATTATTGGCACTGGAAAAATAATAGACAAAGAGACAATTGTTACATCAAAAGCCAGTTCCAGATCCAAGAACAGTTCTAAAGATAAACACAGACCCAAAGGAAAAAAGAGGTCCAAGGACAGGAAAAAGTCTGAACCAGGTATTTATATACACAAGATGATAATGAACAATGATTCCTTTACAAAAAATTTGAAATCTTTCATCTTTTTCTTGAGTTCAGCCTCACTGAAAGTGATGTCAAACAAATGTAAACAATGTAAAATATTTTCCATGTTATGTGAATGGATATGATTTTTTCAAACTCATCGTGTGTTTTCTATCCCCTCATGGATGGCTTAACAGTCAACTTGACCTTTGACCTACTTTGCAAAATATACTTCAAAGAGTTTAATTTAACTTATGTGTTTAGAATTCAGAGATGTAAGGATTTGATAATTAACATTTATTATTTGTTTATTAGCTCATGACAATGTGCACTTTGACAGTGTATGAAATACAGTAACAACAAAAACTGAAATTTAAGCACATGTACTATGAAAAAACATTGGGTTTGATATTCCAAAATGAATAGTGTCATTCCGAGCTCCTCTGATGGCTCCCTTGCACATTGTTTGAATGGAGCTTAGGCTACTTCGCGGAGTCAGCTGATGATTGCAATAATAATTCAAAATAGCATTGAGGGGTTAAAGGGTTTTTATCATGCATCATGATTTTTTGATATAACAAAGTTTATATGCTATTAAAATCATCCATCAAAATTTTTTGGTTAGAAAATTAATATTTTGGTTGTTTCAGCGATTGAAAGTTTAAATTTCTCAATATGCATATTTTGATGCTCTGACGTCATAGGTGTCATTCAAGCGAAGTACTTATTGTGTTTACAAAACGACCCAATGGCTTCGTCTATAAACCCTACTAGTAATTAAGAAATGATAATTGGTTAATTGATATTTATAAATAATTTGTGGCGTTTAGATGAAAAATCAGCACAGGAAAGGTTTTAGGAAGTTTCTTTTACCTGCCAGGGACTTGGTCGGTGCGAGGATTTGTCTATATATTTAGAGCATTGGTTTATGTAGTCAAAATTTTTCTGTATTATATAAAATATATATTTAATGGAAATATTATTTTTTTTCAAAAAAAAAAAAAATCAATATGCATTTAATGCACAAAGACTAGTGTTGTAATGGCGTACCATTGTGTACATTGAAGATCGAAGTGTCCTTTCTATCAAATGATGTTCATTGCTGGAACAGATAGAAGATACACAAGATCTGTTTATGTATAATTTATTAAAATAACGAAGAAAGAAAACGTATGACCATTTTTATAATTATTTAAGAAGTCAAAGGTTAATAATTCGATCTATTTGGTCGAAGCCACAGGAGTTGTCAACGGCTTCATCTTCAATGCCTTCTCCTCTTTTCACGGTGTGTTTTTTATTTATTTTTATGCTGTAGAAGTTAAAACATATGATTGAGCATCCATAGCCAAAGTAATATTGTCAATATCAAAATTTCTTTCAACCTAGTGGTGTATTCTTTTTATTTGCAAATATCTATACGGTATAGATGTTTTCTTACGATACGCTTTACGAGGTCTTATTGCCCATTGACACCTATGACGTTTCAGTACCACGTGACCCCTATCTAATTAGTGGAGATTTTCAATCTGAAGACCCTACATTACGGACATATATGCTTAAATACGATTAAAGCATTATTTTATGATTAAACGATAATTATATGTTTCAAGAATATAATAGTGTTTAATTTTTAAGAAATTTCTATGCGTGATAAAAACCCTTTAAGGATTGCTATTTCTTACTATCAGTGATTTTTTAAATATTTTTTTCTCCATGAACTATAATATGCTAGTAATGAATAAATAGCTTATCATTCTTAGACACAGGTACTTGATGTTTCTTATTTCTCTTTTATAAAAAATACCCCATACCTAATAATCCATGTGTATTATTAGGTTTGGGGTTACTATACTATTTTTTTTATATATATAAAAAAAATAAGTTACATCAAGTGCTTATGCTCTTAGATTAGTCACTTCTAATGAGGCTAAAAGCAGGCACGATTGCGTTCCGTTAAGCTACTAGTTTGTAATAATCCATGTCTTTTGTAGGCAGTAAAAAGTCCCAAGGAAAAACTGTGAATGCAGCTACTGTGCGTAATTTAGGCATTGGCAAGGTTACTGTGCAAAAAGAAACAATAATCATGGAACATCCCAAGTCAGGTAATTATTTTAAAAAATAAATCATACCTACGTTAAGCATATTTGATCAAAATTTTAGCTATCTGTCCATGAGTCAATTACTTTTAAAAAAACAACAAAAGACTCCAAATCACGTGTATAAGAAAAATGTATTAATAAACATTCCATATGGGGCACTCAATGAAAATGTAAAAAAAAAAATGTGTCTGGTCTATAGCTTTCTAACGGAAATACATTGGGATTTTAATACTTCACCCAAAGATTGCTTATGACCCGAGTGTATCATGACCTTGGCTCAAGGTCACTAGCAGAAAAATTGTACATGTAAAAATTGTGGTCAGTTCATGAATCTCTTACAGCAAAAATATTGGAAATTGATATTAAAAAAAAGAAAAGATTTTTCATGAACTGAAGGTGAGTCAAGGTCATGATAAAGGTCCCAAGGCAGGTTCAAAGTCAAGGGCAAAAACTCACTTTCTAATTAACCAGAAATCATGACATGACCCTGACAAAGTTTTCTTATCAGGTTCAAGATCAATTTATAAAAATCTGTTCTTCTTCTCCTATCATATCTTGAAATGGAGAAATACTGGAAGCTCCATTCTTAGGAAAAATATTTCTGATGAGTCAAGACTGTTTTAGGATTTTAACATAAGCCAGTTATTAAGGTCAGAGACCAGAAGAGCTTATGTGATAGTAATGCGTCTGTCCTCTGTCCATCTGTCTGTCTGTCTGTCTATAAACAAATTTTCAAATTTTTATGCTATTCCTCCTACAGATTTGGTAGCTGATTTCAATATAACTTGGCACACAAGTAGATGACACTAAGATACATAAATATATAGATCAGTTTCTGATTTTGATGAACGATGTTGCCTTGGTTACTAAAAATAGAAATTTTATAAAATACTTTTAAAATGCTACTCCTCTTACAGATTTGGTCTGAATGCAATATAACTTGGCACACAAGTAGACTACACTAAGATACATAATTCTGTATATCCATTAATTATCAGTTTTGAGTTTTTGATTTTGATGAATGATATTGCCATGGTAACTAAAATTGAAAATTCTGTAAAATTTTATTAGAAGCTTCTTGTACATTTGTAATCTTATTGCAATCTTTCCACAAAAAGAGACTTAATCAAGGATCATTATTCTATTTTTTGCTGTTTTATGTCCCAACTACTACTTTTGTCTTCCTTTATTATAAATACAAACTAGAGCTACAGTCTTGACAGAGACTTCTAGTTTCAAGGTCACTTGCAGATAAATCTGAGACTTGTCCTTAACTCTGCATGAAAAAGCATGGTATGCAGCACTTTAAATATCCCAATGGGGAACCTCTACTTGAAATATATTCACTTCTTTGCAGAGCCAACAAAAGCTGAAGTAAAACCACCTAAACCAGAACCACTGTGGCCTGGGCTTCCAACAACTGATATGGAAGAACTTGGTAAGGTGACAGGTTCTGTTGGAATGATTCATGGATACAAATTGACAGGGAGTGTGTTCCGTGTTGGGAAGGACAAAGTACTTACTGCCTGGCACGTAGTCAGAGGAATGATATGTAAGTGGGACTGTGTGAAACCAAATATTCATTTGTTCTATTAAATATCAAAGGGGCTCTTTTTATTCGATCAAGTGGTAGTAAAATAACATTTCTTTCTTTAAATGTATGGTTTCCTCTGAGAACCCGTTGTAGATAAAAAAAAAACTCATTTTAATTAGATTGAATGATATACAAATGTAATACTGTACTAAAGAATACTATTGATAAAAATAAAATGCACCATTTACATTGAAAAATGACAAAATTCTGATGGCAACATCCAGTATACATGTATCTTGATAAAGTCATGTCTTTGTGAAGTTAAAAAACTTCTATGACGTCACCCAATGTTATAAGTCTAGGTATATTTTACCGATTCAACCAGCACTAGTTGGATATTTTAAGGTCCAACAGGCCATCAGTTGGATATTCAAATATCCAACTGCCTATCGGTTGAATATCTAAATACCCAACTGAGGTGCATAAAACATAAAACAATGAACAAAAGAGATAAAAACAAATTTAAAATATATTTACAATGCACAAGAAAAGTAAATACTCCAAATTTGCCACATTATTAAAATTAATTTCCAGTTCACACGGAATTGCCGTAATTACTTCGCATTTATCGGGTTTCAAATGCACTTCCAATGCTCATAGAAATAACAATTCCTCCGAATTTTGCGCACTTTTAAAAATATTTTTGGTCTTAAATTTTGAAAGCATCACTTTTTGACACATTAATACATTTTCACCTTAAATCTCAAACTACATCACTTCTTATTGCTGAATAATATTTCAGGGTCCGCTGTCAGTAAATCCTTTCAGATTATCTGTCTAGTGAGATTCATCTCTGTTTCATACTTTTCCTGAGTATTTCCAAAGCAACTTAATAAATTGACAGCCCATCTATTTTTCAACACCGTTTTTTGTAGATCTTGATAAGGAATGTTTTTAAAGCAGGTTCCACATAATTTTTTTCCATCTGTTTAAGCCCTACTACAAGTATTGTCTGAATGGAACTACATAAGAATCCAACACTTTTCCTCAACAAACCATCATCTTATAATATATAATGACAAATTCCCAACCTTTTATCAAAATTCTGTAGTTTTCCTCAGCTTTTAGGTCAAAGGTATTCAAAACACCATCTGAACCTCTCTAATTTACATTGGATTTAAAAATATTCTTCGTCTGATTTCATGACTGTTCTGTACAATGTAAAGGGTTAAATGTAGTTTCATGCTCACTAGTCCATGAATAAAAGGGGTGTTTGATTAGGCTATTGTTTTGTGTCATGATTGGATATTTAAATGGGCTACATCCTATTGCATATTTGAATGGGTGAATGTTTCTTTGGGGACCAAAGTAGGGAACTTTTTTAAGTAAGATAAATAACTCACTATCTCGTTATTATCTTTTACTTCAGCCTCAACTCCTTTGAACCAGACAGGATACAAGGCCTCTACAATGAGGACCAGTTAGTTTGATTATTATCATCTTTCTTTCAGGCACAGATCATCATTCCAAAAGGCTGGATTACGATCGTTTGGCAGACCCTAGCGTGTTTGTAGACTTTGGGTATGAAGAAACATATCAGACTGACAATATGAAAAGATTTCGAGTAGAGCCTTGTATTGTGTACTGCAATGAGAAACTGGACATTGGTGTTCTTCAGCTGAAACACAATGATTATGGAACAGCATTTCCAAAACCACTCACAAACTTTGATAAGTTTACACAGGAAATGCATGAAAATTATCCAATATATCTCGTTGGGCATACAAATGCACTCCGCAAGAGTATGGACTTTATCATGAAATACTGGCATCCTTTTGATCATCGCATCAAAGAATTAAGTGAGTGGTATGAAGATGAATTTGAATTCAAACATGGATATGGTTTCACTGGCATTAAGGATCAAACCCGGCTTCATTTTCAATGCTCATTTCGCCATGGAGCATCTGGTTGTCCTGGTTTTATTGTCCGGTCCAAGGGAGATATACGGGTGGTAACAGTTCTTCTGAGGGGATTCCCAGATTTCTACTATTTCAGTAATTTCACAGAGGAAGAAAGGGACAGAGTTACTACAGACAAACTAATACAGCAAGGCTCTGATATGGAAGCCATCTGGGAGGACATGAAAAGCAAAAACTGGGAGCTCTACAGAGAGATTTTTTGTTACCATGAGTATATTTCTCATTCAGAGAAGAACAAACCTGTGGACACACCTTCAGAAGAAAAAGTTCTGAACTTTCCCCAGAGTCCTGCATCCACTGAGAATGAGAAGAAGACAGAAAATCCGGGTGGTGCAGTGACCTGCATTCCCAGAGTGGCATCAGGACAAGATCCTCTGGTTATGCTCGCATCGGGTAAATCTAAAACCATACCAGAAAGTGGAAAGGTCCCAACAGAAAGCACGGCAGATACCGGTGAAAAGCAACCTGAGGCCTCATCCAGCACTCAAGAAATCCCTGTAGAGCATGAAGTCACAACCAGCACTCAAGAAATCTCTGTAGAGCATGAGGGAGTCCAAAGTGAGGGAAATAATACCTGCTCCACAGAAGGATCTCGGATCTTTGGAGAAAGAAACAACATCTCAGTTCAAGCTTTAGATGATGTACAAACGGTCAGAAGTTCAGGTGGTGATGGAAGTCGTGGCTCCACCTCCTCCTATAACAGACAGCTGTCAGAGGTCACGACCTCTGCTTTTGAATCACAGTGTGCTGAGGTCAGACAACAAGCGAACAGCAACAAGTCTGCCAGTGCAAGCAAAGTGTGGTAGCATAATATAGTCCATTAAGTATGGTCTAGTCAACTATGCAAAACCTCAGTGCTAATGTCCCTTATGAAAAAATACCAGAAATTCTCCATGTTTCCATTTTTTTTGCTCACCTGAGCCAAAGGCTCAAGTGAGCTTTTCTGATCAAAATTTGTCCGTTGTCTGTCGTCGTCCTTGTTGTCGTTGTCGTCGTTGTTGTCGTTAACTTTTCACATTTTCATCTTCTTCTCAAGAACCACTAGGCCAATTTCAACCAAACTTGCTACAAAGTATTTTTGGGTAAAGGGGATTTAAGTTTGTTCAAATGAAGGGCCACTCCCTTTTCCAAGGGGAGATAATTATGAATTAGAGAAAAATTAATGGCATTGTCAAAAAATCTTCTTCTCAAGAACCACCGGGCCAGGAAAGATGAAACTCATGTGGAATCATCCTCATGTATAGTAGATTCAAGTTTGTTCAAATCATGACCCCCGGGGGTAGGGTGGGGCCAAAATGGTCGACCAAAGTTTTACATAGGAATATATAGGAAAAATCTTTTAAAATCGTCTTCTCAAGAACCACTGGGCCAGGAAAGATCAAACTCATGTGGAATCATCCTCAGGTAATATAGATTCAAGTTTGTTCAAATCATGACCCCCGGGGCTAGGGTGGGGCCAAAATGGACGACCAAAGTTTTACATAGGAATATATAGGAAAAATCTTTAAAAATCTTCTTCTCAAGAACCACTGGGCCAGGAAAGATGAAACTCATGTGAAATCATCCTCAGGTAGTGTAGATTCAAGTTTGTTCAAATCATGACCCCCCGGGGCTAGGGTGGGGCCAAAATGGACGACCAAAGTTTAACATAGGAATATATAGGAAAAATCTTTAAAAATCTTCTTCTCAAGAACCACTGGGCCATGAAAGATAAAACTCATGTGAAATCATCCTCAGGTAGTGCAGATTCAAGTTTGTTCAAGTCATGACCCCCGGGGCTAGAGTGGGGCCAAAATGGCCGACCAAAGTTTTACATAGGGATATATAGGGAAACCTTTTAAAATCTTCTTTTTCAAGTACTTCAAAGCCATGATTAGTGATATTTATATGGAATCATCCTCAGGTAGTGTAGATTCTAGTTTGTTCAAATCATGACCCTCTGGGGGGTTATAATTCAAGCCTCCCCCCCCCTCCCAGTAAACTCAGTTCTGATCTGATTTGTGCTTTTTCCTAGCTGATGTGCTCAGGTGAGCGCTGTGGCCCCTGGGCCTCTTGTTTAAAATTTACATGTATATCCTCAAAATTGTTTTCTTTTTATTTATATAAAAATTTTAAAAAATAATTTTGATGAGTTACTGGTACACAAAAACATGGTCAGAAAAAAAATCTATCGCTTAAAAAGGAGAAAGAAACAAACTGTGAAAAAAATGAGTGTATTCATATTGGAACACACAGTAAACTAGTGCTAATGTGCTGAATGCCAATCAGATGAACCCAAACGCTCCCCAACTCCCTTTTGGTGCCATATTCCCTGTAAGCTTCATTTATTAACACAAACTCTATGCATTTGAAATTTTAACAATGTTTACCCAGAAATGTACCATGCTCATTCAAATTTTAGCATTGCATGTGTGTGCATGTGAAGGCATATACGTAATGACCATATCATCTTGTCTACACAATCTATATATTTTAATATACTAAATATTAAAGTATTTAATCCAAAAGTATTAAAAAATTCACTCATTCAAGTGTATTTTTGATTTTACCCATTTCACGTGCACGCACGTGCATACATGAGCATGGTGACCATACCTTCTTGTAGAAGTTCATTAAATCTATCTATGTTCTAAATCCCATCCCGTTTGGTTGAAAACCAAGGGAGTTAAAACTGTTTAAAGTTTCAGCCAATCAGATTGCAGCGTACGTACACGCACATGTATGCATGTGCATGGAGACTATACCTTCTTGTAGATGTCCATTATATATATCTATGTTCCAAATCCCATCCTGTTTGGTTGAGAATCAAGGGAGTTTTAGCTATTTAAAGTTTCAGCCAATCAGATTGCAGCGCACGTGCATGCACGTGTTTTCATGATAATTTCTATATATCATGTTGTAGGATATCCTAATGCATGGCTATGTTCAAAATTTCAAAGGATCTCCTCAAAAAACAAGAAAGATATTGAGACTTTAGTTTCAGCCAATCAGAGCAAAGCGCACGTGCATGCGCATGAGATCTTGCTATTTTGACCATATCATATTGTCTATATTACTAATATATCCTTACATTATGAGTTTCAAAGCATTTCATCAAAAATTTAAAAAGTTACGCCTATATCAATTAAATCGGTCATTTTACATGTTGCACGTGCGCGCAAAATGACCTTTGTTCGGCAAATCTACATAACATGTCTATTGACCCTAAAAACATTTTACCTTAGTCGGATGTGTAGTTTACAAAATCACTCAAACAAAATTTTCAGGAATAATAATAATAATAAGAAACAGAGTAAAAACAATCATGTTCCCACAAAATGTAAAATTTTACATCCATAGCTACTAAGCAAGGCTTGTGCTGAATGCCAATCAAGAACCTCAAACCTCAAACCATGAAAATTTGACCCCACGAAAATATGTGATTTTACAGTAGTTTACTGTGGAATAATTACTCTAATCTAAAGTCAATTTTATCTTTAGTTTTAATTTTAACTGCTTAAAATGTTTTGTCATTTCCAAGATGAAGATGATATAAGTGATACATTGAGAGATTTGAAATTTGAGTTCAACTACCAGTATGGCTCAGCTACACTGATACATTGTTGATCTGGGTAAAGCTTTAAGCCTGTGTATCAAAATGGCAATTGTATATTTTGTTTGAATCGTGACTTTGTTTATTTATGCACATTATTTTTATTTATGCACATTAATTTATGTCAGGTTATGACACTTTATGGACAGTAAATTCCAGATAAGCAATTCAAATTAGTACAGTATAACTATCATCAAATTATTTTGTTGATTTATTGATAATAAAGGTACTTAGCTCATTTATAGATAAGGTTGTGAATATTCATTGTATCAACATTCCAAAGAACTCATTCATATTTGTGTAAAAATAAAGATACTTAAAAAAGTCAGACGTTCAAAGTTTAATAAAAATAGAAAACAAAACATTGCTAACATAGCAATGTATTCATCTGTATAAATGAAAAATATTACATTTTGAGTGACATTAAATGTTATGAAATGGACATAATTTATCTGCATAATTTATTGCTTGTTTTTCTTGCAGTGTTTTAATAAAACATTGTGGAACTGAGTTAGATTTGCACTGGTTCTGACACTATAAGGATCAAAATGAGTTCTACTCGCTCGGTATCCTTCAGATCTCAAAAAGCTCAGCAGTTTTCTCATCCTGCAAAAAAAAATCACACTGTGGATGTTGATTTCATCTTTGATTATCTTAAAATTTGATTTTCAAATATTTCTAGAAACGACTTGGGCTAAATACTAAAACCCTGTTAATTAAATCTATAAAATAGATCAATTTCAAAAACTCCATACAATTTTCTACCATGTTATCCATCAACTGAGCTCTCCTAAATATTTTTTGTGCCTATTGATGGATTGTATTAGTTTTTGTATCAATGATTGTAATAAGTATCTGATATACTTACTTTGGAATGGTAACGTCTTTGAATCTTCTTTTATGTATGTTGATATAAAATGGTGGATGGTCGATGCTGGCATCTTTAGAGACACATAATTTTGGCTTTTTTGAGACTGGTTCTGTATCACACCATAAAGTTTCAACAGTTTCAGAGAAATCGGAATCAGAACAGATGGCTTCCTCCTGGACGGTCAGTAGGACCTTCTTTAACTGTTCACTTAATACTGGTAACTTATCGGATGGCTTCAGTAAATTGGAGATGTAAGTGGCATCAAGTATTTTTCCTGACCTAGGTCAATAATGGAATAAATGTACTAATTTTATATCTTATAGAACATTAATAAACATAGAAGGGTTCAAATTACAAGTTATAAATCGAAGTTATCTCCCTTGAAACACAATCCTGACTAACAAGATCAAAGAGAGGTTATAAAATATACTTCATCCAATACTGTAATTGCTGGGAAAATAATTTAATGCAATAAGATTGTTTAGATATGTTTAATTACACACCACATTGGTCCCAGAACAACTGCAGTCCTTCCAGGTACTTCTTCATGACAAGAACATGGTAATAAGCTGTACGGATTCTCTGTAAAAAGAGTTTTCAACAGTTCAGTAAAGAAGGGATCTATTTGTCATCAAGCAAATGATGGTAAATAACACCACACATGACTCAAGTTACAACCATTTAGTAAAATAATACCATGTATTTAAGGTACTCAAGTTACATTCTACCGCATGAAAGACCACAACATAAAACATGAGATATAACATCTCTTACTGGGGCAAAAACACGAAATAAAACAAGTAATGTCTTGACCTACTTTTATAAGACCACAATATATCCTTACCTACTGGTGTAATACCACCATTATATCCTTACCTACTGGTGTAATACCACCAATTTATTCTTAACTACTGGTGTAATACCACCATTTTATATCTACCCACTGGTGTAATACCACCATTATATCATTACTTACTGGTGTAAAAAAGCATTACTATAGAAGTACTATTTTCCGCATGGTATTAATTTACGCTATGTACGCGGTCACAAACTTTCCGCGGAAATTTGTCCAAGCGTACTTAATATAAATATAAGGCATATAGTGACAATCTAGAAAATCCACGTAATTTTCTACCCGCGGATTAAACAGAAATTGAGATTCCGCAGAATCATGACCCTGTGGAAAAAAGTACGTCTACAGTATAACCTTACCTACTGGTGTAATACCAACATTATATCTTTACCTACTTGGTGTAATACGGTACACCATTATATCCTTAACTACTGGTGTAATACCACCATTTTATCCTTACCTACTGGTGTTAGACCACCATTTTATCCTTACCTACTGGTGTAATACCACCATTATATCCTTATCTACTGATGTAATTCCACCATTATATCCTTAACTACTGGTGTAATACCACCATTTTATCCTTACCTACTGGTGTCAGACCACCATTTTATCCTTACCTACTGGTGTAATACCACCAATTTATTCTTAACTACTGGTGTAATACCACCATTTTATATCTACCCACTGGTGTAATACCACCATTATATCCTTAACTACTGGTGTAATACCACCATTTTATCCTTACCTACTGGTGTAATACCACCAATTTATTCTTAACTACTGGTGTAATACCACCATTTTATATCCTTACCTACTGGTGTAATACCACCATTATATCCTTAACTACTGGTGTAATACCACCATTTTATCCTTACCTACTGGTGTAATACCACCAATTTATTCTTAACTACTGGTGTAATACCACCATTTTATATCTACCCACTGGTGTAATACCACCATTATATCCTTAACTACTGGTGTAATACCACCATTATATCCTTAACTACTGGTGTAATACCACCATTTTATATCTACCCACTGGTGTAATACCACCATTATATTCTTAACTACTGGTGTAATACCACCATTATATCCTTACCTACTGGTGTAAGACCACCATTTTATCCTTACCTACTGGTGTAATACCACCATTTTATCCTTACCTACTGGTGTAAGACCACCATTTTATCCTTACCTACTGGTGTAAGGCCTCCAGGAAGAAAACACCGCTCCTCACAAATCTGACAGTGCAATTGTTCTTTAATCTGATTGAGGCTTTTGTCAGCATTTTGTGGTCCCCTACACACCTTTAATACAATCAGAAAAGTGTCCTCTATGCAGGCTGACAATAAAACATTCAGTCCTTTGTTACATCTAGAGGCTGACCTGGCAGAAAAATATCATCTTAACAGTTACTTAACATGTATTACTGAAGCAGAACTTATAACTTTAAAGTTCAATAATTTGCAAGATTTATGTATCAACAAATTCTGACATATATTCAATTAAATGTTTGGTTGGACAAGTATAATCTGTGGAAAAAGAAATATATTTCAAGTTTTGTAATTGAATCTTATACCAGTGGAATTTTTATATGAGGTAAATAAACACCTTCTTTTAATATGTAAACAGATTAATTCAGCATTGACATCAGGTTACTGGGATAGAAGTTAGTTCATTGTAAAAATGTTATTCAGTAATCATGAATTCTTGGGAAAAGATGGCTTACCTAACAGCACAACCAATGATAACTCTGACAGCCATCTCCCTCATGTAGTCAGTCTTCATCACGTGGGCATGACAATAACGCCTAATCACGTTAGCTGTCCTCGTAAACTGAATAGAAATGTCTGATGATGACAGACACAACAAACCATCGTTGCGTAAATTACTAAATACTGAATCAAAGTAATTTGTCATGTGACCCTCAGGTTGAAGAAATCTACAAGATAATAATTATTATAATAGAAAATTTAGGAAAATATTTTCATCTAGTCAGCAGAAATTATTACATACAGGGTATTTTTGTTAGACATTTTTCATTAAATTTAGCTTGGCTTTAGCCATGTATATGTATGAAAAAAACTGTACAGACATAACTAATGAGTAAAAAGCCTGCCATGTACATAACTCAAAAGACTGGATGCTGGCATCATATGAAAATGCACAAGTACATCTACTCTTAGTAAATTCATTTTACACACAGAAAGAAAAAACTCACATGAAATCAAAGGCTTCCAGATGTAACAAAACATTTGGTTGGCACTGACAAATGTGGACTTCATCATCTTTCTGTTTAAGTTGAACATCACCGGGTTGTCTTTCAAGTGAAAAATTAAATTCAGACCACATAAAATCTGAAACTTGACAGTTTCTTTTGACTGCATCTAATTCTTTGTTCTGTGCAATGAGAACATTAATCTTTGATGAAAAGTGTTTCTTCCATTGCAATCCAGCAATACCTGCAATAAGGAAGAGCTGTAATTAAAATATCTGCATCCATCTACATGCTTAAACAGAATTAAGAAATGAACAACTTGACAGCTTCAAAGCAGACAACATAAAAAATCATAGTTTTACATATACTTGTTCTAATTTTTCTTCCTTTTTTTTTGGGGGGGGGGGGGGGTAATCTTAATGGCAGGGTTGAAAACTTTTATAAATACCAGCTCTGCCTGTCTATTAATTTTATAGTGAGTTTTTAACAGTAGGAATTGACCTGAATAAAAAATGTACAAACAGAGAGTAGTGATGGAACGATTGTCGGCGACAATCGATTGTCGGTCGTTAGAAGCTCTTCGATGCTACTAATCGATTATAGAATAAATGTCGCCGACATCGCTAACAAAAAATAAAATTGTCAAACTTTAATTTTATTACCAAATCCAAGTGCAAAGAGCATAAAAGTAGTGATGAATGTTGAAAACATGAAAGGATCCCGTGTCTTGTTGATACTTTTACCGCCATGATTAAATATGGGGTTAGACTAATACCAGGAAACAGTAATATTGCAAGTAAAGGAAAAATAATTAGTCTAGTCAATCTTTAAACGTAATTATAATCATAAATACAAGTCTAACATGAGGAAAATTACTTTTACAACTTGCAATTTTAACTAATCAAAACTAATTTTAAGAAATAAATACATACATGTATTAAATGAAAAGTGGGACTAATATCAGTAAAATACCCATTGCATGGACTTTATAAAAAAAAATAAATTCCCATTCAGTTTCAATAGTCCTATATTGTTTAAAGTAGACAAAATACTATTTTCCACTTTTTAAAAAAAGAAATTTCAATTAAAATTTTTTAATATTTTATGTAAGTATATGTTTTTTTTATGTAAAAGTCTGACAGAAATTTGAATAAGTTTTAACTTTTCTATATTAATTTTATTGAAGTTCAAAATTTTGATTATAATCGATTATTAATCGATTATGCCCAGCCGATTATTACCGATAATCGATTATGATTTTTTTCCGATTCCCCATCACTAACAGAGAGTAAGGCTGATATAGTATATATATTTAAAAGTTACCATCTTCATTCTGTAGATCAACACAAAAGATTGGTTTTGATGAAATCGTTGAACTGAGTAGCCGTAGTAAACATTCCCTGAAAAAATGTTATGCTGAATTTTAATGGAATGTTATTCTGAGAAAGTGGAAAATTTCATTGACCATCTAGCACTGAACTAAAAGTTTTTTTCAACAGAGTTGACAAATGTTTGAACAGTTGAATGAATCATAAATAGATTTAATAATGTGATAAAAATTAAGTCTTACACAAAGTTTTATGGAGTGGTAAAAGAATATGAATACAAACCACTATTGTACACATGGAGTTCGAATTTACTCTGTTTACATTATAATATATACCAACTTTGGGCATACCTGATTACTTTAAACTTTTTGTTGTTTACATTTTGTTTCAACTTCTTCTCTGTGTCTGTTTTTACTGTGACTTGTACATCAAATTCTTCAAACTGCGCAATTTCAATACATGGAGAATTATTTGAGCGCAACACTTCCATTACTTTAACCACTCTTACCTTTAGATCATAGAAGAGTTCCATACATGTATGTCGATTCGCGGTGAGTTGATTCGTATGATAGACATAATTAAAGCAATGTCATTGTTTTTGATGACCAGAGGCAGAGAAGATAATTCTCAAAAATAAAATACTTTTCACTTTAGAATGAACAAAGCCTACTCTCTACTAGAGCCCTGACCCAGGGCCAGGTCAAGAAATTCAGTATGCACAATTTTGGTTGAGGCACCTCGCTCATCATAATGATTTTCATAGAAATAATGCATAAAATGTGGTATTATTTTTAAAGTATATTCAAAACAGGTGCAATTTAAACCAAATACAAAGGTTATCTGCAAAATACCCAAAAGCAAGAGGACGATTTTCAAAACAGTGTGGTTTATGGTTTTTTTTTTTTTAATAAATTACTTTATATACCGTAACCCTGTCAATGAAATTCACTGTCATTGAAAAGATACCCTTGCGCATCATAATTATTTGCGCTTGGTATGTTTGCCTTATACATAGTAGCAGGGGAAAAAAACTTTTTTTTTAACTACATTGTATTTCCGAAACAAGTGCCTTGCCTGTGATATTCACTCAGGGACCTAATATAATCAATAGAGTCCCTATTGTGCGGATCTAGAGTTCCGCTCAGGGTTCTAGGGGTTCCGGACCCCCCCCCCCCCTTGGAATTTGCAGTTACTTAATGTATATACAAATTCAAGTAAAGTACGTGACCTCGGACCCTCTACAAAACACGGACCCCATCTCGAAAGTGCAGATCTACTTATGTGAAATTGGTGTGAAAAGTCATAGGTCTCAAGCTTGAAAGTCAATGACTACCCATCCCCTCCCAAACGATTTTTTACGTTTGGGAAATAAATGGAATCATGTTTTCTTCTTCTTCTTCTTTTATTTATTTATTTTTTTTTTTTTTTTTGCTTGTCAGGAAATTCCTGGGTTGGAAATTCTTTTTTGACATGGGGTGGAACCACCCCCCCCCCTTTGGAAAAAAATTCATGGATCCGCTCCTGCATGGTCTCACACCTGGCCCTGATGCTTCAATTTTGGAAGAGGTATACCTTTGATCAACATAACATTGAACCTAGTTTATCTGCAAGGGGAGATGAGACTTTTGAAGAATTTATTCATTTTCTTTTTGATTTTAAGAGCCCCATCCAAACTCTCGAACCCCTGATTCTATAGCCATACTTTTCACAATTTTGGTAGAGGGCTCAATGGTCATTTCAATCATGCCAACAGTTTGGCTGCATTGTGTCAAAGAGTCGGCTAAACTAAAAGTGAAAGAAGCACTATAGTTTTTATGCGTTTACATCGTCTCGAGGGGTCCGCTTATTGCTCTCGCCTGGAACTGCAGAATTTGAACATGGAAGTTTATACGGTTTTGAAACTTTGAACCCATTAAAGTGACAGTGTGGCAATCAGCTGATAATATATTTAAAATATTGAATATTTTCTTGCACAAGCAATGGGTTTAAAGTTTGTTAGAGATAAACAGTGTTTAATAGAGCAAGATGATAATTAAAATTTATATAACAGAAATTTTTAATCAAAGTTGTGTTCTTCTACAAATGTATTTCAATATAAAAATTTTCATTTGATCCGAGCTTTGGTTAAATTTTGAACTGCATTGGGCCGCCATAGATTTGAAGTTGTCCCAAACCGCAAACCGCACTCGGTGCTCCTCGATCGATTCCGTAAGAACACGGAATCAGACGAAGTTGTGAACTGCACACATTTCCGTTTGTTTCATGTCGCGATGGAGGGAGATACAGTTGAAGGTACTCAGCTTCATTACGGGGATTTTATTGTCATCGCTGGATATTTTGCTTTTGTCTTGTTTATAGGATTATGGGTATGTAGTGAGATACACGTACTTAGAATTTGAATGCAATTTTTTAATCAAATGTTTATGACGTTTACTGGCAATCTGCACGCGAGATGCTGTGCTCAAGTGTCTACATCTGTCATCGTATCGTGTCATAAAATCACAAAATATTTGTAAACCTTTCGGTGTCAGTTGATGAAACTTTGGTTACAGGTAGAAATGAGTCTTTTAATGCAATTTTAAAAAAAATGAACAATGATACCTTAACTATGAAGAAGTTGGAGAAAAAAAGAAAGAGAAAATTGGCGGTTTCCGTCAAAGGAATATTCGCGAATATGCACTAGGCCTATCCATATGCAAATATAAGCACTCGAATATTCGCGATTGAACGAGTAATTAAGAAATGCTCTGTAGTTTTAAGGTTGAAACTAGGTTGACTGGACTATATACCTTGATCAGAAAGAGATTTGTTTTAACGATGTCCCTCTTTAAATTGTGGTTTGCTTTTGCTAAAATGCATAAAAATGGGAGGGGACAAACAGACATATATATTCTTGGTTTAAAAATCCCCCCCCCCCCCCCCAAAAAAAGATGTAGGAGAATGCATATATATAAAAAGTATTTGTCTGATGTCTTGATAGTTAAATATTAAAAAAATATAATAATTAAAACATGATTATTTTATGATCCATGTAGGCTCGCACCTAGATTTTCAAGTGTATAATATATTTTTTGAACAATTTATTTCTTTTACTAAATAAATTGAAGAATGTTTATTTCCCACAGTCCCATATTACCTTCTCTTTTAATGGGTGGCCATTATAAAATCCCTATATATCTTCATCTTGTATTATTATTATCACAAACATTTGAAAATATGCAACAAATTACGTGAAACCCTTAAGTTTATGTTAAAATAATAAAAAAGTGCCCCCTCTGCATTTTGTGTGTATAGTGTATCATGCAAAAGACATTGATCAACCTAGTCTGCAAAACAACACTTTTTAAATTAAATTAACTCATATACTCTGTATCCAGCCATGCAGGTGAAAAATTCATCAGTATATGTTAAATCAGTTTTTCATTTTGCACAATTTTTTTCATTCCTTTGATTTATGACTGCAGTTACATTTAGTTTTCTATCTGTCCTGAAAATTATACCCTTGCAAATTGCAATTCAGGAAAGTAGCATATGACTAACAAAAAGGAAATGTTAAAATTAAATGCATGTACATGCACATATATAGAGTGAACGTTGACGCAGTTGGTTTAAATTTTATTATCAAGTCTGTCCTCTTGGAAGCAGGATGCAAATAAATAGAGATATGTCTTAATTTATGAAGTCAGAGTTGAGTAACTGATTTCTGTATAAAATGAATTGCATGGTTTAGTGCAAATGTATAGAGTTCAGAAAATAATTTAAATATTCTGCATTGACTAATTTTATAAATTTAATTCAAAATATTACAGTATTGTTATAATATTTATTTAAAGTTCTTAAATTTGATATTATGATTTTAATTATGTCATTATTATTGAAAATGGATTCTGCCGTGGATGTCTTGTGAGGCATTCATTCATAGAAAAAATCCAAAATAATATGCTTCATTGTCATGTATGTCGGGTGTAATGGAATATTTTGTGCCTAGTGTTTAATGCATGTTTAATCTAAGTAAAGAGATAATTTAGATTTCTGCAAGAGGTCTCTTATTTCTAGGTTAATTGCACAAAAAATTGGCCAAGCATGATAGAGATTTTTCCCTATAGTTATTTAAAAATTAAATAGTGACATACTTTTTAAAATCAAAACTTTTACAAAGTTGAATATCAATAATTCTTTTAGAAAGTTCTTTCCATTAAACTCTCACAAAAGAGCAGTAAATAAAAACTTTAGAAAATCTTTAAAATTATGTGTTCTTTTAATTATGTATTTGATAATTTGAGAGAAAGGATTTCCATGAGATAACTTTGTAATAAAAAAGACCAGTATTCATAAAATACCTAAATTCAATAATTAATGTGTTTTTATAAGGGAAATCCATTGAACTTATTTATATGTTAAACAATGACAGCTGAAGCACCTGAAGATCTGATGATGAATGACATATATACATCACTATGGACATAGGTGTATATGTAAACAGAGAGGAGAGTCCTCTTTATAAATCTTAGACTATCTCTCCGATCAGAAGTTTTCTAAAATATGACAGAGATCCTGTCAACCATGGAATGTCACAGTGTAAGGTCCTGTAGATTGTTTGCATCTTGAGAGAGGTATTCTAGGTCAAGATTACGTTTTTATGCAGCTACATTCCATTTCTCTCCAACCCTCTATCCCCTCTTTGAGGCTGTTTCTCTACAAATAAGAAATGAACCCTAAGCATCATAGATTCTAATAAATCTACAAGAATTTGAAATTGAGAGCACTGAACTATCTGGTCTTCTAGTGTGTTCAAATAAATTGATGGGAAAGTCTAGTGCCCAGTCCATATATTCCTTACATTCAGGCAGTCATTATGAAAATTGTGTGACATATATGAAGTGACACAGTTTGCATCAACATACATACCCTACAGTACAGAAAAAACTTGGCAGTAACTCAACTACCCATTCATAAGAAAATAAAATGATATTTAAGTATATGTGATTACCTGTATATAAAACCAAAATTCTTGGAATAAAGACTTTTTAATCTTGTTCCCTTTAAATAAACTTCCCAGGGAATATGTTATTAAAATATAGCTATAGTGAAATACTTGGATCACTAATGCGTGAATTAAAATTAGTTTTAACATCTAAAAAGCTTAAATTTTGTTTAATGACAGAATTCTAAATTAACAGATTTTAAAATTTAATGCATTTAAAGATAAATTTTCATTTGATAAATGTCAAATTCAATATTCAGGTAGTACATGTATTGTCAGAAAAAATAAAGCAGTGTTCATTTTAAATTGATCTTGATTTTTTTTTTCTTTTTAAAGCAGGAAACAGATTGTTTAGCTCAGGTTTCACAAAGGGTTATTTTTCTGTTAATTATAAGCTTAAACTGGCTGGTCAATAATAAACTAGCTACTGGTATAATAAGGTGTCTCAATGTTTCTCAAAAACTAAATAGTGTCAACCAGGTTGGTGGAAAATTTTTATTAATCATTAAATCATAGCAGTTATTCATGCAGTCTTCCAAGACATACCAAAATTTATGTTCCCTATCAAGATTAAAATGTGTTAAATAAGTGAAGTCCCATGGTGGTGCTATAACTTAAAAAATCTCTTACTGCCTATAAAAGGCTCCAAGTATCAAGTTTCTCCAACTCAAGGGAGAAACGGGGTGGCAGATGGCTGTATGCACATTTGGCATTTTGAAAAGAATTTTATATACTTGATATAGCAGGAAGAACATTCTTGGAAAATCATAGCATTATAATTGTGAGAATGGCGATGAATTGAATGGCTATAATTTGAGAAATGACAGTAGTTACCTTTCAGTATATCTAGTGAAAAATTCTCAATGGGACATCAAACAAACAAACAAAAACAAACATTTACTTAAATTGTAATAAAACTGATTATCTAAGAGCCAATTAATTAAAAATGTTCTTTTAAGTCAACATTGATCCCCAGTAAAAGGAAAAATCTAGAAGAAATGAATGATGACCTTTAAGACTTTGATAGGAACCACAGGAGGAATTTGTCTCCTCTATTGAAGACTGTAGTCTGAGATATTATATCATTCTGTTTCCCTTTTGTGCTTCTTGACCTTAATTCACCCATAAACAAGCATTGTTTAAGCAAGCAAAATGATTTAAAGTGAAGTTTGGTTTAAGTGACTGTAATGGGAGAGTGTGCTGGCACCAAATGTAACTGGAAATGAGAAGTATGTGATGGACCAGACTGGGATTTGGACCCATGCTTCCTGAATTTCTGATCAGGTGCTCTACCAACTTAGCTATCTGGCCCCCAGCAATATTAATGTAGACGTACATACTTTTCTCCACGGGGTCAAAATTCTGCGGAATCTCGATTTCTATTTAATCAATGGGTAGAAAATTATGCAAATTTCCTAAATTGTCATTATATGCCTTACATTTATATTAATTACACTTGGACAAATTTCCTTGGAAAATTTGTGACCGCGTACATAGCTTATATTAATACCACGTGGAAAAAAGTACTTCTACAGTATTATGAAATAGGAATTTAATGAGAATAATGCGAGAGTCGCTTCAAACCAGGAATCAAGCTATCTGGCCACCACTGATCAAACCTTCTGACTGCCAAATAACAATAAAACTTAGTTTTTTAGATTCTCATTTCAGAGATTTCTTCCTCCCTTTTTGGCACTAAAAAATCTCATTATTTTAAATTCATAAATTGTACTTTGCGAAAAAAGTAAGCAGTGATTTGTGGTGTAATGGCTTTTTAGTTCGTCATAAAGCTGTGAATATAAAATGCTTGCCTAGCAATTATGCAGGGATAACAATGTTAATTCAAACAGACCTAAATACATGTACCTAACCTAGGAGCTAAATATAAGCTGGCTACAGTCTTGAACACAAACCTATAGCGATCAATTTAAGTCAGAGGTCAAGGTTACAGCTTAAGCAGAATTGTGAAAATTCCATTTGAGATCTAGCTAATCTCTTGGTTGAGTGATGTTTATGTTTTACTAAAAGCATTCTCTCAAAAAATCTGGTGATTATCTTTTTAATCTAGAGCAGTGCAGTTCTTACAAGATATAAATGACAAATGATTAAAGAAAGATAAGTATAGGACATGCACATGTAAACTAATGGACAATGTTAGTATATACATGTAACAATGAATTATGCTCATTTTAACAAGAAACGGGAACTTAAATTGCTAAAAAAATTTCCCCACAATTCCTTGAAAATACAAATGTTTTGAAATCTTAGAGTACATCATTTTTAGCCCCAGCATTCTAAATGCTAGTCTTGTAATTAAGTAGGCCAAGGAGCCAATAAATTCCTCTGTTACTGACTGGACCAGCACAGTACCTAGTAACACATGCGAGTTTTGAGTGTTTGCAATGGAGGGAGATTTACATTTATCTTATCTTTTACTGTTAGGAATACATTTATCTTGTAAGGATACATCTAGTATGTAAGGAAAAGAGAGCATTTAGTGATAAATTTCACCTGAGGAAATAAAGGTTTCTCAAGAAAAAGAGAACACTGAATCAAAGATACCTGTAATTTTGTACTCCAGTTTAAGTTAATTGAAATTTTATGTTTACCAAGGAATCAATTTAAAAAAGGTGAAAATATAGAACAAACTCAAAAATTGAAACTACAAATCTATAAATGTGGCATAAAACATGGGTTCTGGAAAGTCCAGAGATGGGATCAGGTGCCAAGGAGGAGTAAGCATCCCTTGTTATTAGGTCACACCTGCCAGGGACCCTGTGTGTCTACTTGATAGTCACCAAACCTTTTATGCTTAGGTTGGCAATTAAAACAAGATGATGACCCTATTGCATTTGATTTTAGACCAAAAGGTCAAAGGAAACTCCCCCCCCCCCCTGCAATTACAACATCATTTATTGAAACAATAATTTTAGAACAATTTAATTTGATTTGAGAGAGAGAGAGAGAGAGAGAGAGAGAGAGAGATGAAATGAATATCATGTCATCTGCTTGGTTGATTCAAAATCTTTTCCAGAAAATCTTCATTGAATGTCATGGATTTTATCATAAATGCTTCTTAGAGGTACAAGCTGATAAATGCATGTGACTTGATTGTACATGTTTTGGCCTTTATCTTCTTGTGCACAGTGCTTACATCTAGCAAGTCAGATTTCTTCTAAATTACTGATTAAATACCAAAGATTTTTTTTATGGCCTCTGCTTTGGTACAGGTCTCAACAAGAATCATAGATATCTGTCCATCTGTCTGCTAGTTAACACTTTTTTATGATGATAAATTAAATATACTTCTTGTCCTAATGATCTTAATAATATTTATCACATAGGTAAAGGATTATTAAGGAAGACATCTTTTTACTGGATGTGAACTAAAAATGTACTTTGAGTTTGGAAATATAAGATTTGACAAATCACAGTTTTATTTTCTTTTGACAGACATCTCGGCAAAATCGGGGCAGTGCAGGAGGCTATTTTCTGGCAGGAAGAAATATGCACTGGATACCAGTAAGACTTCTTAGTAGGAAATATGAATTATGTCAAATAAAATATGGTTCTTAAAAATTTACAGTATTATTTACTTGAAATTTATTTTTCTCCCATTATTACATTTTATGAAAAATTAGACTCTTGAAATCTTGAACAGTTTCCTATGAATGTATAACATAAGGAAAATTGATATCAAGGTCATAGGAAAGGTCAAAGTCATAGAATTATGACATTATTGAATAGGTCATATCAATTTGTATTTTTATATTAAGTTCAATTTTTTTTTTGAACAGTGTCTAAAAACAAAACGAACAAAATTAGAAATAGTGGGTCAAGGTCATTTGGAGATCAAGGTAAAAAAAACTTGCAGTTTTACAATCCTTGCCAATATAAAAATAACTGCAAAAAAAACAATACCTGGTAGTTGGGTCAAGGTCATTGAGACAGTGAAGGTCAGGGAAAAGGGTCTAAAGTATTAAAATATCTTCAACATTTTTCTTGAAACTGAGCGAAATGCAAATTTTGACAGATTAACCATAGACCAAAAAAAAAAACAAACCTGTTATCCCTGCCATATTCTTAGTGGGGCATTAATATTGAAAGCTGATCCTATGTTTGATTATGTTTGAGCATATCTCACTCAATTGTTAATGTGAAGTGCCATCAGTAAAGGTGAATATATTCAAAGTCATATCAAGTGAAGAAAAGACATGCAAAAAATTATAAAAAAAAAAAGTCGAGATGTTCAACATAAAATTTGCAAATGGCCTTGGTTTTGTTGGCCTATTATTTAATTTGATCTAGAAAAATGACAAGTCTGAATTTTTAAAAAAATTGTAATTTAATTCAGAAAAATTAATTAAGTTTATCAAACTTGATTAAATGACAGAATTGGTGTTATGTTACATTACAGGTTGGAGCCTCCCTATTTGCCAGTAACATAGGAAGTATCCACTTTGTGGGGTTAGCAGGATCTGGAGCCGCTTCAGGAATTGCTATTGGCCTGTATGAACTCAATGTATGTTACGCAAACCATACAGTTACGCAATAATAAACCTAATAATTATAAGCTGTCATATAAAAAGGAGGATGTTGGTGGTATGGTGTGAGAATGTAAAGTTCACTGGTTTTGAACAGAAGTGTGAGAACAAGTACACAGTAACACATATGATAATTTGATCTACTAAATGAATCAAGTACAAGTTTTAGGGTACATGTATATTTTTTGCTAAAAAGTGTATGCCATTGGGTGAACTAATTCATAACTACACATGTACTCTACTGTAACCTTATAAACAAGAGAGCTAAATTGAAAGTTACACATATTAAGGATTTTAAAATCTAACTTTCTTCACTCAAGAATAAAGTGAATGGATAGCTAAGTCTTTAAACTTATTGAAAAGTGATAGGTTATATTTGCCAAAAAGGTCATTATTATAACAAACATAGAAGTCACGAAATGCTGACTTTGAAAATGGAGTTGTTTTATTCCTTGTAACATCAACTTATGTGTGAGTAGTCTGTCTTAGTTTTAAAGATTTATTATACTCAGAGAGGAGAAATGAAAGATGTGCAGATTATAATAGAGATTATCAGTAATGCTGACCATGGCAGTTGTCATTTTAATTGGAAGCTCGTTTGTACTTGTATAATTATAATTATATAAAACAAAAGGTGTGATTGTTTGCGTGAACCATATTTAGAGCCATGCAGGGAACTCTCTATGTATTTCAGATATATATGTTAGGAAAATAAATTGATTCTATTTGGTTATCCTCTTTAATTTGTTGACTAAAGCCAAGTTCTCTTCTTTTTTCAGGCTCTTTACATCCTTATGTTATTGGGGTACATTTTTCTACCTGTGTATATTGCATCAGGTGTAAGTACAACTGTATAGCAAAATCTAAAAACGTTGATACTTTCCTAAATTTTTGCAACCATTTTCTGTGGATAATAATTTCTATTAAAGCCAATGAATATGAAATTTAACAAAAAAGGAAAGTGGAATTCAAAAGATGATGATTTTTATGTTGAAAGGTTTACACGATGCCTGAGTATCTGAAGTGTCGGTTTGGAGGGCAGAGAATCCAGATCTATATGGCTGTCTTAGCTCTCCTTGTGTACATCTTTACTAAAATCTCAGTAAGTTTTGTACAATGTGTGTTTCTTCAATATATGTGCAGCAGTGCATAAAATCTTTTGTATATTAATTTAAGTAGTCCTCTTTTTTGCAAAACAGGGGGAGAAAAATTAGTATATTCTGTACAGGTTTGTTTGCATATTTTTTTTTTACAGATATTAATTTATGAAATTTGGTAAAGACTAGCTGGCTCTTATTTTCCAACATTGAAGTGTTATATGATTACCATTGCATTTAAAGAATCTCTCAAACAATCAGCCATATTTATGCCCCCCTTCGAAGAAGGGAGGCATATTGCTTTGCTGTTGTCTGTCGGTCAGTCGGTCTGTCTGTTGGTGTACCATCAGTTTCCATTTATTTTCTGTGCAGGGGTTGTACGTATTGAAATGAAATTTGGTATACATGTACTGAGATTTATCATAAGAATACATAGGTCAAGTTCTGTTTTAGGTATGATCGACCCATTTTGGACAGAGTTATGCCCCTTTGACAGAAAAAAAATTCCAATTATTTGCTGTTTCCGTTTTCTTTGCAGAGGTTGCACATTTTGAAAAAAAAATTAAGTATACAGATTTATCATAAGAATATCTAGGCCATGTTCTGTTTTTGGTATGATTGTGCTATTTTGGATAGAGTTATACCCCCTGGACTTAGAAAAATTCCAATCATTTGGGGAGAGGGGCATAAGTGTTTTACAAACATCTCTTGTAGCTATATAGATACTTTTAATCTCTGTTTAACTTTCAGTATATAATTTATTCATCTGACAAAATCTCAAGATATCAGAAAATTATCAATTTTTGTTTTACTTATTTTCTTTTAGGCAGACTTGTATGCGGGGGCATTATTTATAGAGCAGTCTATGCATTGGAATTTGTACTGGTCCATTCTATTACTGCTGAGTATTGCAACCATTTTTACAATTACTGGTAAGCCATTCTTACATTTCTATACTCTGTGCATAATGCATCATTTAAAGGATATTTTAAAAAAATCAAATTCTTTCTGTCACCTAGCTTTGTTTTTTAAAGAGTTGAGGTGAGTTATTGCTTGCTACAAATTATTATTAAACGATTCTCATCAGAAGGCACAGTGCTAGGAGAACTGCTTACAAGTCTTAAAATTTATCAAATTAATATCTGTGTGTCTTGCTCTAAGATACAGTTGAATTTTTTCAATATCATGATCTTTGCTTGCATGCAGACATGAAGGCAATTTCTAAAAAGGCTTAAAATGAAATACACATGTACCAGTTTTTGAGGAGAAATCGCTAAATTTGTGTCTCGCTAAAATTTCCACTTATACGGTAGGATTCATTGGCCTCTTATTGCATATTTTTTGACACCCAAATGTTTACAAAAATGTGCAAATATGGTTCTTGTTTAATTAACTTTGAGATGTTAAATAAAATTCCATTTTTGTGCATTTGCAATAAATCTAGGATGAAAATCAAACTGGCTGTGTGTCTTTTTAGCTCACCTGAGCCGAAGGCTCAAAATTTACTGGCCCACCAAAATTTTTCTGGCCCCTTAACTTTTCAAAAAAAATTTTGACCAAATAAATACATTTTCATAACTGTAAAAAATTTATACATGTTTACGTACTGGGGTAGTGTAGATTTTAAATTGTTCAATAATCCCGGGGGAAGGGCGGGGCCACTTTTTAAATGAGCCGCCATTTTTTGTCCTTTGTCGCGTTTCGGTAAACTTTTCACATTTTGACTTCGTTGGAACAAACTTGCCACATTTTATGCACTAGTTAATAGTTACTAGCTAGTTCTGGTTGTTACAAGTTTGTAATACATCCATGTTATAATAGGGGTTATGATAATACGATTCAACAACATGTGCTTGTTCATAGGAATATATTTTATTTTATATATTAATGAAATTTTTTTGTTCAAGTCGCAAGTAAGACAGTTAGGAATATATATATCTGACTGTGTATGATTTTTATAATCAACAAGCCCAAAAGTTTTACATAGAAAAATATAGGGAAACCTTTTTAAATCTTCTTTTTACTTCAAAGCCAGGAATTTTGATTTTCACTGACCTGACTTAAGTTAAATCAAAATTCACTGGCCTCTTGTATAGAAATATATAGGAAAAATCTTTGAAAATCTTCTTTCGAACCACTGGGCCAGAAAAGCCAGTGAGTTTATAGTGTGAATTGACATCATAACATAGGGTGGGGATTCATTGGCCTCTTATGTGGAAGCATCCTGGTATAGTGTTGCATATTTTTTGACACCCAAATGTTTACAAAAATGTGCAAGAACCAATATGTATAATGTTAAATTGTTTAATTAATTTATGATATATAGGAAAAATGTTAAAAAAAATTCCATTTTTGTGCACTTGCAATAATAGTGACTTTGTCTAGGATGAAAATCAAATTTCCTTGAAAACTTTAATTAGCTTCAAAGATTTGTCTGTCTGTGTGTCTTTTTGTATTATGTGATGTAATAAATTGTCTAGATTAGAGGTTTGTAATCTATTTTAGGTGGACTGACTGCGGTTATATGGACGGACTTTATACAGACTATAATCATGATAATTGGAGCACTGGTGCTAATGGGCTTGAGTAAGTCATTTTTTGTCATATGTTCAAAATGTCAAAGCAGAGCATCAGTTTCAGGAGTCTGTGTTTCACTGCATAACTACATTCACAAGTAATCAAGATAAATGGTGCAGATATATGGGTCAAATGTAACAAAAATACAAGATGTAGACATACATTTTATTTAGGACATTCATTGCTGTGCACACATCATATAATTTTCAGAAGCAGTGCCTTTCTTTTATAAGAAAATTAATTTTCTGCAGCATTTGACTGTGGAGTTTAGATTAGACCCTGGGGTTTAGATGGGACTGAAATTTGAGGTCAAATTTTTCATAAGTTCTGTATAGAAGAATAATCATTTTCTTGAAAAGGGAAAAATTTTTTAGAAAGGGAGGTAATTTAAGCTTTAATTGAAGCTTTGCACCTTGTATCAGGTTGGGATTAAAATGTTTTGCATTTTGCAAAATAGATCACAAACATTTTTATTGTAAGCACTTTTGAAAAGGTTTTGGAGAGTGTATATAAAATATAGTAGAAATTATATCTTAAAAGTTGTGGCAATAAAAACAAATCCATAAAATTTGCAAATTTTTGTTGTAAGAAATATCTGAAAAAGGTCATTTGAAATGCAGATGAATAAAATTTTGGAGAGGTGGTGGCGGGTTTTATGATTTACTGATATTTTTACATATGAAAAACAGGCTTTGGAGAAGTTGGTGGGTTAAATGGAATAGTAGAAAAATATCCTCATGCCATTGCAAACACAACAAAATATTCCAACACAACCTGTGGAATGCCTAGAGACGATTACATGCATCTGTTCCGTGACCCCGTGACAGGAGACTTGCCATGGCCTGGAATTGTGGGAATGTCCATAAACTCGATCTGGTACTGGTGTTCTGATCAGGTATAGTTTAAATGGTATCAATATGATTTTGTGACCAATTTGGTTACACAATTTTTGTCCAAAAAGATTCAAAAGAAGGACCTTATTTTCAATCTCAGACACTAAGATGATGCTTTTGGACTAGAGATACATGTATAATATAGATTTTTTCCTTTGGGCTTACTGTATTAAGTTAAATTGATTAACATTAACGAACGAATTACAGGTGATTGTCCAGAGAGCACTTGCTGGCAAGACCTTTGACCATGCTAAGGCAGGAACGGTGCTGTGTGCCTTCATCAAAATACTCCCCCTCTTCTTACTGGTATTCCCAGGAATGGTCTCAAGGATATTGTTCCCAGGTATGAGCTATCCCTATATTGTGTTACTCAGTACTTATACTCAGTTTATAGAAAACATAGTGCATATACTTCAATCATAGTCTATATTACTCAAGAAATATGAAAGAACTACTAGAAGATTATGATGCCAATAACTGAGGTAAGATGTTAATTTTGTGAAAAACATATAATAGAAAAATCTTTCTTTTTACACATAGAGAATTACACTATAATTTCTTGATAGCTGAATATGTATTAGGATTTCAGGCATTTTAAATAAAAAGATTTGTATTTTGCAGTGATGCTTGTCTGCTTTATTTTAACATTCACCACAGCGTTCATGTATTTAAAGAAGGATGGCATTAATAATTTATCCACTTGTTCATTATATTGCATGAAACAGATAACAGTTTCTGAATTTCATGCATTAAGAAAAATCTTAAGGACATTTTTTTTTTCATTTTTAAGCATACATTATTTTGCAAATTTTGCTAATGATTTTGAATCATAAAGATTTCCAAAGATTTGAGAACAGATGTCTTCTATTATTTAGACACAGACAGTATCTCAATTCGTTCCATATCAGATTGAGGATATCTTAAAAATGACTTGATCTGACATCACAAATTTGCTTTTACCATCTAGACTTATAGTATGGAAGATCACTCTCAAACACTGTGGGAAGGAAATGTTGAATTCATGCAGTACAAATATGGAGTTGTGACCTTCAGAAAAAAGATTCTAAAAAAAAAAATAGAGGGGCAATCAAATTTATGACACACCGTTTTAATAATTATGCTGGTTTTATTATAGCATGGTGTGTAAAAAGGTTTGTATTCATTTAAATAATATTTAGAAGGTTTGTTCATGTGGCCTGCTTGTGAAAGTTGATCAACGGAAACTGAATGAAAGATTTCATTGTTACATATTTTTGCTGATTATAATACTTTCATAAAATGGCTCTTTTGAAATTTAACCTGAATATATATTTCAGATAATACTGTAAATTAGTAATAAATAAGTTGGAATATTCAGCAAGAAGTGAAATACTGAAATTGATGATAATATTTCCTTGACCGTACTTTCTAAATACTGACATTTGTGTGTTAGCACTTTCACACTACTTTGTAACTTAAATTTAAAAAACAAAAGAATTGATGAAGCCCCCCCTCCCTTATCTCTTTGCAAGCCAACTGTTTCTGGTTCATTTCTCTATATTCACAAAGCCATGGCCTATCGTACTATCAGATGGCAGAATTTTTTTCCCTCCAAGATTTAAGTATATAGATTTGATTAATTGCAGAGCTATAATCATGCATATGGAATTTTTCTGTTTAGGATATTTTTTTTTAAATGACAACTTTACCTAAAAATTAAGTCTGTAAGGCAGCATGAATATTTTTCTGAGAAGTACATGTATTGACATAATTTAGATATATTTTCCTTCATATGCATTACTTGATAACCACCAAAAAAGTCAATTTCCATTTTCAAAAGTTAAGTACTTCTGCATTTTTTCATTGTTGAAAATTTAGTATACTTGTGCATTTAATTATGGATATATGAAGATTTTTTCTGAAATTTTAAAGGTCATTATATGTGACAGTTTCAGTCTCTAATTTATGAAATGCAGAGGACACAAGCTTTCATTTGATCTGGATTGTTCATAAGTCAATTACAGATAACTTTTCCTATATCTTAATTTTTTAACAAAAATGTTAATTGCGCACTTTCTTGGTAATTTTCTTGAATTAAACAATTGTTTTCAAAATATTGAGAAGCAATCCTTAGACCATGCATGAACTAAATTACCTGACAGTGTTTTTTTTTTTCTCTGTATATACCCATTTTTTTTCCAAAGTTTTCACAAAATGCAATAAAATGCACAAAATATTCAATATCAGTAATGGAATAAATATTCTATTAGACTTGTAGAAAAAAAATTGATTTAGGAAATCCTAAATGTGAAGGGAATGAAAATTATCTGAAATCCAAAATTGCATTCATTCTTACACCAACTTGTGCACACATATAAAAAAAATTTACATTCACACAGAGACAGATATGTACTAATATAATAATAACTTAATGTGTAATTTGACAGTGGCATGTGTCTTTGTGTTAATGTGTAGTAAATCATGCTCCATCACTAATATTGGACTAATTTCCCTTTCATGTCATTTCTTTCATCTGTTGAAGTTTTTATCTGCATCATTTTTAATTTCATATATTTGTTTGCTTTTAACACTATGCGATTTAGTGATTTTTAGTATAATATCATGAGTGCAGGCCAATGTATAGGCATATTAATGACATTTAAGAATTGAAGCTTTAATTCATTACAATAGTCAATAAAAATGCTTGAGTACTTGTCAAATTAAGGTTTTCTTGTTATGCTTAAAAAAGGGTTAATACACAGGCAATCAAGATTCTGGGACTATTTGTTAATTACAAGCTGTACCACCAATTGTATTTTTGGGAGTACCTCTATCCCTATGTGCAGCTTTTACTTTGATAGTAATTTATGAAGTTGCAGATTGTAGTCAAATAATGAAAAGTTTGGCCATGATGTATAACAAAGTATAAAGTCATTATTTTCTAAGTTCTATGATCAATACAATGACCTTGTCAACAAATGCAACCTTACAGTAAGTCAAATGCTGACTGACATTTGCATACTAATTGTTAGGCTATAAGAACACCTGTATTGTCAACAGATTTTTCCGTCATTTCCCAAACAATGAACAAACAGTGGGTGTGTCTGGTTGGCAGGGAATGCTCACTCCTCCGTGGCACGTGATCCATATCTGATGTTTTAGAGGTCCATGTTTGCTCTACTTCTGATTTGTATTGTTTGAATAGACTTTTGAGCTTGAATACCGTTTGTTATCTCCATATGTTTCATGATAAAATTATAGGTCCTGTTGTAATCTCAGTTTATATTAGGTGAAGTGGCCCTGTACAGAGAATCGTAACTACATGCATCTCAATTTTACATTCATTAAGTTGTTCTCTATTGCAATCTTTTTTTATGAGAATTTTTTTTGAAATTGTGTTCAGGTAGATTTTTCTCATAGTTTCATTTGAACAAAAGCAGACCTGTTCCCATCAAATTGTCTCTTTCCTAAATTTTAGGAGAGGGGATAAGTTAACTAAAGACAAATGAAAATGCTCTAAGGGAACAGTAATCCTGTTTGATTGTAAAGATATTTTTACTATACCCATACTAAACTAAATTCCCATATTGACCATTCCTATATCCCTTTTTGAAGTAGATTAACAAAGCTTGATTTAGGTTTCCTTTTAACTAACAGTTCTTGTTTAAGTGAAAAAGACTTTTTGAGCTTGAGCACGGAAGCCTTCCTCATTTACTAACTATATCCATTGGTGAAATGTAAGTTTTAAAAAGTCAAGAATGTCTTCATTTGTACAGAAATAAACTATATATGTACCCTGGTAAACAGGAAATTCTTTTTACATCCAACATGGTAACAGATTAATGTACATGATTAATTTATAGAGTTGAATCCTGTGTTTCATGGTTGTACAAATTATCAACATGCAAATAGAAATAATAAATCAAAATAACTTCTTGATGTTGAAATTGTTAATGAGATGGATTTTCTTTCAGGGAATTTTTGTACATAATTATACGATTTACCTTTGATCTTTCAGTTTAAAATGAAGAGGATTCATGTGTGCATGAGACACCGAGCTATAATGCTTAGACCAGTATGTCATTAATTGAGACCTCTTCATTCAAGACAGTTTGTCTTAAATTTGTCTCAATGTGTATATTTTACTAGACCTAACAGATAAAAATATGAATATGGAGAGATGCATGCTATTTTACCCGCTTTGGCTACAAGCAAATTATAACAGTTATGTTTAGTGTTTTCAATCGCTATATTAAAAGTAGCACATAGTACAGTACATGTACCAGTTGCAGACACCAATTCTTTGCCATAAAACTAAATTACATGTACACTGTATTATCATAGAAATTAAAGTCTGTTAACAGAATTCTGTGAACTGTAGGTATAAAGTGCGGAATGAAGAGCCGATACTTGTACAAATAAGGATTATATATTAACCGGACATTACTACAAGACAATGTATTTTTGATCCAGTCAGTTCTATCAAAATATCACTTCCAACTTTTCATTATGCAAAAAATTAAATATATTCTAGGTTCATAAGAGCTATTAATACAAAGGAATGTGATACGTTAACATTTTGTTGCTGAGATTAGATTAAACATCAGGATATGTTAAGTCAGAGGTGATACTTTGAGAGGACATTGAAGGAAGTGAAATGAAAACATTAAAGTTATTACTAAATGTCATATCCTTTATTTTTGCATCTTGAAGCACCTTTGTAAGATGATAAATAATATCATCATGATTTATGTCTTAATTGATTCAATATTTGAAGGATTGAGAATGTTTTTATAACCACTGAAAATTAATATTTGAACACTCTAAAAAATTTGATTTTTGTTTAAAACAAATCTTTAGGAACAAAATATCTGCACACCATTTTAATCTAAGCTATATAGGGTCATTGGTAACAATCAAGAACTTTTTTAAAAATCCAATGTTAGTTGATGAAACTGATAATTTGGTCGTGCTATACAATACATGTCTAAGCTTTAATGGTTGTTTTATTCCTTGTTGCTCAAGTCTGTATGTTAAACTCATTTTCTCTCTGTATCTAAAACCTGACTCTCTGCCATACTTAATACAAGTACCCGGTACCATAGATCTTGTTTTAGCAATATTTTTTTTTTTTTTGATTAATTTAAATTAGTATGTTCATGGTCTCAAATTTCTGCGGAAGATTGTCACAGCATATTGAAAGTGGACTTAAGATGTACAATTGCTATCCATGAAATTAGCATAATTTACTACCTATATGTTGAGTAATAATCATTATTCTTTGGAATTATGACCCCATGAAAAAAAGGAATTACAGTATTTTCATGTAGAAAAATATGGAAGAGAGCCAAGTTTGATGCAGAATTGTTAACATACTTACTTGAGCAAATTGCTTTAAGTCTCATTGAGATTTCCTCTTTTGTACAGACACAGTGGGCTGTGCTGACCCTGAAGTCTGTATGTCTGTCTGTGGAAGTGAGACGGGATGTAGTAACATTGCCTACCCCACCCTCGTCATTAACTTAATGCCTGCAGGTAAGTAAAGCAGGGTAATGATTACAATTTTCTTTGAATTTAATTTAAGCATTTTTAAAATCAATTTCATTTGTTTTTAATCATGTATATGAAGTGGAAGATTTCTGTAGAATTTCAAGAAAAGTTACTTTTGTTATCAGGATCTTTCAAAACTCTAAAGCCATATCACTCAATTGATATACATTCAGAAGATAAATTTATAAGAGAGGCCTTTGTTCTCCATTATAGGTGCACGAGGGATGATGCTGGCAGTGATGATGGCTGCCCTCATGTCTTCTTTGACCTCCATCTTTAACAGCAGTAGTACAATCTTCGCTATGGACATCTGGACCAGGATCAGGAAGCAGGCCTCTGAGTTACAGATCATGATTGTAGGAAGGCCAGAGTATATAAATTATTTGAATTTCTGCTGTAAATGATTAATCTTTAACAAAAAAAATCTGCCAGTTTGATTTCCAGAGTTAATATCTAATTAAACATGTATATGGTTAAATTTGCTCTTCCTTAAAATATCTCGAAATCATAAAAGGTGGATCTATTTTAATGAATTAGGATATATTTATTTATAACATTTGTACATAACAGTTGCTGCAGTACTCAAAACAACTTCCACATATTTTTCAGACTATTTGTGTTGGTATTAGTGGTTATAAGTATTGTCTATTTTTCAGGCTGTTTGTACTGGTATTGGTGATTATAAGGATTGTCTATTTTACAGGCTGTCTGTGTTGGTATTGGTGGTTATAAGTATTGTCTATTTTACAGGCTGTTTGTACTGATATTGGTGGTTATAAATATTGTCTATTTTACAGGCTGTTTGTACTGGTATTGGTGGTTATAAGTATTGTCTATTTTACAGGCTGTTTGTGTTGGTATTGGTGGTTATAAGTATTGTCTATTTTCTATTTTACAGGCTGTTTGTGTTGGTATTGGTGGTTATAAGTATTGTCTATTTTACAGGCTGTTTGTACTGGTATTGGTGGTTATAAGTATTGTCTATTTTACAGGCTGTCTGTGTTGGTATTGGTGGTTATAAGTATTGTGTATTTTACAGGCTGTTTGTACTGGTATTGGTGGTTATAAGTATTGTCTATTTTACAGGCTGTTTGTACTGGTATTGGTGGTTATAAGTATTGTGTATTTTACAGGCTGTTTGTACTGGTATTGGTGGTTATAAGTATTGTCTATTTTACAGGCTGTTTGTGTTGGTATTGGTGGTTATAAGTATTGTCTATTTTACAGGCTGTTTGTACTGGTATTGGTGGTTATAAGTATTGTCTATTTTACAGGCTGTTTGTATTGGTATTGGTGGTTATAAGTATTGTCTATTTTACAGGCTGTCTGTGTTGGTATTGGTTGTTATAAGTATTGTGTATTTTACAGGCTGTTTGTACTGGTATTGGTGGTTATAAGTATTGTCTATTTTACAGGCTGTTTGTTCTGGTATTGGTGGTTATAAGTATTGTCTATTTTACAGGCTGTTTGTACTGGTATTGGTGGTTATAAGTATTGTGGTTATAAGTATTGTCTATTTTACAGGCTGTTTGTTGCACATATTGGTGAAAAAAAATTTGTTATACAGATTTATCATAAAAATACCTGAGTTCAATTCTGTTTTGGGTACAATTGAGCCATTTTGGACAGAGTTATGCCCCTTAGATTTAGAAAAATTCTAATTATTTGCAGTTTCCATTCATTTTTTTAGCAGAGGTTGCACATATTGAAATAAAATTTGGTATACAGATTTATCATAAAAATATCTAGGTCAAGATCTGTTTTGGATATGAGCGAGCCATTTTGGACAGAGTTATGCCCCTTGGATTTAGAAAAATTGGCCTTAGAAAAATTCCAATTATTGGCAGTTTCCGTTCATTTTCTTTTCAGAGGTTGTACATATTGAAATTTTATGTACAGATTTATCATAAGAATATCTAGGTCTAGTTCTGTTTTGGATACAATCAAGCCATTTTTGACAGAGTTATGCCCCTTGGACTTAGAAAAATTCCAATTTTGGGAGGGAGCGGAGCATAAGTGTTTTACAAACATCTCTTGTTGTATATAATTATACAATTTACCTTTAATCTTTCAGTTTAAAATGAAGAGGATACATGTGTGCATGAGACACCGAGCTATAATGCTTAGACCAGTATGTCATTGAGACCCTCTTCATTCAAGACAGTTTGTCTTTGTCTCATTGTCTATAAAATACCAGACTTAACAGATAAAAATATGAGAGAATGCATGATATTTTACCCGCTTTGGCTGCAATCAAATTATAGCAGTGTTTTTTGTGTTTTTAATTGGGGCTGTATAAAAAATAGCAAAGTACCAGTTGTGGACACCAATTTTATGCCATATGAACCTACAGAATTACATGTACCCTGTATTATCATGGAAATGAAAGTTTGTTTACGGAATTCTCTTAACTATAGGTATAAAGGTCAGAATGATGATATGATTCTCGCACAACTAATGATTACATATTAATCGGACAGTTATTACCAGACAATTCATGTTCACAAAAGTAATTGATTCTGTCAGTTCTATTAAAATTTCACTTCCAACCTTTCATTATGCAGAAAATTAATTGTATACTAAGTTGAGATGGGCTATACAAAGGGAGATGATATATTAACGTTTTGCTGCTGAAATTAACTTTTAGACATATTAAAATGTCAGAATGCTTGATGGGATACTTTGAGAGGACATTGAAGGAAGTGAAATGAAAACATTATTATTATTACTAAATGTCATCCTTTATCTTTAATGCATCTTTAAGCACATTTGTAAGATGATAAATAATATCACCATGATATATGTCATAATTGATTTACTTTTTGTAGGATTGAGAATGATTTTACAACTGAAAATTAATGTTTGAACACTCCAAAAATTTTGAATTTTTAATTTACAAATCTTAATTTAGGAACAAAATATCAGCACACCATTTAAGTCTAATGTATATAGGGTGATGGTATTAACAACCAAATTTTAAAAAATCCAATATTAGTTGATTAAACTATAAATAGGCCATGCAATACAGTGTGACTAAGCTTTGTTGGTAGTTTTTTCCATGTTGCTCAAGTCTGTATGTTAGACTCATTTTCTCTCTGTATCTTAAACTTGTCTCTCTGCTATACTCGATACAAGTACTGCAGATGTTCTTTTTTCAGTGTGGAATTAATTTACACTATGTTCATGGTCTCAAATTCTGTGGAAATTTTTCACAGCATATTTTAAGTGGATTTAAGACATACAATTGCAATCCATGAAATTTAATGGCTATAGGGACCCTTTGGAAAAAATGACTTATACAAGTACATGTATTAATGTAGAAGAGAGCAAGGTTTGATACAGAATTGCTAACATACTTACTTGAGCAAGTTCCTTTAAGTCTCATTGAGATTTCCTCTTTTGTACAGACACAGTGGGCTGTGCTGACCCTGAAGTCTGTATGTCTGTCTGTGGGAGTGAGACGGGATGTAGTAATATTGCGTACCCCACCCTCGTCATTAACTTAATGCCAGCAGGTAAGTAAAGCAGGGTATTGATCACAATTTCTTTGAATTGAACTTAAGCATTTTCAAAATCGATTTCATTTGTTTTTATCATTCATCAGAAGTGGAAGATTTCTGTTGAATTTCAAAAAAATGTTACTTTTGTTATCAGGATCTTTTAAATCTCAAAATCCATATCACTCAGTTGGTATGCATTGAAGATTAATTTATAAGAGAGACCTTTGTTCTCCATTATAGGTGCACGAGGGATGATGCTGGCAGTGATGATGGCTGCCCTCATGTCTTCTCTGACCTCCATCTTTAACAGCAGTAGTACAATCTTCGCTATGGACATCTGGACCAGGATCAGGAAGCAGGCCTCTGAGTTAGAGATCATGATTGTAGGAAGGTAGAGTACTAGTAAATTATTGGTATGAATTTCTGCTGTAAATGATTAATCTTAAAAAAAAAAAAATTCTGCATTTATATCACTTGTGCATAACATTTAATTGCTGTTTATCAAGGATGTCTGAGAAAATAAGTATCTAAACCAGTTTGATTTCCAGAGATAATATCTAATTAAACATGTATATGGTTAAGTTTGCTCTTTTTTAAAATATCTCAAAATCATGAATGGTGGATCTATTTTAATGAATTAGGATATATGTGTTTTTGTACATATTAATTAGAAATGATGCTGCAGTACTAGAACAACTTCCACCTATTTTTCAGACTGTTTGTGTTGGTATTGGTGGTTATAAGTATTGTCTATTTTTCAGGCTGTTTGTACTGGTATTGGTGGTTATAAGTATTGTCTATTTTTCAGGCTGTCTGTACTGGTATTGGTGGTTATAAGTATTGTCTATTTTACAGGCTGTTTGTACTGGTATTGGTGATTATAAGTACTGGTATTGGTGGTTATAAGCTTTGTCTATTTTTCAGGCTGTTTGTACTGGTATTGGTGGTTATAAGTATTGTCTACTTTACAGGCTGTTTGTACTGGTATTGGTGGTTATAAGTATTGTCTATTTTTCAGGCTGTTTGTACTGGTATTGGTGGTTATAAGTATTGTGTATTTTTCAGGCTGTTTGTACTGGTATTGGTGGTTATAAGTATTGTGTATTTTTCAGGCTGTTTGTTCTGGTATTGGTGGTTATAAGTATTGTGTATTTTTCAGGCTGTTTGTACTGGTATTGGTGGTTATAAGTATTGTCTATTTTTTTCAGACTGTTTGTGTTGGTATTGGTGGTTACAAGTATTGTGTATTTTTCAGGCTGTTTGTACTGGTATTGGTGGTTATAAGTATTGTGTATTTTTCAGGCTGTTTGTACTGGTATTGGTGGTTATAAGTATTGTCTATTTTTTTCAGACTGTTTGTGTTGGTATTGGTGGTTACAAGTATTGTGTATTTTTCAGGCTGTTTGTACTGGTATTGGTGGTTATAAGTATTGTGTATTTTTCAGGCTGTTTGTACTGGTATTGGTGGTTATAAGTATTGTGTATTTTTCAGGCTGTTTGTACTGGTATTGGTGGTTATAAGTATTGTGTATTTTACAGGCTGTTTGTACTGGTATTGGTGGTTATAAGTATTGTCTGGATCCCCGTAATCCGGGCCTCTCAAGGGAGTGAACTCTTCGTCTACATCCAGGAAGTGTCCAGCTTTATGCAGCCTCCTATCTGCTGTATCTTCTTGTTAGGATTGTTCTGGGAAAGACTGAATGAAGCGGTTAGTCATTATTGTTACTCTCTATAGGTTTAAAATCTATAAATTATTACACCACTTGAAAGTCAATTTCAGGTAAGAAAAAAGGGGTACAAATGCAAATGCTGAAAAACTGATGATAAACTTGTATTCACCTTTTTGAGACTCGTTAACTTTCTCTTACATTTATGTATGGCTCAATACATTTAATTTGTTTGTGGTTTTGTAACAAGCTACATGTATTAGTTTTTCTATAATAGTAATGAAATGTGTTTTAAACACTCTGTATAACTTTCTACAGGGTGCTTTCTATGGTTTGGTGATAGGGATGGTGATAGGACTGGTCCGGTTTATCGTGGAGTACTCCTACTCCGTGCCTAACTGTGTGGACAACCTCCCTGACCCCCGACCTTCCATCGTCAAGGACTTCCACTACCTTTACTTCTCCTCCTTCCTGTTTGTTGTCACAGGACTGGTGGCCATTGGAGTCAGCCTCCTGACTAAACCCATCGACAAAAGATGTGTAAGTGTCACTAGAAAGTGCTAAAATTATGTGATCAATTAGGTGATACATAGCAAGTTGCATTGTATGATAACACAGTGTCTGAAAGAACCTTCAGAAACCCTAGGTTGATTATGCTGAATTACACTTTCCAACACCCCTATTAACAAATTTGCTCATTCTTAAAATACTTTCTAAATTTACCGTCCAATCAAAACATTTATGATTGTGCCCAGATAACATTGTATTTCATTGAGGAAAAATATTATACCGTAAATCTGGAAATTTTTACTGTAGATAAATTTTTAGCAAATTTGCGCGTGCATTACATTCGCAAAAATATTTTTCTTAAAAATAAATCAACATGTAAACAAAAATTTTGCTGAAAGCTGGTATCTATTCTTAACTCGGTGAACAGGTGTTCGTAAGCATTGGTCATTTTAAGAAATCTGTTTATACTACAAGCTAATTACCTGTGCGTGTAAATTGCCCTCATTATATTCAATATCGTCCGATGGTTTGACACTAATGCAGTATGTCTCTATTTAATTATTTTGCCAAGAAAGAGAGACCCATTATTTAATTAACCATGTGATAACTCGAACTCAGTGCATTTACTAGAGAGTACCTTCCAAATGTAAACATGGCGTGTATAAATTTTAGATGAGAAAAAAAAACTTTGACAGAAGAAATTAAGCCTAGTTGAATTTTCGTCTTTATTTGGATATATTTTAGGTTTAAAGGCATACATAACCTCAAAAAGGTTTGTTATAATTAATTTGGAAGTTCGGTGCAAATATTTTTGTATTCTTCAAAATTGTTTCCTTTGCCACGTTGCGAGTATATTGGCGGTATTCCAACTGTGCTAACTAATTTGAAATATAAACTGATATGAAAATGGAAATCTTACGTGCTTTTTATTTTTAGCGCCAATGACAATTCGCAAAATTTTGAAACATAAAAATTAATCTACAGCTTTATGACCTAAATTCGCAAAAATAAATCGACGTAAAAATTTCCAGATTTACGGTAGGTGTAAAATTCCCTCTTGTAATGTAGTACTGGAAGAAGTAACAGATGAGGTTTTCTCTTTCCCTGACAGCTTCAAAGGTTGACTTGGTGGACGAGACACAGTGAGGACCCCCGACTGGACGTAGACGAGTGGTTAGCTGGACAGTCTAAAAATAGTGATGATGACAGCTCATCTGAAGCATCCAGTACAGAGAAAGAAAAGGGAGGCATAGAAATGGAGAGTATCACGCTCAGGAATGGAAAAGGTAGAGAAATTCTTGTCTGTCACATAATAAAAAGCAAGAAAATACTAGAGCAAAGCTCGTTGCAAAGCAACGAGAAGGTCTTTCGTCCTGTTTGACCGGAAGTAACTTTTATTTAAAAAAAAAAAGAGAAATGACGTCTCTAATGATTTAAATCTTCCAAATCTATGTTGAAAATTGCAAAAATAAGCCATTTTTTGCTACTTCCTGTTTGACCGGAAGTGACGTCGACGGACGGAAAATTAAATTTTATGCTTACAGTGACAAATATTTCCCCAAAACATGTCAAAAACGGCAAAAATATACAGTTTCGGACTACTTCCGGTTTGGCCGGAAGTGACGTCACAGGACGTATTTTGATGACATCAGTAGATTTTACAAGAGATTTTCAACAACTTTGCTTCTTTGATGTATAACAAATTCTTAATACTTTTTGAGATATCTGGAAAAAACTTTTGGCCCCTCTAGATCCCCTTATTTAGGGGTCAGCCCTTTTTCCGAGATATTATTTGAAAGATCTTCTAATTCTGCACAAATTATGTTCTATATATTTTAACAAAATGTTTTCAGTTTGGAAGATAAAAAGCAAAATATTTGTAATTTTTGGCTCTTTTGAGCGTTCTAATTTTTGACCCCTACATAGCGCCATTTTGAATAGAGAAATCGAAAAACAAAAACCGATGTGCACGACTTCAATCCTTCTATTATCTAAGATCAGTAAAATTTTGGCTCCAGCTTTAGCCGTCTCTGAGCCTTTGTCTGGAAACGAAAGCCTATCAATTTTCGTTTAAAGGGAAATAACTCAAAACCGCAATTGACTTTTTGAAATTTTAGACAGCATTCTGATAGAGTTTAGTAACTTCGAGTACCTCTGAAAATTAGAGCAAAATCAATTGAGAAATGGGTGAGTTATGAGGCTTCAAAGTTGGCATCTAGGAAGTAGAAGAAAAAAAAAAGAATAATAATCTTTACCAACAGAATCAGTAGAAGGTCTTCCGGTGGAAACGGAAGACCTTAATAAGGTAGAGGTTTTAAAACAAAATTTCACAGTCTAGTCTTTACCCATGGTATAAAGTAAGAGACCCCTGATTCATGCCCTCCACTAAATGTTTAATAAATATCAAACTACTGTATCAAGTTTTCTACCTTCTTCACCTATAAATTCTAATTCCTGCAAACCAATATTTTTTTTTCTTCAAACCACAAGAATTTGACCTAACAAAAATAAGTGAATTTACTTTATACACCAAAAAAAGTTAATTTACCATATTTATACCTGATTTCTCTGTTTTGTAGCTGAGGAGGCAGGATTCTCAGAAAAAACAGCTAACAAGGATGGGGAGTGTAACCAAGGAGATAGTCTGATGAAGACGGTGTCACTGAGCACTGATCCAGAGGTCCAGGTAGAGGAGGGACCAGGTACGCATTCGTTTTTCTGTCTGTTAGTGGCTTCGACCTAGACATGTTTTTTTAATTGACTATCAAAGTTGTACTTCCATGGAATGATAATTTGAAATTTTCTGATAGTGTTGATCCAATAGTCTCAACACCATGCATCAAGTGAGAATTTTAATAATATTTTCCTTTCTTTTGGAGCATTGAAGTTTCCTTGGAGTCCTTCATTTAACTCTTGCAAAATAAGAATATGCTCTTATTAGTATGCACATCACAGGAAATATCTGAAATAACAAATCAGACAGTTCATTTTTAATTTTCTTTCTCCCTCTCAGTGACAGAGCACATGCATTCCTCCCTCACCTGTGAGTTATTTTCCAAGAACATTGCATGAGTGATTTATGCAATTAATGCTTTATTATACTGGTGATGGAAGATTGCAATTAAATAATTAATATGATCATAATATTTCAGCAAAAATATGGGGAGTAAACTGCATTGCTGATTAATCATTTAATTACATAAATTCTTTTAGCTAAATCAATGTAGGCTCAATTTAGACTTATGAGTCATTTTCTGATGCTTAAATAATGTCCAGTTAGAGAGTTCTTTTCTCAGTATTTTGGGAAGTAAGAGGCTTTTCAGTTGATGCTTCTTGGGTTCTCAGTATGTATAAACCTTAAAAGTAGGTCATGGTGACCTACATTAGGGATTCAAAGCTTTACGATAGTTAGAGGCTTGGTTAGAATAGAAGTGACAGGTTTGTTTGATTTATCAGAAGAAGAATTCTTGGCTCATGGGCCTCTTGTAGGTAGGTTTCAGGACAGGGTTGCTGATGGATTAAATATCTTACCAGGCTTATATTTCTGAAGCTCCTAATAAGAAAGTCTTGATGCTTTAATTATTAATGGTGCTTGTGCAGTGTCTTGTGACAGTGTTTCAATGTCAAGGTCAAGCAGAATATAAGATTACAAATTACTTCTAGGTACCTAATGGTTTCTTTTAAATTGTTGGATGATGCATAATTTCTCTTTTTTTGTTTTGATAAAATTTGTTTGTTTTTGGTCATCAGTATCTTAAATTAACCATAACAGATACATTAAGGTGCATATGTAATTTTTTATACGAGAGTTAATTGATCCAAAAGGTCATGGAATTTCTTTATATTTTATTTATCTTTAAGTGAAATTTGTTGAAAATTACAAATGAGAATTTAGACACTTGTTGAATATTTTAAATAATAAAACATTTTAAATATTTATGATATGAGGGTTGTCCCGTAAAATCATGGACAAAGCGTTTTTCTCAAAAAGTAATGGGCGCACTAAGCTGAAAATTTCAGTAAATGTTTATTTATCATATTTAAGTGCATGATGATTTTTTTGAAAAAATATATGCAAAAATAAAGATTTTATTATGCTTGAATATGTACGGGGTATTGTCCTACGGCTCACGGTCAAAAAACCAAGGTTTTATTAAAGAATACACAAGTTTGAATTCAAAATAAAAGTTTTAAATACATAAGATTTAGATTAAAGTTATCCTAATTCAATTCCACAATCAATTTCGTAGTCTTTGTAAAAATTTTAAGGCATTTGGTTAATTTTTGGCAGTTTCTCGAGCATTCGAAATGGGAAAGTGATAAACACAACACACGAAAAATGGCGACGTTTTATGGCGTTACGGCGCACCGGAGAACAGTTCAGTTTTATTTCAATGTTGTAATGACATCTTTAGAGACTTGAAATGACCATAGAAGAAAAAAGATTATAAAAATATCACCATATCTTAAGTATACAAATGAAATAGAAGTTTTATTAGCGAAGTTTTTTTTGATCGAGTCCCTGGGGAGTACAAAACATACGGACAAACTCCTAATGTAATAGCAAAAGATGCTGTCACAGTAGATCGCCGATATGAGATTTTCTATTAGTTAAATGATGGTGAGAATATTGTCCGTAACTTACTAATTTAATCTTCAGAAGATCGCATGAGGGTGCCAATTGGTTCTTCGGCTGTTTATGGAGACTAAAGAATGTGTATCAATGAAATTCCTAGATTTAAGTCGGACTCATCTAACTTCATTTTCAGCAAAGATAAAACGTGACGCTGCTTTAGACACTTTGACGTTATAATCCATGCGCCGTAAGATGATACAAAACATGGCATAAAATCTCATGATTTGTTTATTTATGCATATATTTATCTGAAATTTGCTGTGTATATTACTAAAATATGTACTAAATAATAGTGAAAATTTCAGAACGCAGTGATGTTTATTTTTCACACTAGACAACTTGTCCACGATTTTACGGGACAACCCTCGTAGTAACTCTATGGCAGTTGCCATGGAAATGGTTGTTTGGAAATGCGGGGGAGACATGTTTTTTATCATTTTAATTCTTAATACGTGAAATGAGAATTAAACTGCCCTATGTGGTATATAAAACGAAATTTGTGTCATTATTACAATTGCTTGATCTTTTATAAACCTTTGTGATTTATTGTTCATCTTTAAGTTGTTATACAACATCAAATTTCGGTCAGGTCATAAGTTTTGGGAAAATCCCAGGATCACTCCATCTTAAACGCATATATTATTGACATAGGCTTGGGAAAAATGTATTTAGGTACTGGTTTTCCAGTGGCATAAGAAATAAAAAAAAAAGACTTTCCGGGGGGGGAGGTGATTAAAGTTGTTGCCGCCTTTTGGAGGCTCTGTTTTAAGTGTTTATCGCCCTTGACAAATTAAACGTGCTAATGGACGTTGTCAGCTGCCGTACTGTTCTTGACATTGCTACTGAAATTGGAACATCATATGGAAAGATGGGGAATATTTTGAAATATGAGTGAAAAATGAAGATAAAAATGAAAAATGAAGATAAAATGAAGATACCCAGGCTTTTCTTGAGAAAAAAATGGAGAAAAGGGTAGCATTTTGTAGAATTGCGTATTCAAATCGGACATTAGGGTGAGATGCTTCTATAACGTGACGTGACATATCTAACTTGACGTAACGTTAAAGTGTTCCCCAGGTTTCACAACTATCCGTTTTCAGAAAGCTCGCGTGACCTTATTAGGTCACCTGAGTAAACTCAGGTGACCTATTGCTATCCGTTTTCGTCCGTCGTCGTCCGTCGTCCATCGTGCATCGTGTGTTAACATTTGAGTATTTTCAGCTTCTTCTCTGCAACCACTGCACCAATTTCAACCAAATTTGGCACAAAGCATCTATGGCTAAAGGGGAACAAAAATTTTGAATTTCATGATCCCTGCCCCCCTGGGGCCTGAGGGGTGGGGCCAAAACCACTAAAATTAATGCAATCTTTAAAAATCTTCTTCTTTACTCCTGGACATCAAGCAGTCAAACTGTTTGCATGATTGTAATCAGCATTGAGTCCTCTACCAAAATTGTGAAATTCATGGCCCCAGGGTCAGGGGTTCTAGTGCTAGGGCGGGGCTAAATAAGTATATAGTGAAAATGCATTATTTCTTTGAAAATCTTCTTCTCTGCTCCTGGGTATTAAATAAACTAACTAAGTGCATAGTTATGATGAGCAAGAGTGCCTCAACAAAAATTGTGAATTTTATGGTCCCAGGGTCAGGGGTTCTGGTGTTAGGGCGGGGCTCTATAGATTACATAGTAAAAATACATGAATTCTTTGAAAATCTTCTTCTCTGCTCCTAGGTATTAAATAAACTAACTAAGTGTATAGTTATGTTGAGCAAGAGTGCTTTTACCAAAATTGTGAATTTTATGACCCCAGGGTCAAGGGTTCTGGTGTGTGTGTGTGGGGGGGGGGAGGGTCTATTGATAATATAGTGAAAATACATGAATTCTTTGAAAATCTTCTTCTCTGCTCCTAGGTATTAAATAAACTAACTAAGTGCATAGTTATGATGAGCAAGAGTGCCTCTACCAAAATTGTGAATTTTATGGCCCCAGGGTCAGGGGTTCTGGTGTTAGGGTGGGGCTCTATAGATTATATAGTAAAAATACATGAATTCTTTGAAAATCTTCTTCTCTGCTCCTAGGTATTAAATAAACTAACTAAATACATAGTTATGATGAGCAAGAGTGCCTCTACCAAAATTGTGAAATTTATGGCCCCAGGGTCAGGGGTTCTGGTGTTAGGGTGGGGCTCTATTGATTATATATAGTGAAAATACATGAATTCTTTGAAAATCATCTTCTCTGCTCCTATGTATCAAATAAACTAACTAAGTGCATAGTTATGATGAGCAAGAGTGCCTCAACAAAAATTATGAATTTTATGGCCCCAGGGTCAGGGGTTCTGGTGTTAGGGTGGGGCTCTATTGATTATATAATAGTGAAAATACATGAATTCTTTGAAAATCTTCTTCTCTGCTCCTGGGTATTAAATAAACTAACTAAGTGCATAGTTATGATGAGCAAGAGTGCCTAAAAAAAAATTGTGAATTTTATGGTCCCAGGGTCAGGGGTTCTGGTGTTAGGGCGGGGCTCTATAGATTATATAGTAAAAATACATGAATTCTTTGAAAATCTTCTTCTCTGCTCCTAGGTATTAAATAAACTAACTAAGTACATAGTTATGATGAGCAAGAGTGCCTCTACCAAAATTGTGAATTTTATGGCCCCAGGGTCAGGGATTCTGGTGTTAGGGTGGGGCTCTATTGATTATATATAGTGAAAATACATGAATTCTTTGAAAATCATCTTCTCTGCTCCTATGTATCAAATAAACTAACTAAGTGCATAGTTATGATGAGCAAGAGTGCCTCAACAAAAATTGTGAATTTTATGGCCCCAGGGTCAGGGGTTCTTGTGTTAGGGTGGGGCTCTATTGATTATATATAGTGAAAATACATGAATTCTTTGAAAATCTTCTTCTCTGCTCCTGGGTATTAAATAAACTAACTAAGTGCATAGTTATGATGAGCAAGAGTGCCTCAACAAAAATTGTGAATTTTATGGTCCCAGGGTCAGGGGTTCTGGTGTTAGGGCGGGGCTCTATAGATTATATAGTAAAAATACATGAATTCTTTGAAAATCTTCTTCTCTGCTCCTAGGTGTTAAATAAACTAACTAAGTACATAGTTATGATGAGCAAGAGTGCCTCTACCAAAATTGTGAAATTTATGGCCCCAGGGTCAGGGGTTCTGGTGTTAGGGTGGGGCTCTATTGATTATATATAGTGAAAATACATGAATTCTTTGAAAATCTTCTTCTCTGCTCCTAGGTATCAAATAAACTAACTAAGTGCATAGTTATGATGAGCAAGAGTGCCTCAACAAAAATTGTGAATTTTATGGCCCCAGGGTCAGGGGTTCTGGTGTTAGGGTGGGGCTCTATTGATTATATATAGTGAAAATACATGAATTCTTTGAAAATCTTCTTCTCTGCTCCTGGGTATTAAATAAACTAACCAAGTACATAGTTATGATGAGCAAAAGTGTCTCAGCCAAAATTGTGAATTTTATGGCCCCAGGGTCAAGGGTTCTGGTGTTGGGGGGGGGCTCTATTGATTATATAGTTAAAATACATGAATTCTTTGAAAATCTTCTTCTCTGCTCCTAGGTATTAAATAAACTAACTAAGTGCATAGTTATGATGAGCAAGAGTGCCTCAACAAAAATTGTGAATTTTATGGTCCCAGGGTCAGGGGTTCTGGTGTTAGGGCGGGGCTCTATAGATTACATAGTAAAAATACATGAATTCTTTGAAAATCTTCTCTGCTCCTAGGTATTAAATAAACTAACTAAGTGTATAGTTATGTTGAGCAAGAGTGCTTTTACCAAAATTGTGAATTTTATGACCCCAGGGTCAAGGGTTCTGGTGTGTGTGTGGGGGGGGGGGGGGAGGGTATATTGATAATATAGTGAAAATACATGAATTCTTTGAAAATCTTCTTCTCTGCTCCTAGGTATTAAATAAACTAACTAAGTGCATAGTTATGATGAGCAAGAGTGCCTCAACAAAAATTGTGAATTTTTTGGCCCCAGGGTCAAGGGTTCTGGTGTTGAGGGGGGGGGGGCTCTATTGATTATATAGTGAAAATACATGAATTCTTTGAAAATCTTCTTCTCTGCTCCTAGGTATTAAATAAACTAACTAAGTGTATAGTAATGATGAGCAAGAGTGCTTTTACCTAAATTGTGAATTTTATAATTACAGGGTCAGGGGTTCTGGTGTTAAGGCAGGGCTAGTTTGATTATATATTGAAAATACATGAATTCTTTAAAAATCTTCTTCTCTGCTCCTAGGAATTAAATAAACTAACTAAGTACATAGATATGATGAGCAAGAATGCCTCTTCTAAAATTATGAATTTTATGGCCCCAGGGTCAGGGGTTCTGATGTTAGGGCGGGGCTCTATTGATTATATAATGAAAATCCATTAAATCTTTGAAAATTTTCTTCTCTGTCTCTGGGTATGAAGCAGATTAACTACCTATATAGTCATGATGAGCAAGGGCCCTAATCTTGCAGAATTGTGAATTTCAAGGACCCTGGGTCAGGGGTGGGGGGGGGCTCTACTTATATACTGAAAATGAATTAATTGTTTGAAATCTGCTCCTTTGTATTTATAAAACATTCATTTATTTTTTGATAGGCAATTTTAAGAGTGTCTTTTTAAAATTTGTGCAATGTGTGGACCTAGGGTCAGGGGTTTATGTCACAGTGTTAGGCGCACTACTGATTATTGCTGAATATTACTGATTAGTTGGAATGCATTTTTGTTCCCCTACCCTGCGTATGGATATTCAGTAACCAAGCTAAGCAACTGCTAAGTGTACTGTTATGATGATCAATGGTGCCTCTTTCAAAATTGTGAATGCCATATATCATCTGGCTTAAGTTAAAACATGAATCAAATTCAATAACTGGAAAGTTGTTGCATAATGCTCAGGTGACCTATAAGGCCCGTGGGCCTCTTGTTTTTAATTGGAAATTCGTGAAATTTTTCAATATTGTTGCATTATTATTCTATATTATAAATATGCCTGTTAATTGTTTGCTTTTGTCAAATCACGATTAAATTTTAGAAAGAAATTCCACGAACTTTTGGATCAACCCTTGTACATGAGAAAACAAGCTGTACATTTGTAATATCTAACAAAAAATGTGCCTTTCAAATCTAACACTTAATATGCTTCAGTCTACTGTATTAATATGTTGGTAGGTAATAAAGACCTTGAAAGTAATTGTGATGAGAATGTTTGGGTAAACATTGTAGCAGCTTATTACTCTAACTTTGATAATACCTTTATTGTCATGTTTTTGTGATAAAGAAAAAGACTTTTCAATATCCATTTCAACATATTTCTTATTTGACCAAAGGAAATTACAGTTTATACATCTGATACCTATAATAACATACAAACTGACATATTTTATACATTCACTATGGTAGTAAGCAAACATGTTTTGGAGGAAAATAAAATAGAGAAAATAACCATGGAGCTCATTTCTGACAAACCACCCCTCCCCTTTAAATCTAGAATTCTAAACAAAACACTTAACCATCTTTGACCTTGATTTCAGTGAGGGTAGCCCTGCCTCGGCGTGTGATCTACTGGTGCTGTGGTATAGAGGAGGATAATAAAACAGAACTGGCCAGTCACACGGTCCAGAGGAACGAAATACTGTCCATCAAAGAACACCCAGTCTGGTCCAAAGTCAGCAATGTTTTTGCCGTCATAGCCATGATAGCAGCTGTGTTCCTTTTTGCTTTTTTCGCTTGAGGTAATAATAGATCTTTCAAATTGAATTTTCTCTTGAAATTCATATATGTTTTACATTGAAATATATAGGACAAATCATCTTTGCAATATGTGGAAGTATATGCATCCTGAAGTAGTGTAGAATTTTAATTGTACAAATCATGACCCTGGGGGTAGGGCAGGGCCACAATAGGGAATTTAAGTTTTACATTGAAATACATGCATATAGGAAAAATCTTTAAAAAATTTTCTTCCCAAGAAACATGAGCCAGAAAAGCTGAAACTTATGTGGAAGAATATGCATCTTGAAGTACTGTAGATTCTTAATTGCTCAAATTATGAACCCTAGGGGTTGGTTGGGGCCACAAAAGTTATTACAAGGGAAAAATCTGGTGAAGAACAGCAATGTCAAAGTGACACAGGTGAGTGTTGTGGCCAATGGGCCTCTCGTTATGACAACGAAATCCATGTAAAGTCTCTTGATCAGCTCTTCACTTGCACATAATTCTTGGATTTTGACTTCAAAAAGCTATTTCTCAATAATAAGCTGAAACTTTATACAATATACTTCATTATTGATACACAGTATTACTGGCAGTGGTGTCACTTTGTTTTAAGTACATGTAAATGCAAGTAGAAAAAAACAAGAGGCCCAGGGGCCACAGCGCTCACCTGAGCACATCGGCTAGGAAAAAGCACATATCAGATCAGAACTGAAAGTTTACTGAGGTGAGGGGAGGGGGGGGGGCTTGAATTTTAACCCCCCCCCCAGGGGTTCATGATTTGAACAAACTAGAATCTACACTACCTGTGGATGATTCCATATAAATATCCCTAATCATGGCTTTGAAGTACTTGAAAAAAAGATTTTAAAAGGTATCCCTATAAGATAAGATAAGATAAGATAAGATAAGATTTATTAATACCAATTTGGGGCCCATCAGGGCATACAAGTAATAAGGAAAAAAAAACATACAAGCAGAAATTCAAAATTGATAGCAGTAACTAACAAAAGATAAATGATGTTACAGCAGTTGGGGATTACAACATACATAATCAATATACTGTAAATAAAAGTTTGTTTAAAGTATTTCTATATATTACTCTTTTGTATTTATTTGTTTCTTTGTTTAACATTGCATAATTTGCTATTTCTTATTTTAAAGATATTGATTAAAAAATTACCCAGCTTGATAAGCAACATGTCATCTTCATTAGACATAATCCATACAAATTTTTCTTTATTTGTTAAAGTATAGAAATTTTTATTACTTTTAGCAATAATATTAAAAAAGTCATCTCTATCATGCTTATATAATGGACATTCAATCAGTGAGTGTATCTCATCTTCCACACAGTTCATGTCGCACATTCTACAAATTCTTTCATTTCTTGCAAGGATGGTTTGCTCTCCAGCAGAGTTTAGTTTTTTTTCGTACCTTCCACTTTCTATATATCCCTATGTAAAACTTGGGTCGGCCATTTTGGCCCCACCCTAGTCCCGGGGGTCATGATTTGAACAAATTTGAATCTACACTACCTGAGGATGATTCCACATGAGTTTCCTCTTTCCTGGCCCAGTGGTTCTTGAGAAGAAGATTTTTAAAGATTTTTCCTATGTAAAATTTTGATCTGCCAATTTGGCCCCATCCTAGCCCCGGGGGTTATGATTTGAACAAATTTGAGTCTACACTACCTGAGGATAATTTTACATGAGTTTTATCTTTTCTGGCCCAGTGGTTCTTGAGAAGAAGACTTTTACAGATTTTTCCTATATATATTCCTATGTAAAACTTGGGTTGGCCATTTTGGCCCCACCCTAGCCCCGGGGGTCATGATTTGAACAAACTTGAATCTACAGTACCTGAGGATGATTCCACATGAGTTTTATCTTTCCTGGTCCAGTGGTTCTTGAGAAGAAGATTTTTAAAGATTTTTCCTATATATTCCTATGTAAAACTTTGATTGGCCATTTTGGCCCCACCCTAGTCCCGGGGGTCATGATTTGAACAAACTTGAATCTACACTACCTGTGGATGATTCCACATGAGTTTCATCTTTCCTGGTCCAGTGGTTCTTGAGAAGAAGATTTTTAAAGATTTTTCCTATATATTCCCATGTAAAACTTGGGTATGCCATTTTGGCCCCACCCTAGCCCCCGGGGTCATGATTTGAACAAACCTGAATCTACACTACCTGAGGATAATTCCACATGAGTTTTATCTTTCCTGGCCCAGTGGTTCTTGAGAAGATTTTTTAAAAATGATTTAATTTTTCTCTAATTCATAATTATCTCCCCTTGGAAAAGGGCATGGCCCTTCATTTGAACAAACTTGAATCCCCTTTACCCAAGGATACTTTGTAGCAAGTTTGGTTGAAATTGGCCCAGTGGCTCTTGAGAAGAAGATGAAAATGTGAAAAGTTTACGACAACTACGATGACAATGACAACGACTACGACAACGACAGACAACGGACAAATTTTGATCAGAAAAGCTCACTTGAGCCTTCGGCTCAGGTGAGCTAAACATTAGAACTGTAAAACATGTTAACAAACTTAGAGGAAATACTGTAAAATCACTTAACTTCATAGGGTCAAATTTTGGAGATTTGAGGGAAAAAATTTCATTTCGTTGTTAAAAAATATGTTTAGTAAAAATGCACAAAAATTAAACCCCCATGGAAATTAGTGATTGTACAAGGAATATATCTTTTTCTTTTATTTTCTAGGATCCAGATAGGAAGTGAGAGTCAAGCTTGCTACCAGAAGGCAAACTGTGATCAGCTGTATGCATGTTACTTTGAATAATTATAAAAGCTTTGAAAGCATCAACGGCCATTTAATTTGCCCGGTACAGATGCATAAAAATTAATTTTTTACTACACTATACTGTCAAACAGTTTTGTTACTTTTAACAAGTACAACTTATTACTGTAAAACATGCTTATAAAGAAGTGCCATAGACAGATGATTTGGGCTTGTTATAAACATAATTTGTATATATCGATCACTTTTGCTATAAGCATGTTTTACATGTATTATGAAGGGAGAAAAGAAGCAGCTTTTTGATGAGCTTTGATCAATCCTGTTCACATTTTTTGTCCACTTTATCCAGATATTTCAATCAAAGTTTTATACCTCATATTGTGGTATGCTGATTTCAGCCATTCCTCAAGTTTTATCAGTTTTTGGTGTGACACAATGTAATTTATGATTATTTTGATATTTTTCCACCATTTAGACAAAATTTTAATATGTGTATCTATCATGAATAAATGCATGTAGAATATTAAACATTGTTAGTACTAAGGTTATATATTTTAATGAATTCTATTGGGAACAAGGTATACCATTGATAACGAAACATATCACTAAAGGATGTATACCGGTAATTTATAGGAAAGATGTGTCAAACAATCCAAGATTTCTTCATTGATGTTTGGTTTAATTTCATATTGTCAAATGATGATATATTTGATTATATTATAACCTGAATGATTTTGCATATGCATGCCAGTTAGCATCTGCATATCGTTGCCAGACTAGAGAAATCTAATTTATTTTGGTATGAAGAGAAACAAGAGCGTTAAATGAGAAAAAAAAATCAATCAATGCAATTATGTGTTTGTACAATGTACCCGGTTAGAAAATGGAGTTATAAATGTTGATCTTTGTATAGTTATATTGATGTCGAATTGTCAAATACACGTACAGTACATTTTAAAAATTTATGTCAACACTTTTTTTTACATTTTCTTTGATTATGAATTTTTTCGTTGGGTTTTAGTCAATTTGCAACCTGGCTACTTCAAGTAACTTGAATCCAGTGAACCTGCCATGGCAATGCACCTCATTAATTCTGTATAAAAGAAATATTTGAATCCTTTTAAATGATCTTTCTCAAATTTAATTTTATTAGAGAATCCAGGTTATCACTTCTCTCATGCAATAAATGAAAATGTTTTTATTTGTATAGAATTTATTGTTAGAATCATGTACCCGGTAGTTAACGTGAAGTTTACAGATTATATTTTAAATAATATTACTATTCATACATAATCATTAATAATATACCGGTAATGAAATATGTTTATAAATGCATTTAAATTATAGAACTGTTATTTTTAGTGATTTCTTTACTCTCTGTTGGATCCCAGTTTTTTTCTTACTTTTCAAAGCATGGTGATAATTTACCAATATGTGTTACATATAGTTCTAGCAAACAAAAATTTGAAAGAAATTACAGTACAACTTCTCTAATCTGAATGTTGTGTATTCCAAAATCTTACCTCATATGGTGTATTTTAAGTTCCTTTTAGTAAGTTCAATTTTACTGTATATAATTATGTAGGGTACACTACCATAAATTTATATTGTGAGCACCTCCCATATTCTGAATGTATTTTTTTGAAAATAATCCAAGAAACATGCATCATATCAGCTAATCTGTGTGATGAAAAAAAATCCTATGTGCCCTTTTAGTTTACAGATAGCAATGATGATACTTAATTATGATAATTTTTAACATAGTTCTTTTATTTAGATGTATGCTTTGCAGAATTATGATCTTAATGCTTTTTAGTGCGTATTTGATAATTCAGGCAACATTGACATGAGATATGTCTATACCTTATCTGGTATGCATGACATGACAATGTGTGCTTCTTTATATCCAGTGAAATAAAATCACTTTTGTTCAACACATTTTTTGTTTTGTTTCTTAAAGGCTCAAGATGTAAGTGTGCATCTTTGAGACAGTTTTAATTTCAATGAAAAGATGCAATAATTACAGTCAGATGGGCTGAATTGTAGAGGTTGCTAGATAGCTCAGTTGATAGAGTACTTGACTGGAGTTTCCAGGGGCCAAGGTTCGAATCTTGGTCTGTTCCAATGCACCTTTTTCCTTTCTTATTACATTTGGTGTCTTGCTAGGCTCAGGAAGTCCTATGTATGTTAAAGGTACTTGTACACAGATTTGAAGTTAATATTTTCTGTATAATATCACGAATTATATATTTTAATAGCATTTCACACAAAAATAAATTAAAAATCTTATTTCATTTAAAAGTTATTAAAACTTTAAATTTTTTGGCGGGTTTGATCGACACATCCTTGCACTTTCACAAATTTTAACTTTATTCTTAATCCTTAGGGAAAGTGGCAATCTTGTGTATTAATGTGAAATATTAAAACTTAAATCCAGAAAAATAATTCTATTCAGAGTACATCTTCGCTAGCCAAGGGTTTCTGATACGCTCCTCTCCTCATACACCCTTGGCCTACGGTGTTCATAGAAATTGGGATTTTTTTCCAGAGTTCTGATTGGATTTCAGTACACCCAGGTTGACCAATCAGCAATTGTTTTTTGTAAATGACGATATTTGCGTTCGGGATACATTCTTCACTCTTTAATCTCGGAAAGGAAAAATGCAGGTAAACAGCGTTCCGTAAGATAACATTCAATTCTATGAATAGCCATGGTGTCCTCCAATATCTTCTAAATATGTGATTAAGAATCTATATTGAAGCTTCAGATTTGTTCTATAAATAATGAATTAACATAACTCAATTATTGCTTCTTAATTATTTTTGAAAAAACTTTTATTTAATTTTTTTTAACACGTGTCTTTATTTCTGGCGATGACGCAATCTGTGCGTACCTGATAGATTCGAGATCACGTGACGGAAAACAATCCCGTCTTTTGACTTCACCGTATGCCAAGGGTTTATGAGGAGAGGAGCGTATCAGAAACCCTTGGCTAGTGAAGATGTTCAGAGTAGAAATGTTAGAAAGCAAAACTCCTTCACAAGTATCGTCATTCCATTGTGTACAGAGTGTAGCAAATCGAGCACACTTGTGTTATGTACACAGTTTTTGTAAACACGGCACGGGCTCTGTTATTGTTTGATGTTTACGATTCACCGGGTGCGTTCAATCGCCAAAGTCTGCTCACCACAACTGCACGGACTGACAATTTATTGTGCGTTTGTTTTGCTTTCGAACATGTCTACTCTGAATTTTCTGGATTATAGTATATTATTTTTCATTAATACACAACAAGATTGCCACTTTTCCTTTAGGATTAAGAATAAAGTTAAAATTTGTGAAAGTGCAAGGAAGTGTCAATCAAACCCGCCAAGAAAATTAAAATTTTAATAACTTTTAAATGAAATAAGATTTTTAAATAGTTTTTGTGCGAAATGCAATTAAAATATGTAAGTCGTAATATTATAGAGAAAATATTAATTTCAAATCTGTGTCCAAGTACCTTTAAAGATGTTATATGCAAAGGTCCTAATAATTTCAGTTCTCTGGATAGCATATGACAACAGGTGTACAAACAAAATTGCATACATATACCACTAGGTTATTGCTAGAAGCATCATAGGCTTTATAATTTCATGCTTGCATGCATCAATTATAAACTGCTTTGTTCTGAGTATGCTGTGATACAACACATGTACATGTAGTACGAAAATACTTTTATGAGTTGCAAGATATCGTCTTATCTTGATATGGCAAGTAGTTCTTTAAAACAACTGGAGTGCCTCTGCAATCGATAACAAACAAAAGTGTTAAAAGACAATAATTTATTATCCATTACATGAATAAATAATTTGTGTTGTGTATGACGGTATCATTGAATCTGACCAATAGATTCTAGAAGGCTTGAAATTGCATGTGCATATTTTGTTTTGTAATCTCCTTAATTTAATATTCTTAATTATACTCACTCAAATGTAGACAATTCAATAAAAAAATTATACACATATGCACAAGCATATGATACAAAATTTTCTAAGGTAATCTTGTCGCTAACTTATAATTTATAACAGATAATCTATTTTGAGAGATAATTCATTATTGCAAAATTGATATTGGGAGTATTTCTTTAAATATCCCTAAAACCCCATTTATAAATAGCTAGAACGAAGGTGGTATAAATTTGGCCCTCTGCCCAGCCCCACTAGCTGGCTTGCTGCCAAACCAGGACATTTTCCATTCTAGTGTCTCTCTTATAAGTTTCTGTTCCTCAGCACTAAACTTCAGCAGAACTGACACAGCTCGTATTAGCTGAATGGCCTGAAAAATAAAAAAAAAATGTCAGTGAGTTTCTTTACAAAATCCTAAGTGAAATTTGCTTCAGTCTACATAAAAATATTTAAGATATTAAGTAAGCAGACTGTATTTGAGAAAATTGGAGATCACTAAGAATTATATGGAAATGCTCAACTCTGTTTCCACATGCATTAAAATAATTCTGTTTTAAAATCAACAAATACAAATACTTGCTGTATTTTTACTAATTACTAACATACAAAATGTAAGTAAAGAAGTACATGTATTTCATTTTAAAACATATAAACAAAGTTAGTTTCCTATGCATTTTTCTTACCTCCGCCTCTCGACTCAGCATAAACTTCATCACAACATGTTTGAGGTACTGGAAATTGATATCCTTCTCCAAAGAGTTCATGTTAGCAGCACTATTGAGAATATTCCCCCTCCCCTCAATGCTGTCTTGTAAACTTTTAACTCTTTCATGAGTCTGTGTTATATGCTGAACACTACTAATGTCATGTAGAACTGCTGGAGAACTGGGAGTTAGACTTGTCTCCCCTGATGGAACAACACTGGAATAATTCGGTGAGGGTGGGGTCCTGCCCCTTGCACCTCCATTATGAATACCGTCCAACTGATGCTGCTGACTTTGTGGAATCTGGCTTGTTGTTACACCACTTTGCTCACGTAATGGTGACTGCGATCTTATGTTCATTGGCTGATCGTTCGGTAGGGCCTGCACCTTTAACTCTCTCTGTAACGTCTTTTTTAAATCACTAAGTCTCTGTTCCTGTTTTTTCAGTGCCTTGTTCTTGTCAGCCACTTGGTCCTGTAAGTCTGTCACTTGCTGTTCTAGTTCTGTTATTTGACTGTCATGACTGGATTGCTGCTCCTGGAGTGTTTCATATTCCTGAAGTTTCGTGACTAATTCACCAATTCTACTCTCTGAAGTTTCGATTTTCTGCAGTAACTCTTCTTTTTCAGTGTCTTTTTCACTGTTATCACTATGTAATTGTTGTATCTGTGATTCCAAATCTTTCTTGACTTTCATCAATTCTTGTGAAAGTTCAGCATTACGGAGACACAGTTCATCTTTCTCTGATTGAAAAAATACATTTTTGACTTTTCAGTAATGCATTACATTATGGAATCCATTTATTCTTTAATATAATCTGAACATGCTGCATGTTTGAGCAACTGGCCTCTATCTAAAATCTATAGGAGTGTGTTCTAATTGTCCAGTCTATACAATGTCTGCACATCTATACGTGGCAAGTTCTCATATTTGGTAAAAGAAAAGGTGTTTTTACATGAAAATAAACTATTCTGACCCCAGACTTTACTACAAGATATTCAACTTGCATCACCCTAGTCATTTATATATTATTAAGTTATATCACCAAACTTTAGGTAAAGTTACCCCCCCCCAATGAGTTTTTTCATCTGATTATTCTCCACTTGTATAGAAAGTATGAAATGTAATGATAATGGATAACTTTTCTAACTGCTGACCTTAATCTTTGACCAGTGAACCCCTCCCCCTTCCCCCCAAAAATGTAAATGTCATCCTGAAATCCTGTTCAACCTTTGCAGTAAAGAAGTTGTAGATAGACAGATTCAGAAAATACAAGGCAACTGGACTTTGATACAAGGCAGTTACAAATATGATATTTTTTTAATATCCTTAAGCAATACCTTTACTACATGAAGAAAATTCTTTTTCCCTTTCCCTTGTAGATTTCTTTGTGTCCGACATTTCAGTTTTCATGGATATTATAATTGCCTCTTGTTCCTTAATCTACGGGGAAAAAATGGCAAAATACTGATTTTTTAATTTTTTTTTTTGAATACACGTATTTACATTTGTTAACACATGTTTTAAAGTAAATTCTTTATCAGATTGTCTGTTAAAATGACACATTGATATGCAGTTTATTATCTAGTGGGTTTTTTTTTCTTTCAAATCCAAAAGCATTTCTTGGATCTTCAAAACAAGAAGAGTCTATCATCATTCAGATTTCAAACTTTTGTGCTTTTTTTTTTTATTATTGGGGGGATGCATATAGCAAACATACATGTACCTTTTCTTGAGATTCTTGATTCATTTTTTTCTGATGTTCCATCTGACCTTTCAAAGTCTTTACTTCACTTGTCAGTGACATGACTTCACTCTACAATAAAATTTAGGAATATTAATGGCAGCTGAAAGAAAAGTTAGATTGCTAGGATTTTTGAAAAATATAATCTTGATGAAATAAATTACAATATAGTAGTGCAATGCTATCAGTTCATCAGGCAGTTCAATACCATGTGTTTGTTTTTCTCTTCCTCGAGTTCTTCCATTTTCTTCTCGAGGTGAATAAGTTTATCCATGTTGTCCTGTAGCTGGCTCTCATACTGTGACTGTCAAAGACAGAAAAGCACATGTTATGAACTACACTGTACAGAACAGTTAAAAAAGATACTATAAAACAATATCAGAAATGCTTAATGTCTTGAAGTTGCTCAGCACTTTTAATCTCATAGTAGAGTTGCCACAATGATAAATAATTTAAGAGACTGTAAATGAACATTTTTTCACAGGGTCGTAACCCTGCAGAATCATATCCGGTAATTTCTGCCCAATTTCTGTTCAATTTCTGTCTTCAAAAAATGCTTGTATCTTACCATTTTGATTTCTGAATTATCTTTCTCATGCTCTTTTGCTTCCTCTAGACTTAGCATCTGAGATTCCAAGGAATCTATTTTTGCTCGTAAATTATTTTCCATGTCAATCTTCTCAAATTTCACTTTCTGAAGCTCATTTTCCAGCTCTGTTCTCTAATGATAAAAAAAAAGTATCATTCAACATGATCTTATCCATTAAAATGAATTTATTATATACCCATCCCAGCTAAATATAATAAAAGAATATTTTTTGATCAGTTATACAGCATTTGCTCATTTAACAATACATTTTCTACAGAAACTTTTAATCATCTACTCTTTTTCACAAATTTTTCCTGATGTTTTTTAATCAGCAGAAACTGGTATTGAATCAAAATTGGTGAATTATTATGGAAATTATTAGGGTTTAGTAAAATACTGTTACTAGCAAATGTATTTAACATGGTACACTAATACAACTTTTCTAAACGAACCTCTTTTCCAAAAAGCTGGTCTTTCTTATTGGCCAACTGCCAGTTTTCCTCCACTCTCTTCTCAGCATCATCAAGTTTGTTTTGAAGTTGTTTGATCTACAACAATAAAAATACCAAGACTATAATCTACTGTACCTTTTCCTCATTAACAAAATACATTATTATTACATTCCAATTTTCTTTTATATGGTCCATCTTATTAGATTGCTATATGTCACTTGGTCCATCTTATTAGATTGCTATATGTCGCTATCTCATTTTTAAGAAAACACTTCTTAACAGTGGTGTGTCCTTTTTAGCACAAATTTTATTCCCATAAATCGAGTCCCTCACCTGTGCTGTGAATGTCTCGCGGACAGTCTCGGTGAGTTTCTGGCTCTGTGCCAGCTCCTCGCTGTCCTCGATGATCTTCTGATTGAGATGCGAGATCTGTTCCTCCAGGTGAGATATCTTGTCGCTCCAGGTGGACTTGATCTCGGTCAACTGCTGACGGCTCTCCTCCAACCTCTGCTCTAGTGTCCGCCTCTATTTGATCAAACACAAAATTCTTATTCTATTCTATTGTTACATATATTGCAAGTAAAAAAGTAAAAAAGGTGATTTCTGAAAAATACTGCCCTATAAGGTAGGCTGAAAAAATGTTTCTTTTTAAATCAAATTTTATTTCTTTGTTCATATGAGTGAAGAAAGGATTACAAACCTAAATTGCATTCATTTCATTTAATCTCATGAATGCGTTTGATATCAAATAATCTCATTTACATCAATAATAATCCAATTTTCAAAAACAATTAATTTGTCATTAGACTCTAGACAGAGTGAGTTTTATTCCTAATGTTACCTCATTTTCGATGGCTCTTGTTTTGTCATCTCCCTCGAGATTCTGGTCCTGGAATCTCTGTTCTAACATCTGGATCCTCTCCTGTAACTTTTCTATATGGTCATCCTTCTCTTCCAGAAGCTTAGTGGTCTAAAATGAACAAAGAAACTCATGAAGAGAGTTACATGTATTCCATGTGTACATGTGTGTGCATATATAAGTTGGTTTTGAATAATCAAAATGCATTTTAATCCAGACTGCTTAAATAAAACTTTTATCAAAGATATATCATTGTTGAAGCAAAAATTCACAATCCAATCAAGAACACTTCCTTGACCTATAACTCGGATATTAGGATTTCTCACCTTATTCTTGTGATGGTCAAAATTTCTGATCATCCCTTGATGCTGATTTTCCAATTCTGTCTTAGCTTCTTCTAAGGAGGAAATCTGTGTTGTCTTCTGTTAAAAAATAAATTGAACAGTACAATAAACACCACCTTGTAAACAAACAAGGCAGAAAAGAAAAAAGAAGTCTTTTGTGTCACTTATTAATATGTGGAGCTATAAATACTTACGAATAAGATGACATTTTGATTACCACTAGTATCCTTGAATTTACCTCTGTTAATTGCCCTGTTAATTGGTCTATCTTCTTTTCTAGGGACTCTTTCTCTGTAGTTAGACTTCCCACCAACTGGGTGTGGGACAAGTTCTCTTCTGTTAACATTTCACTGAAATATAACAAAATCACCTTTAATTTAAGCTGAATGATGTTATCATAAAGATAAATGAATCACAAATGTAAGAAAATTCAAATATAAATTTATCAAAGTCTGAAAATTTATTTGAGATAGAATGACAGTACATGTAGTAAATAAAATAAACAAGAAATTCTGATGTATGCTCCTTTATCCCATCATTCGAAGAAGAAATTACATGCATCTCACTGCATGAAGCTTGCAAGTCATTTGATTAGGGAGAACTGAAAAACTGGGGGAAAAAATTACAAAACCTTTAATATTCAGATTTAAAATCTAAAGAAAGCTGACCAAAAGCAACTAGTGTTTATAGAAGGACAAAAATGTGATCTTTGCTAACCATGTTTGCTGTAGTTCTTGTAGTTTAGCCTGTGCTTCTTTGACTTCCTGTTCGAACTTTTCACTCGTCTTCTCCACAGATTGTAACTTGGAGGACTTCTCCTGAAGTTCTGCCTTCACTTTGGTCAACTCTTCTTGTGTATTCAACAGCTAAAATAAATAAAGGCATACAAAGTTTAAGCATTTTGATTTTGAAGGATTGCACATGCATTTTTAAAATTAGACGCAACTGCATTCTTAACCTTATATATATAGAAATGCAAATATACATTCAAAAACTTGCAAGAAAATGCACAAAAAAAGCTTATCATATTTTTGCTATTAAGATAAAATATGTGTATATCTTTTGATGTATCATATCTTATTTTATTATACTTTCATGTTAAATACTAAAATCTGATTGGTTTAGACGCAGTTAACAATCCGTTCTATTACCCTCAGCCTTAGTAACACACGTGACAACGGGTAACACAACGGTAATGTCACATGCGTGGAAATTATGCGCGTACGGTTCACCGTAAAATTCTCAAAACGTGCGTTTGAAAGAACCGGAATAAACTTGACGTTAATAAAAGCTTGCGTCCGATGTAGCTTACTTGAAAACAACAAACGGCAGACGAAACATGTTTGCGAGTGCAGAAATAACGAAACTTTAGATGATAAAGGACTCTTAGAGTATCAAATAAACAATAAAGAGGTCAGTAAATCTTTTTCGAAGTAGCGTGGAGTTTGAAAGCTTTCTGAACATGAACGTAAAGACGATCGACGATTTTTTTTTCTGACATCCTAAATCAAGAAGACATTCAGTATAATAAAATAAATAGTGCCTGTTTTGGAGGGTAACAGTTGAAATTGACGCCCCTCGGAAAACCATTGTCAACCTCCGCTGACGCATCGGTTGACAATGGTTTTCCTTGGGGTGTCAATTTCAACTGTTACCCTCCAAAACAGGCACCATTTATATAATATAACATACCAGGTGCTTGACTTTGGCCATCTCCTGAGCTGCCAGGCCCTGTAATTCATCTGTCTCTTCATCTCGCTCAAATTGTTTGGTTTTCTCATCTTCTAGTTGTTTAACCCTGTCAATCAGAGTTTGTTTTTCCTACAACATTTAAACCAAGAAACAAATGAAGCAATGCCCCACAGCGCATGTAATTTACATAAGATGAAATAAGCATCGTGTTATTTTCGCCCTTTCACACTTGCAAACAATTTTGCCTGGTTTTATATTCGCACATTCATAGTTTTCTTTTAGAAATTATACTGCATTCTTTGAATTTGCACTGTTTTAAATTCGCCCAAGTGAGGATAGGGCGAAAGGGGCAAAAATAAAATGGGGGCCAAAATTTCCCTATATACAGTACCTCATCCTTTTTCTGTAGAGCCAATGTGAAGCCTTCAGAAAGCTTGGCTCGGCTCAGCTGATACTGCTCATTCTGTTCCTGTATCTTCTTGTCTGTAGCTAAAAATAGAAACATTCTGATTAATTACCGGTATGCTGTTCTTAAAGCAAGAAGTCTTATCTAGATTCTAAATTAGCCGTGTTGTTTTTGGATTTGAGTTTAAAAACTGAATCCATGTTTTTGAAACCATGAATTGATTAACCTCTGGAAAAATTCTAATAAGGTCCAAATGGGTTACAAGTGCTCTTAGTACACATGATTTTCTGTTTTTTCATTTAGAGCAAACAAAAACAAAACAAAATACCCCTCTTCTTTGGAGTGGGGGTATAATTACAACAAAGTCAAGATCTGTACAAAAGTAAAATGTTACCTTTTATTCTTTGTTATCACAAGATTCTAAATAAGTCTCACATAATGGACTTTTTATGCATGCATACCTTTTAATACAGTTCAGAGCACTAGAGTAGCAACTAAATAAATCTAAAGCTGATCAACACTGAGATTCAAAATTGCTCAGAACATTCAAAATTTAAGGACTTTTCTCAATTCTACACTTTCTTTCATTTAGAGGATAATCAGGTAAATGATCTGTTAAAATCAATCGGTTTTCTCTCCATTACGTATACCCAACATTCAACCTGTGGGAGCATTCATCGAATCAAGCTATTGGCCACTCATTCCAAGAGAAGTTCATTACAATTTCATATCAACCAATGTACCAAACAGATTTTCTCACGAATAATTCATAAGAATGAGCATGATGCGATGAATGCTCCCATGGGTTGAATGTAGTGTAACGGAGGAAGAAAAAAACCTGTGGGTTCTGACGCTGTTTTAAATACACACCCTTGACTTTGTCACTCTTTCAAAAATTTCAAAAGTGACCTCACCTTCCTGTTGCTTCTCAAGACTGGCCTCCAACTTCTCAATCATTTTGTTTTTCTCCTTGATTACCGATGCATATTCTGTGCATAGAAAAGAAAGTATATGTGACTCAGTTCAGCAGTATGAAAAAGTCATCACACATCCATTGGCATTTACTTCAAAACTAATACTTCCCTTTTGTCAATTTATTTAAGGACTTTAAGATTTTTTTTAAGTCAAGATATGTATCAACACAGATTCTACTGAACCTGTAACACATGTAGATACCTCTATAAGAGATCTTTAGATTACTCACCACTTATTTTACTTTCCAGCTTTTTGCACTGCTCTGTCCTCCTGACCAGTAAATTCATCACCTCCTCTTTAGTTCCTACTGTCTCAGGATTCTAAGATTTATTAATTCAACACATGGTGAAAAATGTCACTTAGTACTAGATATGCAAACAGTAATTCATTTATCTACATATGGCACACCAAATTCACAAAAATGAGCTAAACATAGTTTTGCAATTGATAAACTAGGTTTACTATCTGTAAACTATAGTTTATCAACTGTGAAGTATAGTTAACAATTTGTTAACAGTTTTCATCTGTAAAACTATATTTAACGGTTGTTAATTATAGTTTCAAATGCTAATCTAAGTTTATCTGTCTGTGATAAAATGTTAACAATAGATTTTGTTGATAAACACAGATTCACGTCTGTAAACTATAATTTACAATCGTGAACTATAGTTAAGAGTTGTTAATCATAGTTTCACAAATCGTGAAACTATATTTATAGATCATTAACTATAGTTAGATTTGTAAACCATAATTTACAAATAGTGAAACTGTATTTATCAGATAATCTATGTTTTGCAATTGCAAATGATTGTTTTCAGTGTTAAGAATAGTTTACGGTTCTGAAACATAGATTATTACATTAACTATGGTTTACAGATGTAAAATATAGATTAACGTTGTTAACTATAGTTTACAGTCCGTAAACTAAAGTTTACAACCGATAAACCTAGTTTATTGACTGTGAAACTATGTTTAGCTCATTTTTGTGAATTTGGCATGCCATATCTACAGCATTACTTTCTTTACATAAACAGTACCATGATGTCAATTACCCCCACTCCCCTTTTGATCCCCCTCCACATTAGTTTTCCACCCCTTATACAAATTACCTCCTCTTGTGTTATGGGAGATTGTGGTGTATCAGCCAACTCCTCCCCAAATGAAGTCTGAAGAGAACTGATCCCTGTGAAAAACATAAATACAGTATAATGATAGGTCCATTATAACAAAAACATGTGTCCACTTACTCATTGTTTAAATACACACCTACACACCATCAGTAACGTACAGTTCTGTGATCAGTAAATAGCAAGTAATCTACAATTCTGTGATCATTAAAGCAATATGAGCTGCATTTTTGAAAATTTTATTTTGCTGGTAAAATGTGTTATTATGATTAATCTGTATGTAATCTAAACCCCTATGATCAATACAACCAAAATAAAGTTTAAAAAATGTTTCATTAGAAATATTTCAGTACAACTGAATATACATTATTATATGAGAAATCATTATTGTACAGGACGACAACAATACAATTTTGCTTCAATCAAAGCGAATAAAAAGTTCCTTCATTTCAAATATGAACAACAGAATATCATAAATGTTCCATTTTTCTGTCATTGAAATAGTTAATGACAAATTTGCAATTTTTTTTTCTAACCACAAACATGCAGCTCATATTGCTTTAAAAAGCAAAGACCCTAGACATCAGTAAATGTGTATCATTTTGACCAAGTCTGATTCTTAAATCTTGTTGCAATATGGAAGAAAAAGTTAAAATACAGACAACACTACTTCAAATCTTAGATTATGTCTGTACTGTTTAGGAATTTATTTCAAACAAAATTCAGAAAAACAATTCCCCCCCCCCCCCATTTTTCAATAAAATTTAAACAACAACTTGCCTTTCAAAGCCTGCCACTACAAAAAAATTAAATACCTTTCCTAGGTGTTGAAGCATTTCCACTGGCATTTAACTTCTCAGCATCAGGAACATTCCCGCCTTGCTCTTCTATTTTCTTCTTCAACTTTGCAAACATATTTTTTTTCTTTCTGCAAAATGATTATTAAAAATTGAAGTCAAAACTTTTATTTTTTCTTATCACTTGACCATTCAAGCTATGATTAGTGTATGTATCTTGCATGTGTAACCTACCCAACTTTAAAAGCACCTTTTATTCTACAAGGGCAGGCTAACAAAGCCAAACTCATGGTAACACTTTCCTAAACAATAATATTCACATGCATGCTAATTCCAGGTGATCTTACTTAATTATAGCGAACATGTGATTTTCAATTTTATAGTTTGTAAAGCAACCTGTGCTTACAAGCTCATAATCAGTGTGTCAAACAGGTTGGGTAAAGCCTTAGGATAAAACATTCTATCATTAAAATTATATTGTCCAACGGACCTGTTTTATCGATAGAATTCATTCCATGTATTGCCTACATAGCAAAATAAACATGGGTGATGACTCAAAATCAGTGCATTTACTACGAACAATCCAGAGAATTCCCAATGTCAACATGGCGTGTAAATCTGAAGCAAGGAAAAAACGTTTAGATAATAAGTTGGATTTTCATTTTTATATGAATTATTTTTTAGGATAAAAGGCATATACCATCTCAATAAGGTTTGCTTTGATGAATTGATAGTTATTTTCAATGCAACCCGTTTTGCATTCTTCAAAATCATTTCGAAGCGTATCCACTCCGATTTGCTACAGTGCAAATATATCATTATAATATATGGGACGTATTCCAACTGTGGTGAGGGCTTGTCCCGAGACACAGTTATATTATTCTAACTAGGTGAAGCCTGACTAGCAAGCTCCGTTTTTCTCTAAAATTCTCAGTAATTTGAGGTCAATGCACTTTTCCCATGCTTTACAAGCTTCTAGTTATCATGGTTATATCATCCTCTTGCATGCATATCAATATTTTTGTTTTCCAAGACAGTAAAGGTGATATTTGCGCGTTCTTTGCATTTTATATGATGAAAAATTAAATTAACTAGTGTTCTAATGATTTTGAAACTGGTTAGTAAAGATCTCATGCACGTTTTAGAGCTTTACCTACCCGTTTTCTTCCAATCGACTTCTCTGTCTATTCCATTATTAGTGCCCCATTATTATTATACAGTCTCGTTTGGGCCACGAAACTAACTTAATAAAAATCAACAATAAAGTTTAATTGTCATACATTTTCTTTCATGCACAAACGACTAATCCTTAAACAAATAAAGGAAAACATTCAATAAAACTGTCAGCCGACCGACAGCCAGCTTGGCAAACGGAAGTCGACATGTCAGGATCAATGCAAATGTCGAACCCGAACTAATAAAATATAGGGAGATAAAGAACACCATTCTTGAAAGCTCAAAAGTCCATTAAACAATACAAATAGGAGCAGAGAAATAAATTAAACACGGACCTCCAAAACTTCAGAGGGTGCGACTTTTTTTTTTTGCAAAGATAGACAGGCGTAGCCTCCCCCCCCCCAACTTTCAACACACGTGTACAGATTTCAGTGTATTCAAAAAAGGTAGAAGTAGAAGTAGAAGGTAGGTGGTGGGGTTTTGAAAAAAATACAGAAAGAACTGAAAGAAGTTTGATAAAAACCAACCCAGCCCCCCTAAAATATGATTTTCGCGTTCGTACAATTTCCTATAATTTTTCCAGTCCTTTTTTTTTTTTTTTTTTTTTGCTTGTCAGTTTTTTTTCAGGTTTGATTTCTAGATTTCTTTCAATTAGCACACCTTTTAATTTGCTCCCGACGCCAATTAATATATATTGGTCTAACAATTTGTATGAAAAACGTCAGTCAGCATTTGACTTGATGACAAATTGATCAGTGCTCCTTGTCATAATCGGGAAATAACGAAATATCCGTCCTCAATTAAGTGTATAAATAATAGACTAACAATTAGTATGAAAAACGTCAGTCAACATTTGACTCAATGATAAATTGTATTTGCTGACAAGGTCATTGTGCCGACCATAGAACTTACGAAATGATGACTTAAAAATTATCGCCACAGATGGCCACAGAAAGCGTTTCTTCATTTCACGCATGATTTTGGACAAATACTGCTTCATATAAATTCAAAAATAGGTCTACTAATAACGGGGCGCAATTGGTACCCATGGAAATTCCAATATACAATAAAACATTTTACGACGACAAAATGAATTTTGCAACCATTTTAAGGGTATTTTATATGTCAAAAGTACTTGTCCAATATGCTATAAATTCGGACTGTAAGTCAAATTATTAATATAGAAAAAAATCGTTTAATTTCGAAACATTTTCACCATTGATATTAATTCATTGCCTTCAAACGCTTTTCTATAGACAGTTTGGCAAAGAAAAAATGGGGGGGGGTCAAGGTCGGGGAAACACTTCCAAGGTTAACCTTTGATATTTAGAACCCACTATAAAAAATATTTCTCGGCGTGCCAAAGCTATACCAAAGTGATGATAAATCAATTTTCTCCAGTCCAAGTAATATCTCTGATGTCTTTCCAATACTAGTAGACATTTTTTATTATATAAACTAATTTTAGTGTGCATGATCTTAAAATAACGTCCTTTCAAAAATCCTTTCTCTGATGTTCTGAGTATACAATACACCACTAATGAGATTATTTTAAAGATCTCCATAGTCATGCCAGAGATCATCAATACCTGTTAAAATTTTATGAATTTGCCCATTGTGTGCCTCTAGTTAATTACCATATTAAAAAAAAATTATTTTCTTCAGTGTTAATGCATCAGTTACTCAATTTAAGATCTTTATGGAATACAAGAAAATATATTCGATACCTAAGTAGTCAATAAAATGTGTTGTTTTTCTTTGTTATTTTGGTCCGTCCCATCGCGTCTGTCACACTTTCTTTCTTCTCAAAATGGTACATTTAAAATAAGCAAAAGCCTTGACTAATCTTTGGAATATCATTAATGGTGCATTGAACTGTGAACACGTGTAAAAGATTGAAAATTTTCATTTTCGCTCAAAGAACCAATTGGAGGTATTAAAGTATTTTTTTTGTTAAAACCCGATTCCATTATTAAACTCGCTTTAAATTTTGTCGCAGAGCTCTTGTATGTATTGGATAGTCTTTGGAAGTGTGCTGCAGAAGTGCAATAAGATTTCGGAATTTCGATTTTCTCCGGGGGATTTCAAACACGACGTTTTCCTGCAAAAACCAAATTTCGAGAACTATACTTAAAATTCAACGAAGAAATGGGAGGGGGGGGGTCCCTCCGATACTTTTGCCAATCTATAGAAAACTACAGAAAAGATGTTTTATCGTTTTGGAATTGCAGTTTTGATCCAAGGGGTACTACGGGGTTAAAAAAGTCGTTTTTCTACAAAAACTCATTCCTTCACTGACCCCACTTATATGTTTCGAAGTAGACTATTGAATATGGAGATAACGAACAGTACTAGTAAGCAATTCGGTGTTTTGATATAAGTACAATTACTAGCCTAGTTTTACGGGAAACTCATTTAAATTAGTGTTTACGGATAAACGTGAGAAAACGTTAAGCTGCTGTGAAAAATAATGATCAAGTAATGATCTAAGAGTTCTCTCACTGAAATAAAATGTGGTCACAATTGTTTTTTAAAAACTAATATTTAATCCATAAACGTAAACTAGTGAAAAGCTAAATAATTATCAAAACTTTTGTTTTCGTGCATTAATGATACTGTCGTTTAGTAATTATTGAATTAGAAATTCACATAATGAGTACACGACAATTATTGTCGTTACTCATTATGTGAATTTCTAATTAAATAATTACTAAACGACAATATTAATTTTCCTGGATGTTTGAAATGAAAGTCCAGAGTTCTGTTTTAATCTAAACATTTAGATTAAATTTTCAAAAGTTAAGTTAATTCGGAATAAAGCAAAAAAATGAATTTTGCATTAAAAACATAATTGATTAATTGCCATGTAATTGTTTTACGAGCATACAAAAAATCATTCAAGGCTAATTTTAAATCAATAATAAGAGTACCCATTATTTCGATGCTTTTTCTGATTATTTTATACTTTGTTGACTTATTAGTTGATGGCTAATGGCATCTACATTTAGTCTAAAGTGCTAGTCAGGTTAAACAATCATAAAGCGACCATACAGTTGTGTTTTTATTCTTAAAAAAAAGAAATAATGAAAAAATAGAACCAGACATGACATTCTTTATTTGTTTTTATTTATTGATGTGGACTCAACATGCTATCTCTCTTTTGTTATTGTTGCTTTTCAAATGAACAGATGAAAAAACACGCATGCTGCTTTAAATTCAATCTAGGTCTTGCACCTTTATATCTTCTGATCGACGCTTCTTTAGTGTCACTTCCTGTCTGTGACGCGTATGTTTCATTTTATAAAATTAGCTTTCACTTTTTCTTTTATTGAAATTTTGACTAATGTAGGAAATTTTGTAAGCTCCCTGGAATGTTCATGCAGGCTTTAGAGTGGGACGCTACAAGTAAATATTGACAGTAATGAGAACTCGTGTACTAAAATCCTCGGTCTTCTGGTAATGAGGAAAACATAAAATTGATCTTGGTTTCGTCTCAAGTATATAATTATATATCTTAACTTATGTATAAATAGCATTTACCAAATGTTACCCAATGTTACCCAACGAAAGGTTGTATTTACAAATAGCATTGCTAGAACGATCGAAACATTTGCGAAAATGAATTTGATAACTGCATCTGTTTAAAAATTGATCGTACTCCGAAAATACTCTTGAATCGGAAACTTTATGCATTATTCCTGTATTGAAAAGTATGGCAAGCCCTTGTACTATAGAAAAGCCTGACAAAAATTTCTGTTAACAGGAAAAAAGATCGCAAATTTGTTTTTTTTAGTCGATTCCGATCTCAAGCCTAAAATATTTCGTGTCAATATCAAATTTCAATCTATATTTGATACAACACTAAATTTTAATATCCTGTTTCAATGGAAAAGTAATGTTATTGCTTTTTCTACTCGAATGAACAAATTCTGTGAATTTAAAGAAATCTGCTATATAGCGATATGCTCATTATACCCCCGCTCTAAGTGGGAGGGTATATAGTGATCGGGATTTCCGTCTGTATGTCCGTCCGTCTGTTACGCTTTGTGGTACCCATCTCAAGGTCAAGGTCAAAGGATCAAAGTTGTTGATATCCAATGAAAAGTCTTCTCACAAGGATTATATATTTGAAGTTTGAAAGTCCTAGCCCTTACCGTTTAAAAGTTATTACCAAGGTTAAAGTTTTTTCGTAAGTACGGAAATCTCCAAGGTCAAGGTCAAGAGGTCAAAATTGTTTCAAATGAAAGACCTTGCCAAAAAGAATTGATAATTGAAATATGTAAATTCCTAGTATCTACCGTTTAAAAATTAGGACCAAAGTAAAAGTGTGGAATTTTTGTGTAAACGTGAGTCAAACTCAAACGTCAAGGTCAAGGTTCTTGATATCAAATGAAAGGTCTTGTCACAAGAATTAATATGTGAAGTATGAAAGCCCTAGTTCTAACCCTTCAAAAATTACGATCAAGGTTGTATTTTAAAGTAGGTCAAACTCCAAGGTCAAGGGCAAAGGGTCAAGGGTCTTTTCACAAGAATTACATATGTGAAGTATGAAAGCACTGGCACTTATCGTTCAAAAATTATAGTCAAGGTTAAAGTTTTTTCATAAGTACAGAAATCGCCGAGGTCAAGGTTGTTGGTATCAAATGAAAGGTCTTTTCACAATATATATATATGTTAAGAATAAATGTCCTGGTATTTACTGTTCAAAAGATATGGCTAAAGTAAACGTTCAAAATTTTTGTGTAAAAGTGGGTCAAACGTCAAGGTCAAGAGGTTAAATTTGGTGGTACCCAAAGAAAGGTCTTCTCACAAGGAATACACATGTGAAATATGAATGTCATAGCTCCACTAAATCAAAAGTTATGGGCAAGGTTAAAGTTTTTGCGGACAAACAGACAGACAGAGAGACAGACGGACGGAAACGACAAAAACTATATACCCCCGAAACTTCGTTTACGGGGGCATAAAAATAAGTTCAGTATGCCCCATAACGAAAATATTGCTTTACTTCTTCCTCCCTATTATAGATTTACTTCCTGCCTGTGACGATGTTTTTAATTCATCAAATTAGCCTTCACTTTACTTTTGTTGAAATTTTGACTAAGAACTGCGAACTATAGAATTGTTCTCCCGCCTACCTCCAATTCAATTTTCAAAAGTTAACACATTCGATGAATTTTCAATTTATAGATAATTATCAATCTCCCATGCAGAGTTGTCGTTCGTTCCTCTCTCAGACACCTCTGCAATGGGCTCACGTCAAGATTTTTGACATAACGTATAAAACGTGATATTTGCAGGATTGTTTCAATTAATAGTTCCGGATTGATTTAGTTAATATATTTCTCAAAACTCAGACATAAGCATAGAAATTGAATTGTTATGAATTTAATCAAACGCACTATTTCTCGTGTTTATCACTGTTATATACGCGAGCCAACGACAGAGGTGAATGTATGAGCCGATGGTAGAGAGTGGATAATTATATGGATTTTCATGAAACATTACTTATTTGGGAAAACAAAGAGAGATCACTCTAAACTTTTGGTAAAACTTGTGTTTTTTCACTATAGAAATCAACGGAAAACGGAAATATTTTTAAAGCACCCCCCCCCCCCCCGTGACACAAAAATTTCTTTTTACAGGTAATATGGACTGCTATTTCACAAATTCACACCAAAGATTTTTGTGTGTCACGGGGGGGAACATATGTTTATTGAAAAAAACGACAAAAATGCTTATTTTTCACCGATTTCAAAGCGATTTACAACTGAAACCTTGTATATTATTAATATATTCATGTTTTATTTATTTACCTAAAACATAAGAAAAGGTACAAGGAACATTTTATCATATCCAAGTCTATTTCAAAATATGGTGATGCTTGAAAGTCCGATTTCAATAGAAAATACCGTCTACCCCCCTTTTTTCAAGAGCTGGAGTTATGGATAATTTACTATTTGGCGCTGGTATTAAGACAATTCATCAATTTCCATTGAACTGTTCTTTGTATTAAACAAAGAATTTATGGCCAAATTGCCATTTATATTGAATTAAATGGTTGCAAAATGTAGGCGGGAATTGAGAGTTAGCGTTCGTATTTCTTTAGCAAGTGTTGTACCCTCCTCGGGAATGTCAATTCAGGCTTCAGAGTGGGACGCTACAAATACTGACAGTATTGAGAAATCGTATACTAAAATCCTCGGTCTTTCGATGATAAGGAAAACATAAAATTCATATTGGTTTCGTCTCAACAATATTAAGGGCAGATGATACAAACAATTTCTTTGGAGGAGACTTAATTTTATGTCACAGGTTTAGAAAAGTGGATAATTCTTTGAATTTTTTTATCCTTAGACTTGGAGAATGGTATACCTTCCATACCCCCCCCCCCTCCCCAAATTACAGAACTAGAGTAATTATGGTAAAATTGTTTAATCTTCATTCATTTACCTTCTTTTTTTCCTTCAAAAATGTGTCTAAAACCATCTTCGCTAGCCAAGGGTTTCCGATCCGAAATCTACTCTACATCTTCGTTGAAGAGTAGATTTCGGATCGGAAACCCTTGGCTAGCGAAGATGGTCTAAAAGAGCACACAGTGAACTGACATTATATTTACTCAATAACATGTTGCATTTTTCAGAACACGTTAGCTTGGTGCTAAAAGTTGGAAAACATACCCACCCCCTCAAGTTCTTTTTTTTCAGGCTGTGTGAAGTAGAAAAGTAAGTTCTCTACATTGGAACATACAGACAAAATTAAAATAAAAAAGCATTATATGGAAGGTGAAGAAAACAAACTGATCAAACTCAGAAATCCTTTATGAACAAGTCTAACTCACGATCCCCTGGAAATAGCTGAGGGTTAATCGGGTACCTGTAACAAGTAGTAAACATCCCTAATAACACACATGTCGTATGGCCTATGATGTATTTCCATGACCGTAGGAACAGGGGAGGGGCACGGGAGGGGACGTGTCCCCAATAATTTTGCCGATAATTATAAAAAAAAATCATAGCTACTATTTGCTTGTGGCACACTCATTATAAACTTCTGATGACCTTTTTTTTCTTTTTTGCTTGTCAAGAAATTTTTGGTAGTTGATTACGAAAACCCATTGAGCTCATTTTCGCTGGTTAAAAAAAGAAAGAAAAAATCGCTTTATAACGCAAAACTTTTGCGAATAAACGCGTAACTTTCGCGTTATAACGCGTAACTGATGCGAATAAACGCGAAGCGTTCGCGAATAAACGCGTAATTTTCGCATTATAACGCGAAACTTTTGCTATTTAACCGATATATTTGCATACGTTTCAATTTTCATTTGATTTTATGATCTATCGATTCGTTACAAATTTCCCTTCTACATCTTTTTTCCCGTCACATTTTGTGTTTCTCAATGCTGTTCAAACAATTCAAAGTCTATGCGAGTTTTACAAAAGTTATAGTTTTGAATTTAGGGGGAAAACCACCCTTTGTCGGTGTCATTTTTTTTTACACTCTCTGTAGAACTTGAAATAAAATTAAGATCTCAGAAAATTCATTGAGACTGGCAAAATGATGGTAAAGTTGTCAATTATGTCCTATTACATGTGTGACGTAATGAGAAAATGTTTAAAGGAATATTAATTTTATGAATTAGTAGGGGTTTCAAATAAAATGCAAAAATCTGAAGACTAATCTATCCTATTCTCGCGTCATTTCTCCTTTACATCTTCTGGGAAAAAGTCATTCATAAATTCGTAGAAAATCCCGTCTGCCTCCATGTTTCAAATCTGTTATTCAACTGTTCAAGATCAACAGTCTTTGAGTAACAATAATATATACAAAAATCTTCGCGATATACATGTAACGCGAAAATTTCGCTTTTATCGAAAGTTACGCGTTTATTCGCGAAAGTTCCGCGTTATAACGCGAAAATTTTATTGTTTTTAACCTAAGAAAAAGAGCTCAATGGGCCTCCGTACAACTACAATGTTTTTCAGAAGGTTTTTTTTTTCATTAGCCAATGAATCTCATTTCACTAGTCGGTGTTTTAACTTCTTTAATATGGCGAGAAACGTTAATTAAGTACATGTATTAATGTGTCGATCAAAACGTAATACACAATGGTATTCTTATGAACTGGAAATCTCCATAAATAATTACTTGGTTTCTTTGATGATTTAGATGAAATTTTAAACATATTGAGCATTTTTAGAACGTTTGAATGAAAACATTTTTTTAGTCCAAGCGTTTCACCTGATAAATCTAGTCTCTATTCAAAATGAAAATCTATATATTATTAAACAGTGATATATTGAAGGTTGATCATTATTAAGTCAGGATCATTCGAAGAAGTAATTCTTTAAAGAACATTAAGAAAATATTTGTGAAGACACGTTTATATTAATTGGGGATTTATTTTGTAAGCTTGAATGGTGTGGCAAGTCTGGAGAAAATAGTTTTTTTCACTTTGTTCTCCGTGTTCGATTCTTTAAAGGGGCATGGACACAGTTTCAACTGAATTTTTAAAACCAATTTTAATGTTTACAATTCCTACCTAAGGCATCATCTATTGATTAGCAAAAATTTGAACATCATTTGTTGATTAATGAACGAGATACAGAACTTCAACTTCTTCATAATGTAAACAAGGCTCGTGCCTTGTTTTTGTTTACATATAGAAACTATCATATTTATAGCAAAATTCAGCAAATCAATAGAAACTGTCGAATTGTATTTAAAATTAGCTTTTCATTGAAATTATCTACTTTGAACGAACATATATTAGTATCAGGTATATTAATCCATGTAAACAAAAACATGACACGGACCTTGCTTACATAACAAAGGTTTGGATCTCTAGATATGTCTTGTATCTCGACAACTGACGTTCAAATCTTGATTGATCATTAGAAAGACCCAAGCAAAATACTTGTAAAAATGGAAAAATAAATTTTGAAATTTTATCTGAAACTATGTCAATGCCCCTTTAAGTATTAATTATATACATGCAACCGCTACTTCAGTAAATAGCCGTATATAGATTGGGGATATAATAATAAAGATCACAAATATACTATCAGAAAATATGCTAAATCAAAAAGAGTTAATTTAGGCCCTGTCCTACCCTGGGGAGGGGGGGGGTCTGATTTGAACTAATACAAGAACCTCGGTTAACGTGCCTACGCTCCTCAGATAACTCGGACGCAGCGCCAAGACAAAAGTATCTCGCCGTGAACCTCAAGTAAGCTGAAGTAGATTTGAACAAGTTTGACCTCACGCTACCTGAGTATGCTTCTATATCACTATGACTAAACATGGTTTCGCTGTTCTCATGATGATTTTTTAAAGATCCCCCCCCCTATTTTTTCCTACATAAGTGTTGCCCCATCTTACCCCGAGGGACATTATTTGAAACTAACTTGAAATTTATGTGAAATCTTTTTTTCACACAGTTTAACTATATAAAAAAGATTTCACATAAATTTAAACTTTTTAGCGAGATGGTGTTTGAGAGGATGATGTTCAAATATACCACCAAAATTATCACACTTGCAAGAGGGCATAACCTTCATTTGAACAAACTTGAATACCCTTTACCTAAAAGTGATTTGTGTCAAGTTGTGTTGAAATTGGCACAATGGTTCTAGAGAAGAAGTCCGAAATGAGAAATGTTTACAGACAGACAGACGACTAAAAGAATGTGGTCAGAAAAGCTTATATAAGCTTTCAGCTCGGTGAATTTATTCATTACTTGGACCATAGTTGTGTGATTAAATATCGGAGGCCTGTGACTATTATTGAATTCTCAAGAAGAGAATTCACCCGATTGGTGGTCTACAAACACATGAGATGGTGTCATAAATACATTTCAAGAATCAGTTTGACATTAATATATTCCTATCATTGTGGTGGTAGCTCCAGAATATACTCCGTAGGCAACTGGATATGGTCCATTGAGACTTCCAGAAGAACATGTTGATCCAAACCACCATCCACAACCAAGTGAAACAGCGCATGCGCTTATAGTGTCGTATGTTTGAAATGCGTTGCCTTTGAAGTCGGGGTATGAAGCCGAGCTTGATGACGAGTATTGTACAGCATAACTGGCCGCTGAGTCCAAAATGACAAAACTATAGTAATATACCTTGACGGTATTACCAGATTTCATCAAAGTTAATCCAGCATTAAATCCTCGTAGGGTTGTCAGTATGTATGCATACTTATTCCCGAGCCAGTAGTCGCCACTTGCGTCTCCGAAACCATTTTCGTACTCGACAAAAGAACGATTAAAATTGACATTCCCATATTTACGTATTTGGAGATATGTTACGCCGAAGTCAAAATTACACCAGACCTGTTTAGCAACGTCAAATCCATTTGGCCTTATCCAAGCTGTGCCTGTTCCGGATACCCCGGTAACGTCGGAACATTCTAATAAAAAATAAAGAACTCGATTTTGTAAAATCAGTATTTATCTTAACATTAATATTGGTAATGCTAGTTATATTCTTCAAACAACCAGTCAACATTATTATCTCACCATTGATACAGGTTTGGCAGTATTGTCCAGAACAACCAAACACGCAAGAACACGTGCTTCCGGTCAAAGTACCGCCATTTTGACAAGGGTTAACCTGAAAAATTATGAAGTATAAATCAGAATATTCGGGTTATTTTAAATCAAATGTCATAAAATACAATTTTCTTGATTTAAAAGGCATGCTTGCACTTTGTCCGGGTTTGTATCTTTGTATCCAAGTAATGCTCATGTGAAATATGAAAGCCCTAACTCCTCTCATTTTCATGTTAAGACCATGCATGCTTAAAGTTTTTGTGATAGACGGACAGTCGAATGAGATTTCACGAAAGCGGGGGACAAAAGAACTGAACCGGTGGGTGTGGCCATCTCCTCACAAATAACTGAGTTGCATTCAGTTGTATTCATTAGAATATAAAGGCAAGGGGAGGGAGCATTGAGGAATGGTGATTCTTTTTGAAGTGTTAATATCAGAAATACATATTAATTGGCATTTTCTGAAATTATTTCAAATATTTATGAAAACCTTTTAAATCAAAGCATAGGGGAAAAAATGACGTAAAGAGATTATTTTAGCGGAGAAAAAGAAAGAATAACTCGATATGAAACTGCTTTTTAACTTGACGTATACCTGGTGGGACTTGGATTTTTTTTTTGTTACACGGGTTAAAAAAATCGATAAAATTATGCAAATAGTGTGTCTGCTTGAATGAATTATCAAAAAGATGTTTTGAAATTAATCCCCCCACCCCCCCCCCAAAAAAAAAATTATGCTACTTTCTGAATTTTATATATTTTAAAAGGTTGCTATATATATCAAAAACTACTCAGATAGTCATGTGACACAATCATAAAATTTTGGAAGGATATTGCATCACATGAAACCACAGGCACCTGACGTCACTTATTTTGTCTTTAAATAAAAAAAATATACCCTTACCTAATAATAAACCATTAGGTAAGGGTATATTTTTCTATTTAAAGAAAAATAAGTAACGTCAGGTGCCTGTGCATGAAACATAAGATGAATACCTTTACTCTATTTGGGAAAAATCCTCAATCGCTTGAAGTTGGATTAACAAGTACTATTAATTTAATCATGAAAAGCAATCAAAGCATGCCTCATTCAGAAACAAACATTGTGCTCTTTGTCTATCGTGCATGTCGAAAATTTAATGTTTGTTAGAACAAATCTCTCACTTGTTGACACTGTGATGTATTTTGATCATAACTTAACTTTTGGTCGCTCGTTTTTTATCTCGCTGATTTTTGAAGCATAGACTGTTATTTCAATCTATTCATGTATTACGATGTTAATGTTCATGCTATATTAAGGCCGTTATTATATATTCAACAGCTCTGCAATTACATATATAATATAGATAATTATATATTCGTACAGATTTTTTGAAAGAACTATATTCGGTATATTGCATGATTATCTTTGCCCCCACAAGAGTCAAATTTTGAAAAAAATTCTTGAATTCTAGCTGAATTTTATAAATTGTAAGAGAAATATAAATTAAAAGAATATATTAAATAGTTTCAAAGTACTTTACTGACAATTTTTTTATGACGTCACAAACTAGTCCGATTTATTTCATATCTTAGAAAGAGGACAAAATGTACAAAATTTCAACACTTTTAGTTATAAAATTTATAGAGCGCAAGTTTGCTCAGAAACATTTACAATATTTACATATTTCATTGACATTATCACTCTACACATTATATCAAAATATTGAGCCTGATCAGACCTGCGCTCGGTGAATTTTACTCAAAATATCGACGTAATATATATATATATATATATATATATATATATATATATATATATATATATATATATATATATATATATATATATATATATATATATATATATATATATATATAGTAAGAAACAGTGTCAGTTACGGGGAAATTTTCTATATAAGACCTCTATTGTGGGGTATATTTCAGGCACGGGGTATATAAAATGCTATATATACATTTTCTGTAGACATCGTGGAAATTTTAAATTTACGTCATTTTCGTGACGTCATTTCAAACATATGACGTCATTGCTTATGAAAATATTCAGTGCTTTGAAGTCAGCATATATCCCCCTGTTTTTATAGAACAAAATTAAAATATATTCCTCCGTCAAAGTTTGATTTTGGGGGCAAATATTGGTTATTACCGAATAAAGTCCTTTTTTTTAAATTTCGTTTAATGGTTGTGTTCACTACTTACTGTCGTTGGTAAAATCACAGAAGTTGTGACTTCCTCAGTAACTGTCGTTGTTTGCATTACTGAAGTAGTTATCTCATAAATATTTTTTAAACCGTAAAAAGACGATGTCGATGAAGACGACGATACGCAGTTTTGGCGCGAAGCTCTGTGGAACAAACGACACGATGTAGCAACCGACATTCTGTAGAGTTCAAAACCAAGACAAGGCATTTCATACTGAAGGCAATACATGGCACAAGAAATTCTAGACTTCACGTTTAGTTCATTTAGTATCTCTGTGCTGTTATAAATATTCCAGTCACAATTGTACACAAAAGAAAATTTATCTTTTTTGGTGGTTTCAAATCCAGAGCACATCGCAAGAGTGAAAAGCATCAGTATAGAAGGTGCTAAACGGTTTGGGATAGGCGGTTTCATTTCCCAAATTTCAAAAATTAATTAAAAACTTGAACAACAACTGCAAGGAATTTTCCCAATATTTAAGCGCTATGATGCACCCAACTTGGGTATTGATTATAATTATCATTGTCACTCTTGTTACTTTTTTCCGATAACGGATTCATATTTGGCTTTTACAGTGGCTGAGCTTTAAAGGATCTAATTATCATCTCACTCGAGATATATAGATAAAACACAGTAAAATTTTAACAGCACGTTGCTTATTGGCGTTTTTAATTCAAAGATTATAACAGAAACGGCCTTCAGAATTTAGATTTGGTAACATACCGGTACAATGTGCGGGAAAATAAAAAAGGAAGTTGTTTTGTCCATGCCCGGGATCGGATACTTCAGAAACTGAATAACTAACTAACAAGCTAATTTACTTAACAAAATTCATTTTCAGAATAAACATTTTGTATTTTATAATGTGTGGATAAAAAAAGGAAAGTTTTGTCCATTTCCATGAAACATTTGAGTGAAATTTTACAAATAACAAGCTAATTGATTTACAAAATATATGTAAATAATTCTTAAAAAATTCTTGACCCCTACAACAAAAGCTCAAGTTTCCCTAATTTAGATACCTGAAAATCACTCCCACAACAAAAAGGTCAATCTTTCCTAATCTAGGATACCTTTAAATAACATTTTTGTTACCCAATGAAAGGACATGTTCTCATACAATGAATCTACCTGTGAAATATGAAATCCCAAGCTACAATCATTAAAAAGTTATATCCAGTGTTAATGTTTTTTGTTTTTGTTTTTTGGGTCAAACTCCAAGGTCAATGTTAAAGGGTCAAATTATAGGTACCCAGAGGAAGGCCTTGTCACAAAAAATACACATGTGAAATATTGAAACCCTAGGTAGCACTATATATGTGTAAAATATGAAGGCTCTAGTGCTAACTAATCAAAAGTAATATCCAAGGTGAAAGTTTTTAAAACAGTGGGTCAAACTCAAAGGCCAAGGTTTAAAGGACATTTATATTTATATCCACGGAATAGGTCTTATTTCAATAAATAAACATGAGAAGTTTGAAAGCCCTAGGATGAACAGTTCAAAAGTTATGGTCAATGTTATGTTGGATAAATTCTTGCGAAATTGGATCAAACTCCAAAGTCAAAGTCAAAAGGTCAAACATGCTGGTACTCAAAGAATACACTTGTGAAATATAAGAGTTATGGTTCCAACCAATCCAAAGTTATGGACAAGGTAAAAGTTTTTGCGGACGAACAGACGGACGGACAGAGCTAAAACTATAAACCTCGTATCTTCAATTACGGGGGCAAAAATTTTTATACCGAAAAAGTAGTAAATACAACGATTCCACGTTGTGCAATATGAGTTACGTCACAAAATCTGAAATCAAGATATCAGACCAGCCACCCTTGCAATGCCAGAAGTCCTAGGTCATCACTTTGTCGTTAACTTCCTCGCAATGCTAGGGTCCCAAGTCAACACGCTGCCATTACATCCCCGCAATGCCAGGAGTCCTGAGTCAACATGTTGCCGTTACATCCCCGCAATGCCAGGGGTCCTGAGTCAACATGTTGCCATTACATCCTCGCAGTCTACATCCCACTCCAGAACTGTGTTACCATCAGGGGCATTATGATAGTTTTTCACAAATACATCTTGTTATTTTTTATGCCCCTGGTTCGAAAGATCCCAGGGGTATACTGCTTTGTCCTGTCTGTCTGTCTGTTGTCAACGTTAACCTAGCCCATAACTATTGTGCTGTCGAGAGTAAAGTGTATACCACTTCAGTCTATGTCAAACCCCAGAATTGTATAACCATCGGGGGAATAGTGTTTCGCAAACACATTTTTGCATTTTTTAAAATTTCAAATGACATTTAAAAAAAAAAATATGGATGTGCATCTTAATTAAAGCCAAAAACTAATCTGAAATGCCTCTGACTCAAACCCTTGCTTTTATATTGTGACATGAGCAGGGAACACACATGTCACAATATAAAAAGCAGGGTAATAGTAGATCTCGAGGAATCTCGGATTTACGAAAGACTTGAATTAAGTTTAAACTTGTACTTTCTTGTAAGACTAGTGCCTGATTATTGCTTTTTTTTTCAAAAGAATGTAACAGAACATAATTAAATTGAAGACAAAATCGTAACAAGCAAATTCAAAAAATTGTGGTCCCCTGCTTTCGGTGTCTCTGTGGGTGAGATGGCATGATTTGTGGTTTATTGTGTCAAATATGAACGCCCTATCATTTCATTCAAAAGTAATCACTAAAGTTAATTTATTTTTGAAAATTAGGTCAAACATGAAGGTCAAGGTTAAAGGGTCAGAAATCATAGCATGCTTGGAAACATCTTGTCACAGGTAATATTCTAAGTATGAAAGTCCTATCTCTTCTCTATCAAAAGTTATAAGAAAAATATAACATTTTTGAAAAGTAGATCAACGTACAGGTCAAGGTAACGGGGTCAAAAACCATAGTGAATTTAGAAAGGTCTTCTCACAGGTGATATACACATGAAAGGTGAAAGCCGTAAATCTTTCCATCCAAAATTTATGATCTAGATTTAACTATTTGAAAAGTAGGTCAACCTGCAAGGTCAAGGTAACGGGGTCAAAAAACCTTAGTATTTCGAAAGGTCTTGTCACAGGTAATAAACAAGTTTAGTATGAAAGCGCTATCTCTTCTCATTCAAAAGTTCTGGCCAATTTAAAGTAATGTTTAAATTTTGGAAAAGTAGGTCAAACTCCAAGGTCAAGGTCACAGGTCAACAATCATAGCTCATTTAAAAAGGTAATGCACATAATTATGTAATATGAACGCCCTGTTATATGTCATTCAAAAAGTAATCACCTAAGTATTTTTCAAGGTCAAACGTGAAGGTGAAAGTCAAAAGAGTAAAAAATCATAGCATGCTCGGAAACAATTTGTTAAAGGTAAATCACATGTCAAATATGAAAGCCCCATCGCTTCCCAATCAAAAGATAACATTTTTTGAAAATAAAGTCAACTTCGAAATCAAGGTCACAGGGTCAAAACCCATAGTATATTTGGAAAGGTCTTGTCACAGGTAATGAGCATGTCAAATATAAAAGTCTTATGTTATTTTTTACATGAGAATTTCTTTTTTTTAAATTCTAAAGATCGAAAGTCCAATATGACTGTGGTGAGCATTGTAGCCCATAGGTCAATTGTTTTTATATGTCATCGGGTTCGGGATACAAGATACACACAATGCAATCCTGTCAGTGTCAAATTCTTGACTACCGTTAAATTGCGTCTGTCTTTTAAGCCAGGTAATGACAATCAACCAGCAAATCGTATGCAGTGTTTGATAAAAAGGTTATGCATTGTTCAAAGTACACTTTATGTTGTTTCCTAAAGGCTGTTGACACTTTTTTGTATCGATGTTCTGATCAACTTTGTGTTACATCATATGCTGCGAAATATTTTTATTAAAACTTACCATGTTTCCCCAAAAGTAAGACAATGTTTACTTGTAATTAGCGGAGTTAATTTATTCAAGTTTGAATGCTGACGTCCTTACTTGAAGGTGGTTACCTTTTTTGTGTGAGAATTTTATTAATCAAAATCAGAAGATGCCTTGAACTAAACCAAGTCAAAGGATTATTTCTATTAATTTATCCTGCAACTACACTTGACCTAATAAAGGTAGCCTAATAAACTAAAGCTTTATTCGTTCATTGTCCTAATAAAGCCTCGTGTATTCCGACGTTTTTCTAAAAGCATTGTGACGTCACGTATATTGCAATGTTTACGTTATGACGCCTTAATTTCCACTGCAGAAATGCGTCTAAATTGGGTTGAAAATAGTGCATTTTGGAGGTCAGATGTAAATATATTTTGCAGGATAAACAAAATACATGGTCATTATCATGAAATATAAGTGATATAGGGTTGGCCTCGGGTTGAAAACGTGATGGAGGGCTCGGCAAGCCTTGCCCTCTATCATGTTTTCTTACCCTCACCCAAATATCACTTATATTTCGAGACAGAACCAGGTATTTTATATATACAGTGAAATATCAGTATCTCGAAGTTTGGGGGACCTGGACACGACTTCGAGATATCCGGGGGTTCGAGATATCCGAAGTTATCTTCCAAAGTCGAATCAATAATTTCCTGTTTTTTCGTATATATCTTCATACGTAACACCATCCTGTATTACCAAACACGAAGTCTTTATGATAAAAACTCAAGCATATTCGCAATAGATATTAAGAAAAACAATATACAATTATGGACTGTTTAGAAGGGAGACATCACCAGTTATCAGGTCTGAGTAGGGTTGTCACCCGAGGGCGCCTGCGCCGGAGGGTGACAACCCTACTCAGACCTGATAACTGGTGATGTCTCCCGTCTAAACAGTCCAAAATAGTTTTATTATCCTGAAGAATCTAATTATCAATTAGACAGAGTAGAAAATAGTAATCAAACCTTAATTTTGTGTCTCCGTCTCTGCTCTGATTCCATACTTTTAAAATATATGTAAACAGACAACTCGATCTGACGTCATCGTTAGAATTTATTGTTTACCGATCCCGCATATTAGTAATACTATATTACATGTATAATCATAAATAAGAGTTATCTCGCTTAAACCACTGTAATTTCATTCAAAGGGCGACAACACAGTTGTAACCCTGCTTACTCATTTACGCTATTTCATTGTAATCTGGAGGGTGACAACAGTTGTCACCCTGCGCGTGAGGGAGACATCACGAATTGTCTTACCTCACGTGACATGCTTTAAACCAATCAGATTGACTGTATAATTCTGAAGGATAATAATTGTTGTTGTTTTCTTTATCGTGTATAATTGTAAAACAGTTTAATATACATGCCTTATTGCATTTACAGCGATTTTACATTTTCCAGGCCATGTTTACATGGTCAAACGGGATGTATCATTACCGTTATAGTTGAAGAACCTTCTCTGTAAGAAAAGAAAAAAGACGAATTTTTTGAAAACATAATTTGTTGAAATTTAGTGCAAAATGTTATTTAAAAAATAATCCGTATTCAAACTGTGTACTTGAATATTATTAATAGCTTGCAAGTATTACATTACGAAGTACTACTAAGGAACATATAGTTAACGAAACTAACGTGCAAATGGCGGTCAAGGTTATCTATTTATACGCAGATAAACATGAATGTAATCAATCACTGTGCATTATACTGCAACTTAACTGTTTAATCTAAATTTATTGTGAAAAATATCTAAGTTTTATTAATTTACGATTTTGATTATACAGAGCATAGTACCGGGGGTATTACATGCAATATTGGTAATATTGTCTGTATTTAATTTCTGAGTTGCTGCAAAGTGGTTTGTTTTATCGGTCGTAGACTACACCAAACACCCAAGCTGTCAAACCAATTAACCTGTCACAGATACCCAACATGAGCTTAAGATTCCCCAAGTTTGAAGGTGTTAATTAATAGCCACTGGTGAGAGTGTGTGAAGTCACGATGCCAGGTGTGTTCAGTAGACCGAAAAATTCACTGCACTTCGAGATAAGCCAGGTAGAAAAGGGCTTGGGACTTTGAATACACTTCGACATAAGCGGGGTATTCGAGATTACCGTGTTTGAGATATCAGGAGTTTATTTAATCATTTATGGAGAGAAAACGGCCGGGACCGGCGATCGACTTCAACATAAGCGGGGTATTCGAGATATCCCATGTTCGAGATACTGATATTTACCTGTACCTACATAGCAGGGGTCATGTTTTGGTTTCAAGGTGCAATTTTTTCTCCTTTATGCCTTCCTGTGGCGTCTTCTATTGATCACAAGTTTTCTGTTTCTTTATATATGAGGCCTAGATTCTGCATAAACAGCTGATAAAGCAGAACCTATACAACCCAAAGTTTGAAGGGTATGG